GATCTTGGTGAGACTCGCTTCCTGCTTGGTATTGAGATCTCTAGGGACCGCGCCACTCGCTCGATCAGTCTCTCACAGCGCCAGTACATCGTCGACATGCTCACCTCTGACGAAGGCCATGGGTCCCCAGACCCCTGCTGAAGTCGAAGAGATGCGCAATGTTCCCTACCTCGCTGCCGTCGGTTCCCTGCAGTACCTCGCCACCATGACTCGCCCAGACATCGCCCACGCCGTCAGCTACCTTGCCCGGTTCAACTCGAACCCAGGCCTCAAGCATTGGGCCGCTGTGAAGCATCTGTTCCGCTTCCTTCAGGGCACCAAGGACTACTCCGACGCATCTCATGGCGACTGCAAGGATACCGGACGCTCCAGTGGTGGGTATGTGACTGTGGTTGGTGGTGGTGCTATCAGCTGGGCTGCTAAGCTCCAGCCTGTTGTTTCGCTCTCCACATGTGAAGCGGAGTACATTCAGGCTGTTGAAGCTGGTAAGGAGATTCTCTGGCTTTCGCCACCTTCTGGGGGAGCTTGGCTACCCCATCACCACTCCCAGTCGCCTCCTGATCGACAACGCCAGCGCTGTGACAGTCAGCAAGAACCCAGAGCACCATGGACGCATGAAGCATCTCGACTTGAAGTTCTTCTGGCTCCGTGACACTGTGGAGTCTGGTGTCATTGCCCCAGTTCGCATTCCTGGCACAGAACAGGCTGCGGACATCCTGACCAAAGCCCTGCCTGTGCCCAAGGTCAAGGACTGCTGCGCCCTACTTGGTCTGGTGGATTCCTGAACTGCCTCAGTCATGGGGGAGTGTTAGAATTCGTGACTTTGGCACTTCCACTTGGTCGATTCCTTCCGTGTTTGGTATCATTCGAACCGTCTTTTCACGCTCTTTCGAACGGTACCCGAGGGACGGAAATCCGTCCAACGGTTACCGAGATATTACCCTTTTACTTCGTTTTGCTAATAACCCCGAAGCCAAGCCTCGTATCGCTTGGCTTCAACCTTGCATGTGTTTACGGATGTACGGAGGCCCGTCCCCCGACGTTTTACCGACCCAAAATGTCTTATATAGTCGCAGCACCACTCTGGAGTCCCCCAGTGCTTTCCCCTCACTGTTGGACTTCAGGTATGTGCTCCCTTTGAATATATCAGTGCTTTCCCCTCACTGTTGTTCAGTTCGCTGTTTTAACAAGCGCTCAGTAAAATTTATGAGAAGTGGAACATACTGTTTTTATAGGAAAAACCGATGTTTTAGATAGTTTTAGGTGTATTGTGGTGTTTTTGGAAGGGGTAGATTAATATAACATGTCTGTAAACCTTCCTCAAGGCTCTACAGCAGAGTTGGCGCAATTACATCAAAAATTGGGAGAGGTACTATTGAAATACTACACAAAAGAGGGACAAAATCAGGAATAAGACTATTATTTTCGCTTTTTCAGTATTAAGACTGGTTTCTATTGGTTTTTAAACAAGTCTACTCTATATATACTACTTGAGTTGTATGTACTTGTTTGGTCCATGGTCTGTGCGCACGCAGTGTTTTGTTCAGCTGGCGGGGTACGGTCTCATGACTCATCACGTGTCTGAGTCACATGACATCCTATGTTACTAACTACAAGTCTCGGTGGGAAAAGGAAAGAAAGGTCTAATTCATGACACTCTTGGCGATGGCGCTGACTGGATTGTCGTCTGGTAGTGTTGCGATACGAATTGCTGATGAGATCTTGACTTTCTGAATGTGGAGTATAGTCGGTGGGAGTCCTGCATAAATTTCCAGAAGGTCAGTTGGTGTGGTGCGGAGTGCGCCCGTCATCGCTATAGCCGCCTGTCGTTGTATCCTTTCTATCGCCACACTGGCCCTACTTCTCGTGGCCTTAACCCTCCGGTGCCTCTCCTCGTGCCATATGTCCGCTGCATACAGCATCATCGGTACGGCCGCAGCCATGTACAACCTCCGCCCATGCTCCAGTGCCACCCCTTTCGTCACCTTGACCAGTCTCCTGAAGTGTGAGAGCCATTTTGTCCCTTTCTCTATCACCGCCAACGCGTGTTCCTTGAAGCGCAGTTCCTGGTCCATGATGACCCCTCAGTACTTGTATGTCGTCACCGATTTTATCTCGTGTCCGTCGATGGTGATGGTCGGTCGACTGGCTGGTATGTGTTTGGCTGGGTTGCTGGGGTCCGTCACCCTTCTCCTGGTGTAGCCCATTAGTCCGAATTTATTGATCTCGAAAGTCACCCCGTGGCTGTCCACCCAGTCTCTGAGTCCCCCTTCCTTCTCGTATGTGGTCACTACCTTTGCCGCTGCTTCCTCCATGTCGTTGCCCTCGCTGGCGCAGTACGCGTCGTCCGCAAACCCTGCTCCAGTCTCGCCTTTGGCCTTGATCAGCTCCTCCACCTCATCTGCTCCGTAGTGGTTCCAACCCATGGGAGATGACGTGCATCCTTGGTCGAAGCCCATCCATATCGGCGTTGGTGCTGAGGTGTAGTCGTCGAACGTGAGTATCGTTGTTCTTCCTTCGAGTTTTCTGCCAAACCAGTCAGTGTATTCCTTGGGCACACCCCGTTTCCTCATGTCGTGTATGAAGACGGGTACTTTTACGCTCGGGAAGGCGGCTTTGACGTCCAGATACAGGACAACAACTTCCTTCCCCCTGCGCCATGCTGATTTGATGAAGCTTATCAGTGCGTGTATTGAGTCGGTGGTCGCCCTGCCTGGTCTTCCCCCGTACTGGTTTTTGGGTAGCAGCCCCAGTCTCTCGGTGTGGTACTGGATGTTGTCCCTCACCCATGCTGCTAGCAGTTTGGCCATTGTGTCCATCAAGGCGATGGGTCTGTAGGCGTTCGGATTGGTGTAGTCGGTCTTGCCTGGTTTTCTTAGGACTACCGTAGTCGACACCTTCCACCTCGCGGGGTAGTGCTTTGCCGTGAATGTCGCCCTAAAAATTGGTCCTAGGTAGGGTGTCAGCGTTTCTGCACATTGGGTCAGTACTGCGTTCGGGGTGCCGTTCGGCCCTGGCGCCTTGAACGGTTGTAGCGTTCTGATTGTCCTTGCCACTTGCTCGTTGGTGATGACTTCGAAGGCGAAGGCTGGTGCCGGGTACTCGTAGTCGGTGTAGTCTTGTTGTTGTTCGGGTGGTTTCTTGAAGAAGGCGCCATGTAGTGCGTCCCCCTTCTCCTTGCTACTCTTCGCCTCCCGGGTTTCGCCATTCACTTGGTATTTCAGGGTCGGTATCCTGGCCCTTCCGCCATCTGTTGACTCTGCCCTGACAAATTTGTGAGCGTTCCACGCTGTTCCGCTGTCCAGCGACTCCAGGAACATGTGCCAGAATCTCGTCTTCGTCTCCTTGATCAGCGCGCCGTATTTCTTCTTGGCCTCCTTGAGCTGTTCATGAATGGGGTGCACCGGTGTGAACCTCCAAGCTTTCCGGGCTAGTTGTCGCACTGTCTTGTGTTCTTCGGTCAGTCTTGGGTTCCACCAGATCTTTTTACCTCCGCTCGTCTTCTTCGGTGGTACCACCGCATCGATGGTGTTCAGTATGGCCTTCTCTAGGTGTTCGAGGGCTTCTTCAATCCTCTCAGCTGTTGTTATTTCACCGGGTGGCGGAATTTTGTCGAGTTCCTCCTTCAGCTTTTTGTCGAATTCTTCCCAGTCTGTTGCTCTGAAGTTCCTCTTGAGTCGTTTGGGTTCTTCCTTCCAGTCGGTGTCTATACGGGTGATGATTGGTGAATGGTCTGCCTTTGGCGTCGCATTTTCCTGAATGTCGCATTCGATGACCCCTGTTGATTAGCTCTGATGACACGAAGACATTGTCTGGCCTGGTCCAGTTCCCATGTGAGTTGAGGAGTGTTGGTATCCCCTTCGGAAGCGCCATCTCCATCCCTCTCTCTGCCGCTAGAACCAGTATCGTTTCTGCGTCATCAAGGTTGCGTCTTGTGAACAGTCTTGTGTCGTTGTCGTTGTCCCATGCTGGATGGTGCCGATTGAAGTCTCCGAGCCAGATGTCGTGTGTTGTCCTCGCGTTACACGTCCTTCGTCTTGCCAGGTGCCTTGCCAGTGCGTTGATGCTGTCGGAGTTTTCGCAGTCGTTGTATATGTTGTATAAGATGATATCATTCTCGCCTGACCGGATCCTGATGCCTACAATGTCTGGTGAGTCCACGTCTATCCTCTCCCAGCCTTCCGTTGCCACTCTTGTGTGCACGAGCGTAAGCGCCCTGTACCTGGGCCCTCCCTCTCTTTCTTGGGACGGTTTGACCACTCGCCAACAGCTCGTCACTCTCGTCAGGCCTTGAAAGTCGATGTAAGGTTCCTGTATGCATAAGATGTCGTATTCCTTCGTGCTTGTGTTGGTGAAGTCGAGTTGGGCCTCGATCGATTTCCGTAGATTCTGTTGTCTAATTCGAAGTTGCGTGATTGGTTCTTCAGTCATCTTGGGGTTCCGGTTGTTCTGAGTGTTGTCTTTCCTTCCCCTTGCGATATACTGTCCATTTTCGGATTGACTGTTGAGTGGGCTGGGTCAGTACCGTCTTCTTCCTCGTTCCTCCCTGGTCTTGCGTTGGTCGCTCTTCCTGCAGTTCGTCGGCGGTATCGTCCTCTCGGTCCTCCTGCTCCTGGTCTGGGTTGCTGTCCCCCCATTCCGTTGGTGTGGTCTGACGCGCCTGGCGTTGTTCCCGTTTTTTCTGGCCTTGCATGATCTTCTCCTGAATGATGATGTCGTCTGGCCGTATTTCGATCCTGCCTGTGCCTAGCCTACCATGCCAGCCGCTGTCTTGCGCTTGTTCCTGCTGTTCTCGCATGGTGGTCCTCTCGTTGCCCCATGACCGTGCTGTGGGGTTGGTATCTCGTTCCCAGCTTACCCAAGTGCTCTTGTCTCCTGTCGCGAAGTACTTGAAGCCCAGTTCTGGTTGTCTCTGGACCATATTGTCTATCGCGGCTAACCATGTTGGGCATGTTCTGTCCCAGGACGTGTGGGCGTGTGGCTTTCCGGCCTTCTTGCAGTTAAAGCATCTGAATTCCCTCCTTCGAATTGAGCTTGTAAACCACCCCGCCGTTCTTCAGTCGTATTGCTGCCACGAATTTCGTCCCTTCTGGTAGACCCTTCTCCTCCGCCTTCGTTGTCAAATCTCTCTCCGTCAGTGCTTCCCCTTTCCCATCTCCCTTGATGCCGTCCACCACCAGCTGCCTGCCCTTCCTGTCGATCCTCGCCTCTATCTCTCTTTCCTTCCTCACCGCCTCCGCCTCTGGTGCGTTGTCTCCGGCCAGGACCCTCGCGTAGGTCATGTTCTTCCCTTGTACCTGTATCTCTTCCTCTGCCGCCTTCCCTGTCCTCTCCACCACCCCTATCACGTGTGCTCGTACTTCGTTTATACCCTCCTTTGCCCCCTTGATCACCGCCTCCATCTCTCCTTTCACCCCCGCCAGTTTGCTCTCCAGTATTTCTCTGATCGTCTTATGCAGGTCGTTCTTCATTGTTTGTTGTAGTACCGTGTAAATCGCATTCAGGTCCGCGTGCAGTTCGTCCGAGAGTGGTTTGTGTCTTGACGGCAAGGTCTTCAGCGCCCTGAGGACAGTGCTCGTGTCTATGTCCTCGAGTTCCTCCTCTTCGTCCAGCCATTGTTGCCTCCGGAATCTGTTGACTGCCTCTTCCGTGTTCGTGCTCCATACCCTCTTGCTTGTATGGCCCCTGGTGACGGGTGGCCTTGTCGCGTTCGTCGTTGTCCCTCCCGTCGGTTGTGACGTAGTCGGTGACCCACTTCCCTTGGGTCCCATCTCTCCTGCTTTTTGGCTCGTTCTGCGCTTCTCGTTTCTGTTTTGCTTATGGTTTGACGCGAAAATGGTTGGTATATAGGCTATATACGACCCTACACGCTGCTGAGAGTCCACACGAACCTCTATAGGTGGCTCGGTGGCTGTGCTACATGGTGGTTAGGGATCAAGCCTCGCCTTCACGTAGTTACCTTGCGCTTACGGCTCGCTTGTTGGGAGATCTGCTTCCCTTGCTGCGTGATCTGCTTATCGACCAGGTCTTGAAAGGTCTTCGAGCGGAAAAATGTTACGTCCAAACTCCGAGCATATCCGTCCCAAGGCAAAGCCGGGTCACCAAGCCTAGTAAACCACGTATGAATGGCCGGTTTAATCCACTCTTGGTCCCACTGCAAGCTCCTCAGAGAATCATGGATCAGAACCTAAGAAAAACAACTGATTGATATTATGCAACGGGTGATGTGAAATGTAGACAGCTGACCGTCAAGTCCAGAAGCCTTTGCTTCAGATTGATGTCGTCGTCAGCCCAGGTTCCGGCCTCTTTGAGGAGGGAAGTGAGCTTGTTAATTGCTTCTTGGATATCAGGAGGAGGCAACTTGGCCGGAGTATCAAACTTGGATAGCGCGGATGCTTGGCTGGTCATTGCGGCTGGACGAAGTGGTCGCTTGAAAGTCGTAACAGGCGGGTATTTTGGGCAAAGGTTCGGATATCCGAGCTGCTCCTTGCTACTTAAATAAATAAATGTTATTCCTCCCGTAGACCGGCTGCGCCAGCCCTTGATCACAATGGGAGGTCCCCGCGCAATTATTTACTTATTGGCCCCCTGTTGCCTCTCTCTACCAATCACCTGTTCCCATTCGTGCATCGTTACAAGATGACACATAATATCGGTGAGATCCCTTTCTCTTAATGGCCGCTCGCTTGCTCTGATACTTCGCCATGACAGGTCCAAACTCAGAGCAGTCCCCGCAGAGCTCGGTACTACCCAAAATAGTAAGTATGGTCCTCCATGCCCCAATTTATGCACACAGAGAATGATACATCATTGTAGAATCTCAGAAGCGCTCGATTGACCCTTGCGATGATTCCAACAATGATCGACAACTCAGTCTGGCACGATTCCGGGAGTGGTCTCTACCTAGAGTTGACTCTCCTTCTGGCCAGTCCCCGATAGTCACCCGCGAGAGCGATACTGATGAAGACGAGCGGGGTGATTCAGATACAGAGGTCCTCACTGTGGACAACTGCACCATAATCCGGGGGTTTCTTCAAAAGCAGATCCGGGTGGCGACTTGGGAGGTTTATGAAGCTCAGAGGAGGATTCAAACGCTCACAACTTTCAAGAGTTACTTGGTAGAGCAGCTGGAGGTTCTTGAACAGGCCATAGAGGAACGAAATGCGCACGTGACGGAAGGGCCCAAGTTTGGTGGGAAATAAATATGTACTGTAGTGAATGCAGAACAGTGCCCATACGTTTGACGCCGAAGGCAGAATAGGAAATCTGCCTGAAATATATATATATATACAAGACGAGAGCAGCTGGAGTCCACAATCGCGTTCCCCCTGGAGTCTGGACCCCCCTGGTGCCATGTGTAAGACTGACCCTGCTCTGTTTTCCTACCCCGCCTTGGTTAATCCTTTCCCACCTTTCTATATAGCCAACAGGTCAGAAGACATCCTGATTCCCCTGGTGGAAGATGGGCCGTGTACGTCAGTCTCGTTCCTCCGGAACGACAATTCCTTACTGTTTTTGCCCCTAGATCTTTCTGCCAAACATCAACGCGACAGGAAGAAGGTGAAGCGCATCTCGGCCGAAGGTAGGGTCTTCCTACTTGCGTAGCCGGACCTGTCTGTGAACGGGGTTTAGATCCAGACTCATCAAAACCTGCTGTTGTGAAAGCCAAAAGAGCGAGGCCAATCAAAAAACGAGGCCGGCACGCAGAAAGGGAGATCCTGGCCATGTGTTTGTCCTCTCTCAAACAGTGTGAGCACCCTGTTGCTTTAGATCCTACCGCACTGGAACTGAAATACCCAAGCGCACGAGAAGACTGATGTGCAAATTCGCCATTTGGCTGATTTCGGGTTCAAGAATATACAAGGAGGGGCAGGTAATAACCGCCCTGCTCGCAACAGTTTGCTCGACATCCTGGCTGACATAGACAGGAACCAGATTGAGATTGCTACTTGGATGGACGTCATGGAGAAGGCTCTCAACCCTGAGCAATAGTATCTCATACTTACCAATACACTCATCATTTGCGACGCTACGTCTCTGAGCAAACTGGATTCCCTTACTCGGCTTAAATAAGCTGAGTGTAATTTAACGCGAGCGCACGCGAGCATTTTGTTCCCTTTCATCAGTCAACTGGGAACTTATTACCTTATATGGTACATTGCAGATTTATTCAGTCTCCGCTTTCACTTTCACTTACTTCCTGGATCATGTCAAACTCCCTCTCTCCTGTCATACAGAATACGCGGTTGCGTTGGAGTTTGAAACACCGCAATGATGCAATAAGCGGAACTGGGACTCAATCAGTTCCGCTTATTGCATCAGCCAAGCCAATGCCAAGCTAATGCTCCACCGGTACCTGGAGTTGAGGGGAAAAGAAGACAATTACTGATATCTCCTTAATCTTTGGTGTGTTTTCTTTGATTTTGGGCTCGTTTTGAAGCTAATAATTGGTGTTATGAGACGCTAAAATTTTATCCCGCACAATGCTGCCGTTGTGGAGGAGATTGTGGCCGGGTACATGAGGCTGGGGATTCCGGAATGAGGAGGATCATTAGTGAAAAGCAAGGGTCGGCTGACCCCTGCAGGTTTTCGGGTCAACCCTGCGACGGGTCGGGCACGGGTCGCCATTCTCAGACCCGAGATCTTTAAAACGAGCCATAGATCATCAGAAACGGATGGGAAATGGCTGAGATACGGTCAAATTATTATTTTAACCATATCTCAGTCATTTCTTTTCCGTTTTTGCCGTGTACTTACCTGAAATCTTCGATGAGAACTGTATCCTAGCTCTGAATACTACTCTTTTGTTACATTTTCCAAATACAGCAGTAAAGGTGATTACGGCGGAGCCTTATTTAAGCCGAGTCTCCGCCATGCATGTGCATTGGCCCGTATACTAGTTGGATAGGGCCTATACATAATAATAATTCATGAGATGCTACAACTCGAAGGAATGACGGTGACATTTGTGGGGGGGGGGGACGAAAGGTAACCTGCTTGTCAAGGGAAATGTGTTGTTCGATGTCCTTCACTCGATGGGACAGACTCTCCATGATGCGCTTCCTGCTTTCCATAGCCTCGTTGTGGATCCTAACACTTGCTTCAAAAGCACGCTGTAGATGCCTTTTGGTCCAGCCTCGAGGATTGGGAGCAAGATTCTCCTCTAGAGCGTGCCTCCGCCTCTCCACCATTGTCCTTGCTCCTTCCAGGTATCTCTGCATAGCTTTATCCGAAATGACGTGAGCTATGAGGCGGCACGCAATGCTAAGGAACGAGGGACGCTTACCGACAAGGGCTTTGAACAGGTCAAACGCTAGGTCCATCTGCTCGTCGATTGTGAAAAGAGGGGTGTTGCCCGGGTCTGGATTTTGTCAGTTCCAACGGAATATGGCACTGGACACATCACACTGACCCGATGATGACTGCATTGTGAAGTAAAAGTGGTTTTCACTCAAAGGTATATAAACAGTTGGAATGTGCTGGCGCAATTAACGGGAGAACTCAGGCAGTATCAACAATGTGCCGTAAGTGCGTAAAACGTCCGTACGTAATGGTTTGATACAGTGTCCTCACTTTGTACGCCGTTGTTACGCCTGTAGGTCGCCTGACCCTTCAAAAATCGCGAATAGCATACCGCCGAACTAGATTTAGTCGGACAAATGTACATCTCGATAAGCGACCGAAAAACCGTTAAGGGTACCGTGTTCTTCATAACCGGCGGTCACTTGTTCTGTCATATGAGTTGAGACCGAGCCCAGAGTCGTCAACTAAGTCGAGCTCCAAGAACGAATCAGAAAGAGGTTGAACGTAGCGCATAATTGATACCGTATAAACTAACGGGTTAAGGATGTGCACTGAACCGATTGAAGATCGCACTACGGCAGTAAGGCTTTCGCACGAAGTCCTCACCGCCGGGAGTAAGACTATTCATGGGAGTGCACGATCGACTCCAAATCGACTAGAAAGCATGACCTGTCACAGAAAAGAAGTAGCTCAGAAAGAAGGGACAGAACGAGGGATCCATACGCCGCCCTCCGGCGGTGCTAACAAAAGGGTATACCCGTTGTTTCCGCGGAAGCATCTTCATGGAGTAACAATGGAATTTCCCACCACTAATTGTTTCCGTTCCGGCAGTCGGAACTACCAAAATTCACGCGCTTCAACAGCGCATCAATAGACGCCTATGGGCATAACCGGCACGACACCGCCGGTGCTTCTTTTGTCGCATTTCCTTCCTATTTCGTATTTCCGATCCTCATGTATCTCCGCTCCGTCTCTCTACTCTCATCGTTTATTCCGTGTCCGTATCTGGTTTGTTTTATAGTCTTTGCTAGTCTTTATTTCGCAGCTCGTAGTCAAACAAATTGTACCATATATATAGGCCCGCCGGGCAAAAGAATCAACAGATACCCCTTCGACTCGATTATATATCTTGTCCTGATCGACACAGTCGTTCAGTAAAACGAGGAGGACCTCTCTGAGTGCCGAGTTAGCGAGCTAGCGAGTTAGTGTCGAGTTCGAGTTTGCGCGTGAATACACAAGTCCGAGTTTAAAAACGAGTCAACGAGTGATCCCGCCGGGGCGAGTTTTAAGTGTTTCCAAGTTCAAATTCGAGTTTCGAGCCTAAGTCGTGTTTAAATCGAGTCGCGAGTCGAACTTAGTGTTTCCCTTGTGTGTAGAGCACAACAAAATACAAAACACCGTCTCGTATAAAGTCAAGAGCCTTTTCAAAGCTCTCAAAACCCCCAAAACCGTTCTATACGAGTCAGAGAGTCTTCTCCTCATTAACTTAGTCTACTAAAACAACAACCCCATCGAACTTGCGTGCCAACGTACAGTCAGTACATAAAAAGTCTTTAGAATCGGCTGTCGGTCTTCATCTTCGTGTCACTTGCCTCACAACAAGTTCCACTCGATTCGGGACCACCGGTTGTTTTCTTGCTCTTCTTTGTGCTTTCTGTGCTAGCCAGCACATCACCGTGTCTGAATATTTGAATCTAACTGTTGCGCCGACCGACCAAAGGTTATGTATGACTGGAAATGCTTAGGTTACAGGAACTAAACAAGCTTGGATAAAGTGTCGTTCAAGTCTTGTCTAAGTTGCCTTAAGGGCTGGGTTTGAATAGCCTCACAAGTGTCAGGTTCGCCGTTGGTGATCTTCCCCACTTCATTTGCTAGAATCCTAGCGAGATCTGACCTCCCCTCCCTTCTGAATCCCTCTTCATGCGCTGAGACCAAAGGCGCGCAACTCTGCCATCCAAGCAACAACCTCCGCTCTTGAAGCGGCAAAAGTGCGCATAGCGTCCGTGATAGTGATCTCGCCCCCGCGGCGAAATGCCAAAGCCATTGAGCTCCAGTTGTCAATCCTCTCCACGCGTAACAAAATAGCTCTTGAAAGTGACTGAATGATTCCAAGGTGGTAGTGTTGCGACTTCCGGGCATTGGATATGAAGCCCTTAACCTCCTCTTCAAGTTCATGCCCATCTTCGGATGCTGGGACACCCAGGGCACCGAGAGCCGTAGAACAATTGACGATATGACGCTCAAGCTCTGATTAGTAGAAGTAGGAAGCGCAAAGCAGTCAGAAAGACCCAAGTTTCTCAAATGTGAGTTGAACCCCACCTTGAATAGTATAAACCCCAGGACTCATGGAAAGTGTGCGTAGAATGTGGTAAAAATACCTGTGAAACATGTACAAAGTATGCGTAATTTCTATACTATCCATTATCCGTATACTTTTTATGAGCAAAATGTCCAAATTATCCAGAGCTCTTTGCGTAAACAGGTGTAAAGTATCCGTTGCAAGGCAAAGTATGCATGAACAAGAGTACTTTGTATCAGTTGGTGGGTTTACAGTGGAGAGCGAATTTATGATGCTCTTGGTTTCCACGCGAATGTGGGCGTCTTGAGATTCTAGCTTTGGGAGCATCTGTAGTGTTTATCTCAGTTGATGGGTCATAGATTGCCCGTGGGCTTTTATAGCTCATTGGGAACTAATATAACTTTCCTTATCAAATGTGGCCCTTTTCTCGGAGAGACAATTTGGATAATCGTTGCTCAACTTGTAAGTTGCTAGTATCTCTCTTCAGGCGGTTCAGCTGAGTCAATATGGCATCCGAGCATAGTATCCAGCTGGGACATTTCCGTAGGACCTGGGGTTATAATACAAGGGGCATGCAGCTGACAGAAGCCTGAGGTCCTGACGTTCAAGGGGGATTGGGTGATGTCCCAGCCAAGCATGAGGATGACTCTGGGGGCAATTCGGCTGAGACAAGAGAGTTGCCGAGGCCACATACAAAGATCCCCTCAAATTATGAATCCTGTACTCGAGAGAATTGAATTTTCGGAAGAATCTCAAAGCGCCATTGTGCAGGCAAACACCACCTTCGCCACACCGGGGTTCAGCAATTGAAACTCGGAAGTGAATAGTGATTTATCGTTTTTATCGCGAGTGTAATTCTGAAAACCACTGAAAACCGGGATGCTATAAAGTCTCTAGCTGGTGAATTATAGCCCCCCAGCTTTTGTTCGATCCCCTCACTGGTATCGCCATTGGTTAGTCAACCTTTGCTAAAATAAATTAATGACTTACTAACCTCGAGCAGACCATTGCAATGGCTACTGTCCTGACTTCGACGGTTGAAGGCGACCTGCGGGCCATACTCAAGCTTCTGACGGTCCTCCAAGGTGGGTGAAAATGTTTGAACGATGATATTCTTCCCTGGTAAAGAGGGTTTCCAGCGTCATGCCAGTCAATATCCGACATCTACGAGAAGTTTGGTGACTGCCAAAGCAGTTCCTGCGAGCGCACTGCTTCCTTCCCGCACCTGTCCTCTGCTCTGCCCTTTCCGGACCCTCAGTTATTGGACCAACTGGATGAAGCCAAGAAGGCCAAGCGGCATGCCCTCAGGGAACTTCGTGCTGCTACCCGCCTCGCATCTCTTGCCATCCGTCAGATAGAGGAGACTGAGAGGTTCACACCAACGACGAAACCTCATCCAGCCTTGGTGGAAATGAGGGGGCTCCTAGTAGAGAAAATGTTGGATTCATTCCTTCCGGATCTACTAGTGAAGGCGACAAAAAACGAGAATTCCCTAGACGTTGAGTTTAGAAAAGCGCAACGGTTCATTTCTGATGCTCTGGTGTACTGTTGAAAATTATAACACACTTCTGTTTCTGGTTATTATGTGGATAAGGGCCTCCGCCAGTTAAGCAGGCTAGGTGCCGTTCGGAGATTCATTTTGGAAGATTGTCGGACTTGTGGGCCTTGCTCAATGTCCCAGCCGAACGGGAAAGTATTTGTGAGGGGAACTCAGCCGACCCAAGGTGGTCGATGGAGGTCAATCCTCCCATGTTCAGCCCGCCGATAACGTCAGTATTTTGGCAGGTGGTGGCTCAATGTCCCAGCCGAATGCAAGAGCATTTCCGAGGGGCACTCAGCCGGTACCAGGAGGTCAACGGATAGAACGTCGGACTTGTGGTATGTGGTCATGCTCAATGTTCCAGCCGAATGGGAGGGTCTTTCTGAGGGGCATTCAGCTGACCCAAGGGACAAGGGAGCCGGAGTGCTTGTGGATGGGCTGGAAATTGAACGAATCGAAAATTGGATAGATTTAGAATGAAGACGTGGGGAAAGGCTATAGCTGCCCAAGGTGGTTGACGGATGTGAATCCTCCCGCATTCAGCCCAGACAACGTCGGTATTTCGGCAGGCGGTTGTGCTCGATGTCACAGCTGAATGTGTGGGTATTTCTGAGGGGAATTCAGCCGACACAGGGCGGTCGACTCCCACGTTCAGCCCCGACAAAGTCAGAATTTGGTAGGTAGTCATGCTCGATGTCCCAGCTGAACGGGAGTCGTGATTCTGGCAGGTGGTGACCATTGGGCTATGTAACGTCGCAGTTTTTTCCGGGCCACCTTGTTTGGCTTCACTTTTTGGTCAGCCGCTTTCGTGACGCAAAGTGTTCAATAGATAGAACATCGTGATTCCGGCAGGTGGTCGTGCCCGATGTCCCAGCTGAGCAGGAGGGTATTTCTGAAGGGCATTCAGCCGACCCAAGGTGGTCAATGGATGTGAATCCTCCCCCGTTCATCCCAGACAACATTGGCATTTCGGGGGGTGGTCGTGGTCGATGTCCCAGCCGAATGCGAGGGTATTTCTGAGAGGCATTCAGCTGGCACAAGGAGGTTAAGGGTGCCAATGCCTGTTTTGGAGGTGGTTTGAATATCGGAATGTTGGTAGTTGGTCGAGCTTGTTATCCCAGCCAAATTGGAGGGTATTTCAGAAAGGGTATTCAGCTGGAACATTGTGAACGTATCTGTTGGTTACGTTTTGGTCCCAGGCTGTGCAGAGATTCGGTTCAAGTACCATTCAGCTGACACAATGTTAGAGATGTGCTGGATGTTCATGCTAGATATCCCAGCCGAGTAGGATGGTAAGCGTGTTTGTAACTCAGCTGAGACAACTCATACCTAGATCAGTCAGTGTGCAGGGCCGGTCGCAGTCAGTCAGGTCCCGGATAGCTTTCAGGTCCCGGATAGCTTGGTATAGGTCAGGTACAGACGGTTAGATCCGCGTCTGTCAGGTCATGGATAGCTCGATGTCAGTCAGCTGAGACACCAACACTGAAACCAGGGACTGGTGCCAAAAGCATACACCGCAGTCAGCTAGAACAAGAGATATAATAACATTGGGACAGACATTCAGCTGATGCACAGGTATAGGTCAATGACCATTCTCAGCTGGGTCCGGTGAAGCAATTGGCATAGTGTTTTTCAAAATCCTGCGAGACATATGGATTGTGTCTATTCCTGTGCATACTTGTGTCCCATGGGAGAGAGGGGACCTCGTTTGGCTGTACTGGCGCAGCCGGGACGGTTCAACGGGGTTTAGTCCGTTGACACATGCCACATCCATCGATATAGGTTCGGATGTCTGCTTGGATTCGGGGCCACCAGTAGTTCCGAGTGATCAGTTCCTGGGTACGATATCGACCAGGGTGTCCCGATACTGGGGAGTCATGATGGAATCTAATGATGTCCTCTCGGAGTCCCTTATCCTTTGGCACGTACACTCTTCCCTTGAACGTCACGAGGTGTTCGTCGGATTCGATCCAGTCTGGGTCCTTCTGCAGTAGAGCCTTGGCCACCGCTTTGTCCCTTCTTCTCCAAGAGCGCTTTGACCCGTTCCAAAAAGTTGGCATCTGGTCCGTGAGATGCCCACTTCGACCCTTCTGAAGAGTTCTTCCTTCAAGAGGATCACGTCTTCGTTATCGTTGGCTCCTCGATCGTGATCGGCTCGTCGTGAGAGGAGGTCAGCCTTGGTCATCTGTTTTCCAGGCTTGTGGTGAAGGGTGAAGTGGTACTGTTGCATCTCGGTGAGCCAGCGAGCTTGGCGGCAATTCAACTTCTGGGGTTTTCGGAAATACCCGAGATTCTTGTGATCGGAGTGGATCTCGAAGACGTGTTTAGCTCCAAGGAGGTACTGTCTCCAATCTGAGAGTGCACGCATGATGGCGAGCATCTCCTTGTCGTAAATCTCGTAATTCCGCTCGGTCGGGTTCAGGGCATGGGAGATGAAAGCTACCGGTTTCCACTTCCCATCAGGCTGTTGTTGGGAGAGGACTGCCCCAGTTGCGAACTCGGATGCATCAGCCTCAACACGGAACTTCCCAGTGTCATTGGGAATAGCGAGGACAGGTGCAGAGCAGATTCGATCCTTAACTGCTTGGAAGGCTGCTTCTTGCGCTTGTCCCCAATTCCATTCCTTGTTCCCGGTTAGTTCCGTGAGTGGCCTAGCAATCTCTCCATATCCTTTGATGAACCGTCGATAGAAGTTGGCAAACCCAAGGAACTGTTGAACTTCGTGTTTCGATCGTGGAGTGGGCCAGTCTCGGACAGCATCGACTTTGGCTGGGTCCATGCGTACTTGGTTGTGGGAGACAATGACACCGAGATATTCCACTTCTTTGGCTTTGAAAGCGCACTTCTCCGGTTTGAGGTAAAGTTTGTGCTCGGCAAACTTCCTCAGGACCCTTCGGACCATTTCCCGATGTTCCTCCAATGTTTCCGTGAAGATAAGGACGTCATCCATGTATATGATGACTTTTCCGGTGTTGATTTTCCTCTCGGAATATGGCGTTCATCATGGTTTGGAACGTTGCGGGAGAGTTTGTGAGTCCAAAGAACATCACCAGAGGTTCATACAGTCCCCTGTTGGTTCGTAACACCGCTTTCCACTCGTCTCCCTCTTTGATACGGACATTGTTGAAGCCCCAACGGACCATCTAGTTTGGTGAAGTACCGTGCCTTTCTGAGTTTGTCTACTAACTCTTGGATCAATGGCAGGGGGTATCGATTCTTCACAGTGATGTCGTTAAGCCTTCTGTAGTCCTGGACTGGTCGGAGGGAGCTGTCCTTCTTTTTCACAAAGAAGAACGGAGAGGCCATGGGGGATTTAGATGGACGGTGTTACGAACTCCCCTATTTCCTCCATCTTACTTCCCTTGTTTCCTTCTCTACGCTCTATTTCCCCGAACCCTCCGAACTCCCGTTCCCTCTGTACTTCCGTTCCTTCCGTAGTCCCGTGATCTTCGCTTCTTCGATTCTCTCGCATCTCTGAACCTTTCGTACATCCGTCCCTCTCGTATTCCGTACTCATTGATACTCCTTACTTGTCGCTTTCATACCTTCTTTCACTCTCTTCCGAACCTCTTGATAACCCGCTAGCTCTACTATAAATACTGTCTCCCTGTAGTAGATATTCCTCAGCCTGTTATCGAGAACCTTTCCTCTAGAACTTCTATCGCTCTCAAGCTCGATCCTTTCTGTCTGCGATAGCGACAGGCCTCCTGAACATTGATTCCAGAACCAGAACTTCGATCCAGAACTCCAGAACTCCAGAACGACTGTTGGCAACGATAAACCTCGTTGCCCGAAGTCGTAACAGACGGATCCTCCCTGACTGCAGGTTTTCTTCCAAGAAGGCATCAAGTGCTTGTTGCTCTTCAGGGTTCAGCGGGTAGATCTTGCAGTCCATGGTCTCTGCTCCAGGGATGAGTTCAATTGCATGGTCCCAGAGTCGCCTTGGAGGTAGTTCATCGAAGGACTGCTTCGAGAACACAAATTTGAAGTCATGGTAATGTGACGGTACCAGTTCTTCAAATGTCTTGGCTTTTTCCTCCTTGGCTTTCCTTTCAGCAATTCTTCCGGATGTCGTCTGGAACGCCCGTAGTCGGATCTCGTGTTGAATGTCTACCACGAGAATGTGTTCCCCATCCTCGAGGTCCTCGTATTCGATTTCCTCTGATTCAGGGTCTGATCCGACAAGTGGGGTACATTCTATGGGACACCGGTTGAACTCTATCGTACCAGTCCCTCCAATCAATAGAGGGGTTATGCCGTTTTAGCCATTCGAACCCGATGAAGACGTCCGTTTTCCCTAGTTCGGTTACTCCGAATTCCAATCTCTCAATGTGGTCTCGGATCTTGACGTGGAGTTCGACACATTCGGAGATAGCTCCTCCTGCGTTTTCCGTACCATCAGCATTATAGACAGGGATGGGGATGGGGAACTTTCTTGTTCGGATATTGTTTCGTCGGACAAAGTCCCTGTCTATACAGCTTCTGGTGCAACCACTATCTAAGAGTCCGGAAGTTCGGAAGCTCCGCTTGTCGTCTAGGGTACTCATCACCATGTCCAGATCCAGCTGGTTGCCCTTATGACCACGAATAAATCGTTTGGGTCGAGCCATCTCCTTTAGGGCCTCTACCACTGGTCCGTCCAATAGCTGTCTGAGCTGGGATATCTTTTCGTCCGTGACCTCTTGCCTTTTTTTGGGATGGACCCAAGACATCAGGATTCCTCTTGCCATCGAGGGTTCTGAGTTGTCAAGTCGTTGGGCTACCCATTCTGCGGAGCCCGGTTCCACTTTCTTTCCGTAAAATCGCGCATTGTCCCTTTTCGATCGTGCGTAAACATCATGTGATTCGAGTTCTGGCATATGTACATATGGGGATCGAACAAAGGTACTCCTATCGACCGGCAAGTCTGCGCTGACTCCCGGTCCGTGTAAAAATCCTCGAGTTGTTTCTTCAGCGCGGCACGTTCGTCCTCCGTGAGGGCTCTGATGTCGATGGTTCTGGTGTTAAACTTGGTCTTGTTGGGACAGTCTCGGCTAATATGTCCCTTCTGGTGGCAGGTGAAGCAGAGACCCTGTCGTCGGTGCGCATCAATGTCCATAGCGTTCAGGTCGGCGGGGCGAGGGGGAGGCGGAGTAGGAGTGGATTGGGCAGCGGGTCGGAAGGAAGGGAAGAAGGGCCTTGGTGGAGGAGCGCTAGTTGCCTTTGGAGCGGGTTTTTCCGTTTTGAATCTAGCCTTCTCCCGTTTACGAATTCGGTACTGGCGATCGAGGTTAGCGGCTCGCTCCATCCATCCGGCAAGGGTCGTGGGGAAGTTCTCCTGGTCGTGGCACTTGTCCAACAGCCTGCCGTTTAGCCCTCGCTTGTATTCCTCGATGAGTGCTACTTCGTTGTATCCAGAACGAGTCATATATGATCGGAACTCGGTGTTGTAAGCCTCACAGGAGCGATCTCCCATCTCGATGGTTTGGATGGCTAGGATCACTTCTGCTCGGGAGTTCTGGACCTGGAAGTGGGCGAGGAAGGCCTTGGCGAAGCCCTTCCAGTCATCGTAAGCGAGGGGTGTCAGCGATGATCTCAGCCCGTTGAGAATTTGCCCATGCAGATGCCATGCCATTGGTGCCTCCTTTGATTTTGGAGAGAGCGTAGGAGATTTGTCGTAGTTCATCTGCTTCTCCGATATGCTTGAAGTAGAGGACACAGGCATCAAGGAAGGCTTGGGCATCTTCCGGTTTCCCGTCGTAGGTTTCGGGTGGGTCCGGTTTGGTTTTGGGCTTGTCGGTTCGTTGGGCTAGGGCCTCGGAGACCTGGGTGCTGGCAGCGGCTGACTGGGCCAACGCCTCTGAAGCTTGGGCAAGGGCTGGCTGGTAGCCGGAAACGGCAGCCACTAGGTTTGCCACACTATCGGCAAGGCTTCCCAGGGCTTGGTACATGTAGTCCCAAGCGGAGACCTGCTGACCTTGGACCTGGGTCTGGTCAGGCTGGAGGAGTTGAGGGGCGGGTTGGCCGTCGTTGGCAGGGGGTATTTGTAGGGGGGAGGGGTGGGTGGATCATGGTATCGTAAAAAGAACAATGGGCTCGTGGGCAAGAGAAAGAAAAAGGTAAGGTAAGAAAAGCTAGACTATCTCCCGGTTGTCACTGTGTTAGCCACACAGAGGGGAGCTACACTATGTGCTTTGGACCTAAGTTCCGCAGCTCTCTTGGTTGCTGCCTTCCTACAGAAGGGGCGTCGCCAAGGATAACCTACTGAAAGGGGAAAGAGAAAAGGAACTATGTAAGGGAGTAAGTAGCGCGAGTGGGGGTTGCCTTGTTAGGGCGGAGGGCGATGAGAGACTCGAGGGTGCCGGGGATAGACACAGTCGAGAAGGGGTAGTCTTTAGCTAATGTCAGCAACTAACTACTTGATCTGTCGTTCAAGCAATCAATAGCTGCACTAGAAAAGACTTGGCGAAAAGCGATAGGATTCAGTGAAGACTAGAGTGTTGTAGCTAGGAATAGACCAGCTAAAGACTGAGGAAACTACGCTTACAAGTCTACTCTATATACTACTTGAGTTGTATGTACTTGTTTGGTCTATGGTCTGTGCGCGCGCAGTGTTTTGTTCAGCTGGCGGGGTACGGTCCCATGACTCATCACGTGTCTGAGTCACGTGACATCCTATATTACTAACTACAGAGTCTCAGCGAGAAAAGGAAAAGAAAGGTCTGATTCATGATACCTTAGTCCCCTGATCGCAGCCAAAAATAGCGCAGATCATGACGACCACAAGTAGTAAGCCTTAGAGCATCTAGATGCAGCCAAAAAAGTGCAAACTAGATTCTGGATGCAGCCAGAGACTAGCGCAAACCAGATTTAGCAATGCAGCCAAACAAGCGCAAAGCTAAAGCCTAGCGGGGCTCATAACCTGTCAAGCAAACACTATCTAGCTAAGGTGGTCTACTCTAAGACTTACCAGGTAGAGTGTTATGTGAGGCTAACTAGTGGCTAACTACAAGAGTTGTGATGAACTCTGTCATCTATTCCAAGGCCAGGGAGGGCCTGTATTTATAGTTTACAGGAAGCGTGACAGATGTGACATAAACTACATAAATGTTAGACTCTACGGAACTGCGGAGTCTGCGGAGTCGAAGGGACCTTGGCCTCAACGTATTGCGTTGTGCCCACGCTGGTGGTATATGGTCCAACCCGAAAGGAGAGGGGAGGAGAGGGAGAGAGAGACGCGCCTTACGGCGGAAGACGAGGAGAGAGGGGAGAGAGCCTTGCGGAGTGGAATCAGGAGCACTGTGCGGAAATGCGGAGTATGCGGAAAAGCTCTAGCAAGCCTGAAGGCTCAAGACTGGACAGAGGAGAAGTTCTGTATAAGTCTGATTCGAGATTCCGGATGAGTATCTACTACAGAAATCTAGCTAGCTTATATATCTGTAGATACTCTGGATATACTCTGGGACAAGTCTGGGACAAGAGAAGAAACTGAGTCATAAGAAATGCGGAATACCGCGGAATGCGAGGAAGATGAGTAAGACGATTCCAAAGAACAATAGCAAAGCAAGGAAGGGAGTCATAAAGAAGTATAAGAGGTCACATGCAGAGTCTGGGCGCCTAGAGGGCGGTTACGAGGTTTCTCCGCGCGGTCCGCACCGGCCCTCAGTTGCGGGCCGTGTCGGTCCGCTGGTACTTGCGGGCTGCGGACTTGCGGATGCGGACATCCATAGAGCGGACACATGCGGGGAGTCCGCATGTGCAGGAGTGGGATGGAGGTGCGGAGATGTGGGAGATGCGGGATGCGGAGAGATGATGGCGAGTGCGGGGATGTGCGGAGATGTGCGGGGTCATGCGGGATCATGTGAGACTGTGCGGGGGGTGTGGGTCAAGGCTGGTGGGTTGTGGGTAGATGTGGGTGGATGTGGGTGGATGTTCGAGACCCTAACAATAAATATGGAAGGTGTGACGGGTGAGTAAGCGAATGAGTCATCATGAGCGATAATGACGCAATATGGTGCAAGTATTAGCACCTACTCATGTGACGTTCCAGAATGTTCTACACTAGAATGTTCTAGAGTGTTCTGGACTGAGTCTCACTAATCTAATCTAATCTACGATGTAATCTACAGATAAGATAAGATAAGTTCAACGTTTAATAGTTGTTGGCCGCTATAGAGAGGGCGGAGCGTCGACACACGAATTTTTGCTAAGCCGTTGTCATGCTTTGGGGGTTCCTATAAAAACCTGGTTAGTGTCCCAGTCTTTACGCTGCTATCCTTTTGTTTGCGCGCGCCCTCCTTCCAAGGTAAGATTTTGATGTTTGTTCTGATGAGGCTGACGACAAACATACAGCAAACAAAGGTCCCAGCGTGAACAAACTGAATTGATCCCCACATCGTAGAAGAATCCCTCCAGAAAGCCCTCGAATCTCGAACCGAACGAAGGAACAAACAGAAAGAAGAAAGAAGACTTCAAAAGAAGCATCAGAAAGCTACGAAGTCACCAAGGTCGAGGGGCCCTACTGAAATCGAACGAACCCTATCGGACCAACTGAAGAATCTGAACATCGACCAACCGACTCCATCGAAGAACCAAGAAGACCCTGAAACCGTACTCTAATACCGACATGGCCGGAAACAATAACAGCAACTCCACCAAGAACAACTCGAAGAGCGACAATGGCAAAGTCATCCCCAAGAGGTTCAACGGAAACTGCTACCACTACCAGGCATTCCGCGATGCCGTCGATCTCTTCTTCATCACTGACGACAAACACGACACCGACCAGAAGAAGATCGCCTTCGTCCTTGCCCTACTCGACAAAGGAGAAGCTCGCATTTGGCGAACCAACTACCTCAGACAATGCCGCAAGAACGGAAAACTTGATCTCGGAAATTTCGATGAACTGCTCAAGAAACTCGATGATACTTTCAAACAACCTGAAGAAGAAGACGAAGCCCTCTTTGCTCTTAACAACATGAAGCAACGACCCAATGAACGCGCTGAACAAACGATCACTCGATTCAGAGAACAAGCCTCCCTCGCTGGTCTCGATCTCACCAAGAACGATCGCATCGCTATCGACTACCTCAAAGACGTCCTAGACCCTGGCCTCGTCGACAAAGTCTCCCTCGACGTTAGAGAACCTGATACATTCGAAGAATGGGTTAAACTCGCCATCAAATATGACCGGGTCTATCGACGCAACAAACTTCTCAAGTCGCTCGGCAAACGAGGAAACACCCCCAACTTCCGCAAGACCCTGAGCGCCTTCGCCAGATCCACCAGAAACAATTCCGAACGCGATCCCGATGCCATGGACATTGATGCCATTTCCACCGATGAACGAACTCGAATGATGAAGACCGGCAGCTGTTTCTACTGCCGTGAACAAGGTCACATCGCCAAGGAATGCCCCAAGAAACGCAAAGATCGAAACTCATCCACCTCGAACGACACCAAGAAGAAGACCCCTCGAGAAGCCACCAAATACATCCGAAGACTCCTCGCTCAATACTCCCCAGAAGAAGAAGCCGAAATCCTCGAAGCTGCTGGAGACACCCTCGATGAAGACGAAGACGATGACCAGGAGAGATTTTTGAATCGGGGAGCGGTTCAGTCAACGTACGCCTCCCCTCAGCTTGATATCTACTCTGTACTAGTCACCGAGATCAATGACCACACTATGCGCGCCCCTATTACTCTCATTGGTGAAAAGACAGGAAAAACCGTTGACACTAAAGTCCTTATTGACAGCGCAGCAGGAGGAACCTTTATTAGCACAAGATTCGCGAAACGACGAAATATTCCCCTTCGCCCATTACCCCGACCACTCAAAGTCAACAACGTTGATGGAACTCCAAACAAGGAAGGAGCAATCACTCACTTTGTCGACTCATTGGCTCGATTACACGGTCGAACATTCCGGATTCGGTGGTATGCAACAGAAATCGCCCACCAAGATCTAATCCTGGGTCTCCCATGGCTCCGCCGCGCAAACCCTATCATCGACTGGAAGAAAGGAACACTCGACTGGAAAGACAAGATCGACCCCGATAAAATCGAAAATCACCTTCCTCGAACCAACCTATCCACTCCAAACACAGCCACCGTCGCCATAATGTGTCTCCTCGAGGACGAAACCGACGAAGAAGGCGAAACCCCTGTCGTTTGGATCAACGCAAAAACCACTACCGCTCAACTGCTAGCTGCACAAGAACAAGAAAAGAAAGAAAAGAAGACTATCGACGACATTCTCCCAGAACCATACAAGAAGTATCGACACTTATTCGAAGATCGCCCAGAAACAGCCCTTCCCCCTCACAGAAAATGGGATCACAAGATCGACCTCAAACCCGGATTCGTTCCCAAAGTATTCAAGACTTATCAGCTCACCCCAGCCAAAGACCAGGAACTACAGAAATTCCTTGAAGAAAACCTCCGACTCGGACGGATCCGCCCATCACAATCTCCGATGGGATCACCCCTTTTCTTCGTCGCCAAGAAGAACGGAAAACTACGTCCCTGCCAAGACTACCGCTACCTCAACGACTGGACCATCCCTAACGCTTATCCACTACCTCGAACTGACGAACTCATGGATCGACTCCAAGGATCCCGATACTTTACCAAATTAGACATCAAATGGGGGTATCATAACATCCGGATCCGAGAAGGAGGCGAGTGGAAAGCCGCCTTCAAGACAAATCGAGGACTCTATGAACCGACTGTCATGCTCTTCGGAAAACGCAACTCACCAGCAACCTTCCAGAACATGATGAACGACATCCTCGACCAAGACGACGGAAACCCCAAACCTCTCAAGACAGAGGGATATATGGACGACCTCATGCCCCACGGAAGAACCAGAGAAGAATGTCGAGAAAACACCTTAAGAACCCTCGCCAAACTCGACAAATACGACCTCCCCCTCAACCTCGAAAAATGCATATTTGAAGCCACTGAAGTCGAATATCTGGGTTTGATTGTCCGACATAACGAACTCAGTATGGACCCCACGAAGGTGGAAGGCCTAGCCAACTGGCCGACACCTAAAAACGTCAAACAAGTCCGACAGTTCCTCGGCTTCGGGAACTTCTATCGATGATTCATCCGAGATTACTCCAAGATCGCTAAACCACTCAACAACCTCACACGAAAAAACAACAAGTTTGAATGGACAAGTGCTACCGAAGAAGCCTTCCAAGAACTCAAGAAGCGATTCACATCTTACCCCGTTCTCCGCATGCCCGACTTCACCAAACCTTTCCAAGTTGAAGCCGACGCCTCGAAATACGCTTCCGGTGCTGTCCTCACACAAATGGATGACGACGGAATCTGACACCCGGTCTGTTTCATGTCCAAAACCTTCAACGACGCCGAACGAAACTACACCATCTTCGATCGAGAATTACTGGCCGAGCCCTTACCGAGTGGAGACACTACCTCCAAGGGTCCCCCTTCCCATTAACCATCTTCTCCACTTCAGTCACCTATGGAAGCCTATCACGAAGATCATATTAATTTCTTCGCTTCCAAGGGTCATGTGACCCCCCTTCCCAGGAAGCTTCCAGCCTCTGCCCATCCCAAAAAAAATCCAGGAAATTCCACCACCAATCCACTTCCAGCTTCCACTTCCACCTTGGAACTTCCAGTGGACCAAACAAAGGGTATCCACTTCCAGTTCCATTCCAGCCATCAAACGTGATGCACTCCAAAATTGATGGGAAGCCAACAGGGAAGCTCCAAAATAGTACCATTTTCTGGAAACAATAAACATAAATGATCAAATCAAATTCTTGATGAGATGTGGGTGGATGTGGGTGGATGTTCGAGACCCTAACATTAAATATGGAAGGTGTGACGGGTGAGTAAGCGAATGAGTCATCATGAGCGATAATGACGCAATATGGTGCAAGTATTAGCACCTACTCATGTGACGTTCCAGAATGTTCTACACTAGAATGTTCTAGAGTGTTCTGGACTGAGTCTCACTAATCTAATCTAATCTACGATGTAATCTACAGATAAGATAAGATAAGTTCAACGTTTAATAGTTGTTGGCCGCTATAGAGAGGGCGGAGCGTCGACACACGAATTTTTGCTAAGCCGTTGTCATGCTTTGGGGGTTCCTATAAAAACCTGGTTAGTGTCCCAGTCTTTACGCTGCTATCCTTTTGTTTGCGCGCGCCCTCCTTCCAAGGTAAGATTTTGATGTTTGTTCTGATGAGGCTGACGACAAACATACAGCAAACAAAGGTCCCAGCGTAAAGTACTGGTTGCGAGTCTACCGGTGATGGACTGTATACCCAGATGATACAAGAGCCTGGGAACTCTAACATGCTTATGAGGACTGATAAGAACAATGCTCCCATCAATCGAACCGGAGCCGCTTTGCCGAGAGGCCACGGCAAAATCCGACTGCGGATCAAAAGAGAGAGTGGGTGGTTGGAGGAGAGTGTGGTACTACGGTGTTGTTGAATTTGAGATGGACGGGCTGAGTGAATCGCAACAAGCTGCTGTGATCCAACTGCGCGAACTTACGAACGGTGGGGACGACGAGGTCGCTATCGGTGTCCTCCGCAGTGTGAATTGGGACGTTGGGGTGCGTCATCCTCGTGCAATTGCTGTTACAGTGTGCTCACCAGTCCTCACAGCGAGCAGCGGACTTGGTGTTTGGCGGGACTGGCGTTGGGCAGGCCCCTCCTGCGCCTAACAGCGACACAGAACGACATGCGTTTACCGTCGACGACTCTGAGCAAGGGTTCACTTACGACCACCAGTCGTCTTCTCTATCCACCGCAACTCGCCCAATTCTCACAATTCTCTCGTTTCCGTTCACACTCCTCTCTTCCATCTTCCGTTTCATCTTCAACGTCCTCCGAATCCCCTTCCCCTCCCTAGGTCGTTTCGTCGGTCTCACATTCTACAGCCCTCTCAATCGCAATGCCTCACGACGGGGCCACGGAAGCGGCGGGCCAGATCGCTGGATTCGCGAACTCGAAGAAGAGACAGGTGCAATCTGCATTGGGCGGCTCAAGGCGTCCAAGGGTGTGTCCTCCGGGCGAGACAACGACCGTGGCGAAGCAGGGCCAAGCGGTCCCTCAAGTTCGACTCTCAGCTCTAGGGCAGCAGCAAGCGGCGGAGACGGGATCTTCGAGGACGGGCGACTTGTCTTACCCGATTTCGTAGGCGGGACTTACGAAGGAGCGCTCAAGACGTGTCAGCGCGAGTATCGCGTGGGGTGTATCATTCTGGTCAGCGAAGAACACGATGATGTCGCAGAGTTCAAACGGTGTGTAATCAGTCCTTTGTCTGTATAGCTTTCCCTTATAATTTACCATTCAGGTCAACGCTCACCGACCAAACATTCGTCAAGACGCTGCACGACAACAACGTGCTCGTCTGGGGAGGAGATGTCCGAGACCGAGAAGCCTGGAGCGGTACGTATCCACTCCTAGTCCTCTTATTCCACCTAACCTCCTTTCACAGCATCCGAGAAGCTCCAAGCAACAACCTATCCCTTCGTCGCCTTCGTCGCCCTCCAACCACGCCGCACAGTCGGCAACTCGTCCAGCTCACGCTCCACTCCCCCTTCCCTGACAGTTCTATCCCGACACCAAGGGCCTTCCACACCCTCCCGCAACGCAACCGGCCCAACGTCCGCCCAAACCCTCACCGCCCACCTAACAACTCAAGTCCTCCCCCGCGTCACACCCTATCTCGCCGGCCTCCGCTCTGCCCAACTCGAGATCGAACGCGCCCGCCAACTCCGCGAGGAGCAAGACCGCGCATTCCAAGATAGCGCTAGACGGGATACCGAACGAATCCAGCGCCTCATGCGTGAAGAAGAAGAGCGCAAGCGGGAGGAACAACGTTTGCTTGAGGTTAAGCAACGCGAGGAAAAGGAGAGAAAGAGGGCTGAAGAAGAGCGGATTAAAAAGGAGGAAGAGAGGATGGAGTGGAGGAGATGGACTAGAAAAGCTTTGCGCGACCGCGAAGCGATCACGGATGGTAAACCCCTGCGCCTCGCAATCCGCCTACCCAACGGCACGCGCACCGTCTCTCAGTTCACCTCCCGCGACACGTTGACAACGCTCTACGCCACCGTCGACGCTCAACTTGTACCTTCGCACCTCTCACCTGATGATGATCCCGCCTCTCCTCCATCCCCATCCAACCCCGGTTCCTCACTAGAAGAAACACTCGAATCCCTCATCCCATCTTACTCAGCCTCGACTTCTACAACATCCACCCAATCCTACTTCAACTTCCTCCTCGCATCCTCCTACCCACGCACCGAGCTACCCTGGTCACCCTCCACCCCTCTCTCCTCTGTCCCCGAACTGAAGGGCGGCGGACAGCTGGTTGTGGAGATGGTCACCGATAGTGGGCGGTCGTCTAGAGCTTCGTCGAGAGCCAACGGGGCAGGAAATGGAGGTGACGACAGCGATGAATATGATACCGAGGAGGATTGAGGTTGTACCATGACAACCCGGGCGATGATGGCCAAGAGGTGATTTAAGGGGCGATTACACTCGTCAAAGTCCTAGACCAACAGAGGCTGGACGAGTTATTGAAAGCTGGGTCTTCGAACGGAGCCCACAATAACTTGAAGAGTCGAAGACCGGACTAGGATGAAATGGCCTTCAGCTAGGGCTCACGCTGATCAACTATATCCCCGTCCCCATGATTCTTGTTCTCTTCCTATCGCATACCTATCAATATCTGATCCATTGCACTCATTCAGCCATTATTACCATCCCCTTCCCTGTCGCATGTTCTGACTCTTTATTCTACCCTGTATTTCATCCAGTTCATATATATAATTACCTTTCGCTATTTCTGAGGCCTGAGGCACTGCTCTGGATCCCAACCGATTCTCTAGTGGAACCAACTCAGTTTTTGAGATTGCTACAGCGCAGACACTACAGCGCAGACACCACATCTACATATTGCTCATCCACAATCCCAATTCCCAACTCCAGGACACTCGACCAGTTCTGAAGTTCAACGGAACATCATCACCACCACTTGCCACCCAGTCCTGTGCGGTTCCATGACAGCCAAGCGGCAGCCGTGAATCCATTGTTGGCCTTGGCGTCAACATCAAGGCCGTTCACCTTCAACAGCGCCTCCACAACCAACGTGTGCCCTCCACGCGAAGCCATAATCAACGCCGTCTCTCCGTCGTCATCAACGGCATTAACATCCACCCCATCGCATTCAACTAACTCGCGGACGGTATCGTGGTGTCCACTCTCTGCGGCCCAGTGCAGCGCAGTGAAGTTGTGTCGGTCGCGGAGGTGAGGGTCGAGTTTGGGGTGGAGCAAAAGCTGTTTGAGAGCGCCTATATGGCCATTACGCGCCGCTAACATCAACGCCGTCTGACCCGACTGGCAGGCCATATTGACCTCGATTGCAGGATCCTGCAAGAGTCGGGCAACGATACCCTCGTGGCCGTGCCAGGAGGCTAGCATGAGTGCGGTCCATCCGTCGTTGGTCGCATTGACCTGCATGCCGGGGAATTGGAGAAGCCTTGCTACAGTGTCTTCGTGGCCATTGACTGATGCTAGCATGAGGGCCGACCATTGGCATCCGTTGAGATGGCTTGGATGGACTTGGATGCCAGGGAAGTTGAGCAGTCGAGCAACGATATCTGCGTGGCCGTGACTTGCGGCTAGCATGAGCGGTCCCCATCCACCTTCCGCATTGTTGACCTGGATTCCGGGGACCTGGATGAGCCTGGCTACAGTTTTTTCATGCCCGTTGTTCGACGCGAGCATCAATGCAGTGAATCCATCATTTTTGGCGGCATTAACGTCTAGTCCTGGGTCCTCGAGGAGTCTGGAGACGACACTCTCAAACCCATTGATTGAGGCTGCCATGAGCGCATTCAACCCGGCGCTGTTCGCAGCGCCAACATTGATTCCAGGAATCTGAAGCAGCCTGTCGACAACGCCTGTGTAGCCGCTGTTTGACGCCATCATGAGTGCTGTCCAACCGCCTGTGCACGCTATGTCGACCTGGATTCCAGGGGCTCGAAGAAGTGCGGTGACAACACCTTCGTGGCCGTTAATCGAGGCTGCCATGAGTGCCGTCCATCCATCTTGTTGTACCGCATTGACATCGATTCCCGGGAACTGGAGGAGTTTGGCAACTGTGTGATCGTGGCCATGTAATGAAGCCAGCATAAGCGCTGTCCATCCACCATGGTCTGGTGCGTTGACTGCGATTCCTGGGAACTCCAGGAGTGCGCAAACGATGTCTGTACGGTCCTCGATGCATGCCAGATCTAGCGCCGTAATCCCGGCTGCCTTGCTCACTGCGTTTACATCGATCCCTGGAACCTGGAGGAGTTTGACGACGACATTCCAATGGCCCCTTTTTGACGCTATCATGAGGGCAGTCCATCCGTCATTCCGCGCTGCATTGACATCCAATTCCGGAACCTGGAGGAGTCGGTCGATAACGACGCCACAGCGGTTATTTTGCAAAGCTAACATCAGCGCAGTGGATCCGTCTTCCGTATTTCTGGCGTTGAAGTCGACTCCAGGAGCTTGGAGCAGCCTGGAAACAATCCCACTGTGGCCACTGTCCGACGCTACCATGAGCGCAGTCCATCCGTCCTTCCGGGTTGCGTTGACCTTGACTCGTGGGTGTTGAAGGATTGCGGAAACGACGCCTTCGTGACCTCTCTCTGAGGCCAGAATCAGCGGCGTCCATCCATTCAACTTTGGAGCAAAGCGGGCTGGATAGCGGTAACGATTTATCTTGGGTTTGGATTCGGGCTTGGGTAGCCCCAACTCGTCGTTTTTGGTCGAATTCACCTCGATTGTGGGGACTCGGAGGAGTCTGGAGACGATGTCCTCGTGGCCGTGGTATGAGGCTAACATGAGTGCCGTCCATCCTTCGCTCTGGGCTGCATTTACATCTACTCCGGGAACCTGGAGAAGTCTGGAGACCACCCCCTCTCGTCCGAATCTTGAGGCCAGCATAAGTGCAGTTGATCCATCCGGACTTCTGGCGTTGACATTGATTCCCTGACACTGGAGTAGCATTTCCACGTTGCGTTCGTTCCCGATGATTGAGGCTATCGTCAGCGCGGTGATCCCGTCACGGGTAGTGCAGTTGACGTCGATTCCTGGTACCTGTAGTAGTCTCCCCACGGCGCCCTCGTGCCCACCATCCAAGGCCAAAAGCAATGCGCAAGACGCATAATCGCTGATCCCTGGCACCTGCAGAAGCCTGTTGACAACACCAACGTGACCTCTGCTTGACGCAGCCATGAGTGCTGTTTGCCCTTGACTCTCCTCTGTATCGACTTTAGGCGCTTGAGGGAAATTGGCCTTGAGTCCAGCTCTCGCAGCCAAGATTCTCGAGGCTTCGGCTCTATATTTTACATATATATCGCCGACGCTCCCTGGATCATGAGCGATTCTTTCGTAGCCCGAACCTGTTGCATCCACCAATATTCCTGGGAACTGGAGGAGCCTGTCCACCACACCCTCGTGGCCCTTCAACGAGGCGAGCTCCAGGGCCGTTCCACCAGCGCCTATGGTATTAACCGCAACCCCAGGGACGAGGAGGAGCTCGACGACATCCTTGTGTCCGTTGCCTGCCCCGTGCATTAACGGGGTCCATCCATCCGCACACTTGACGTTGATATCGACACAGCATTGAAGCAAGGCCTCTACCCCACGTCGCTCACCAAGGATCGCCGCGAAATGCAACGGTGTATTCCTCTTCTTTGTGGTCTTCAGGTTTAGGTCCCACCCACGCTCTCTGAGGGCCTGGAAGTGGGGCCAAAAGCCGTAGTAGGCAGCAACATGGGGGGGTCCCAGCCAATCCAGGTCTCTATTCCAACCCCAACGGAAGGGAATGTGGGTAAAGCTTGACAGGAAGTGGTCGATAGCGTCCGTAATTTCGGACTGAGGGCATTGGTGAACGTGGACTCCAAGATGTTTATGCGCATAGAAAAGGAGGGGTTGTTCATCCCACTTGAATGGCATAAGGATCGCATAGGTGGGAACGGTGGCGGTGGAAGTAATTCGTTGGAAGAGAGTCTTGGCGATGGGAACGTGCGGATGTGGAAAGTCCTTAAGAAGAAGGGGAGCGATGGCGTCTATGGCCGTATAGTCTGGGACGAGAATATTGGTGAGTAGATGTGTCTGGACGGTGGACAGTAGCAACTTACGAATAAGGCGGATTGTGTTACTCGCCCAGTGTTCTTCGACCAACCCACAGCACACCGAGATGACCGAGGCTTCATCTGGCATCCGTTCATGCTCATAGGCGCCCGTGTCTCTCGTGGCAAGCGCGTACCTCAAGTCTTGCATGGAAAGGGGACCTCGAGCATAAGTGAGCCAAAGTAAGACCCACTTGGCCAGGTCTCGTGACTCAGGATCTTGTTCCTCTATTCTCTGCATAGTGGCCGCGTACACCCCATGTAGGCCAGTTGGGAATTCTGCCAGTTTCTTTTTCACGCACTCCAGGGACCGGCAGTGTTGGATGGCGTCCAGCTGCAGAGAAGCATGGAGGAACCTGTAATTTAAATTGGTTAGCACAGGGAAAGAGTGTGTTTAAAGCATCAACACTCACATTCCTTCAGCTTTCTCAATGATCTGGTGCAGAACCTCTTCTTGGGAGTTATTCAGGCTCAAGACCCGATGAAGGTGCTTGTGCCGCCGAAGCTTTTCTTCCATATGCAACTTAAGGTCATCATTCTGAGCAGCCAATTTGCAGAACACCGCATAATTGAGGTCTTTGCCCAGATCATCCAGTGGCCGAGACGTCAACATTATGTTGCCTTGCAAGTTGTTGATGACTTGGATAAGGTCAAATCGGACATCGAGATGCGCCTCGTCGACACCGTCGATGACATAGTAAACTCGACCAAAGTAACTCTCGAGTTTCCGGAGCAACTCGACAAGTTCGTCGGCAGATGGCTCAGTCTCTTCCAGCTTATGCTTGTCGTAGACTGGCTTGACGAGGGCAGCGAGGTCATGATTGCGCTCGATGCATTGCTTGATGAGTGCCTTTAAAATGTCGGTCACGGCTAGAGGCTCGGTGTAGCGGCTGTAGACAAAGAGGACGCAAGTCCGCTCTGAGTCGTTCTCGAGGGGGAGCAGATCGTCGATGATCGTCGATCTAATGTATAATTAGCACCAGCGGCAAAACTTAGGTATTGGAATGGTACTCACGCCATTACAGTCTTTCCAGCGCCCGCTAAGAATGGAATCAGTACAACGCATAGTACAAACCGGAGGAACAACAATACGCACGCATACCCATCCACCAGATGACGCCGCCCTTGCTTTTCTTCCACTCCCGATACAGTCGACTTTCAAGGAGCCATTGTCCTGTCCCAGAAGTCCTGCGTCTACGAACATCGGTATGAATTGCCCTAAAGTTGACGTTGTCCGCTAGCCAATGGCGCAACTGTGCCACCAGTTCGCCTTCGAAAGTGTCATCTACCTGGGGATGCTCGATGATCGACAAACTTACGTCGTTTCTCCAAAGAGTTGGAGGATTTATATTCGTCAATTTGGACAATGACATCCCCAGTAATGAAGATACCGCCATCGATGTTGACATGGCGGGCATGCTTGAACATAGAGTGATCTTCATTCTCAAAGTCATCTACTCATGGATCCAGCCAGGTTGTCAGAATGGTGTTCAAACAGAAAATAACTCTTAGCGCACAAGTTCCAGGCATCGTCCAACCACCTTGGCCAGAAGTGACCTATTACTTGCATCAGAATCCTCCCCCTCCCCCTAACTAAACGAGATCCTCACCGATGTCGACAGCAGTTGGCCCATTCTGCCCTGCGTTTACCGCCCGATGGTGTAACTTTTCACAGTACAAGCAAGAGGACAAGTTGGTGAGAATGAGAGGCTGAAATTGGGACGTTGACGCTAGGATCAAATTTACAACGAGCACCCGAATTGAACCCATGGCTATGCGTGTGAACTTGAGTTGAAATCATTGTGGGCGCCTCGAAAATGTACCACATGTGACCATGGCGAACGATACCTCATGCCAGTACCTGAGTAAGTAGTGGTAACAGAGAGGCAGAGGCCTCAGTTCTCATGGCCATAGACCAGGCCTCAAATCAAAATTCAAAGCGAGCGGGTCACCGAAAGTGGGGCGCCAGAAAACGAACGTGGCGGATGGTTTGTTACGTACAAAGTTGCAAGTCCGATGCAGCTCAAAGACACACAAGCGAGCATCTCATTATTCGAAGGGATACCATTCCACACTCGGAATTGCTTCAGCTCACATGGACGAAGCGGTTGTTGGAAGTCTTAGTTTAAAGAGAATAGGGGAGTGTTTGAATCAGGCTAGGCTGTTTCCGTTTATGGAACGATACAGCGTGCTTCCTTGATGCGCTTCGGGAATTGGAATTGACCTCGACCTGACTTGGGACTTCGACCGCGACCGCGACGAAGACGCCTCCCCCCACCCTCCCTCGCGAGAAGAGAATGAGTTTCTCAGGGATTGATCCTGACTGACGTCCACAACCATGAGCAGTTGGACTCCACAAAACCTCGCATCTCGCATCTTACCGCTGCGATGGTGTTGTATCTCCAAGACCGGCCGCCTTTGGGGCCACTGGAGCCGTCCGTCCTTATTCTTGAGATCGACATTGCTGCCTTGCGTTCATAGCTAATTGCGAAGCCACAAACAGTGGGGTATCGCCATTGTGGTTCACGACGAAACCGCGTCTGTGCCATCGCGCTCTACGATAAAATGACATTCTCGGGTCACCCTCTTCCTCCAATTTGTCAGTTGGTTTTCGCAAACGCGAACCACACTCAGGGCCATGCTCCAAGACGACGATGAACGATGGATCAGAGTAAGTAGGTAGTAAAAGAACAAAAATATATACAGACATTATTTCACACTTCTCCGTCATTCATGGAACCTCACTGTGTTGGCCAATGTACGTATACGTCCAAGCACCAACTCCACGTTCAGGCCACCCCACCCATCGATAGTCTACTGCGAGAGGATCGTACGAACAAACGATTCATAGTTGACGTTTCCGTCGCTGAAAAGGGAAAGAGAAGTGTCAGCCCCGAACACAGCAAACTCAGAAGAAAAGCCAAGTTGGAAGGTACTCACGCTCCAATCTGCACACCCTTCAACAACTCATCCACCTCCTCATCCGTCATCTTCTCTCCAAGCTGCGTAAGGACGTAGCGCAGTTCACCAGCACCGATGAAGCCGTTGCCTTCTTTGTCGAAGACTTGGAAGCCGCGGATGAATTCCTCTGTTTAATGGTTAGCGGGAATGACGGATTTAGTGGGAAGGGAATGGAGAGGATATGGGGGCGAGGGCAAGGTTATTGTGGGTATGAGTGGTTTAGCACGGGCGGCGGGTTGGTGGAAGGAGGAAGCGTGAGGGAAGGGAGAAGCGAATCGAGGCGTCGTACGCAGAAAATGATCCGTCGAATGGATATCGATGGTCGCGGTGGGAACACGAGCCGTTCATGACGAGAACAGGGACATTGGGTGATTCGGAGCATAGCGTCCAGCGAGGTTACGGTATCATCCATGAGAGCATCGATTGGGGATGACGGGTCCAAGGGTTGATTTCATCGAGGGTTGAGGCGAGAGTGAATTCCAGAATCCGACGGTGCGTAGAAAGAGTTAACGGCGCGGTGGACAAGCGAGCAGGTGGGCATGGTGGAGAAGACCCCGAGAAACGTTCCATAGGTGATGTGTAGAGAGAGAAAGGGCAGAACGGCGAGATCATGAGTACTCTCATCCAGTACCATACCGAAGACATCCTCACCTGGCGTTCCGGCGGGCTTGAAGCCATCTGGTCGGTTGAGGATCGTCAGGAAGGTCTTGTAGTCCACTGAAAGTCAGACAAATATTCGTTAGTACACGGTAGAGTCATGATCGCACAGTGTTTCCACGATAGGGAAACAGCGCCCAGCATTTGAACGACAACCAAGGTGGGAATCCTCCGTCACAAGCCAGCTCAAAGCATAAATCCTCAATCATGAGAGAACACTCACCATCCCTAGGAGCAGAAGCGACAATCTCGGCAACCTCAGCCTGTGTGGGGTTCTGGCCCAGTGCACGCAACAGATCGCCCAGCACCTCCCTCGGTACAGCTCCTGTTCCGCGTTTATCGAATAGGGCAAAAGCCTCTTTGTATTCTGTTCAACACCGATCGAAACGAGAGGTTGGTTCGTTGGGAGCACGGCGACGGTTGGTTGGTTCGTGCACAGTTTAGGAGTCGTTTATGGAAACAGTGAGATTTGGTTCAATATCGCGGTATTATCAGGCACTAACCTGCGTTGTCGCTCTAAAATCCAAGTCAGCTTCAATCCTATAGAGTCAAGACAATAACATACCATTGTTGAATGTGGTTGTAGGTCAACAAGTGGGATGCATGGAACCAAACGCGCTGCGCGTCCCCCCTTCCTCTCCCACGCTTCCATTTCCGGAAAGATCTTATCTCCTGACGCGTATTCTCTTCTCCCCTAACAACTTCAACAATGGTTAGTCGTTTTTCTTTATTCCAATATAGAATGGCCTAACCATCAGAAATAGGATATTGACCCACTTCAAGACACTCTTCCACCGCGATACGCAGTCGAGTCGGACGAAGAGGACGAATTCAACCATGCACCGTCGTCCTCTTCACCTCCTCGCAAGATCGACGTAGCCTACCTAGGGCCCGATGTCGAAAAGGGAAAGGATCTTGTCATTGCATCCGGTGTAGCAGCGGCCGTATGGGCCAGAGGTGCTCACCTAGGCGAACAAATTGGGGCCATCACTGTCAACAAAATCCAGGTTTGTTCGCCCATAATCCATCTCAGCCCAACCTAACATTCCACTAGATCGGACTAGTCTTCCAACCATCGTATACCAAATCTTACGTCCTGGCCTCTGAGGCGCTCGTCCAACTCCCACTGGACCACATGCATCCCTACGCATCCAAAACACTCGAAATATTCCAACCATCCTCCATCTCCCTGCTCGACGTTTACTCCGCTCCAACATATGCCAGTCAAGCACCCGTACGAATCCTCGACGCACCCATTCGTTTCCTCTCAACAACCAAACTCACCTTTGACCCCAAATCCCTAAACCTCGCACCCTTCGAACCACCAAACCTCCTCTCCTCAACATCAGCCTCCTTCATCTCCCTCGCGTCCCTCCCAAACCCCATGCCAACGCCCGCAGCGGCATTCCTCCTCCCCTCATCCCAAACACCCGCCCCTCGACCAAAAGCCCTTCCCTCCCCGTCATCTTCGCTCTCTTCTTCAATAGTGCCATCTACAACTGACTCCCCTTCCGAAGGAATAGGGCCCACACTCCACCCTTCATCCTGGGACACATCCCTCCTCCAAACAGCCCACCGCGCCCTCTTCCTCGCTATCAACCAAGACATTTCAGGCAGCGACGGTGAATGGAAAGGGAAGGACGGTGCTGGAGGTTTACTTGCCGCTGAGAAGCGAAGGTCTGAAGTTGGCGAAGGGGGAATGTATTTGTAGGGAACCTATGTCGGCCATCGCAAAAATTAACTATACAGACTGAATATCCGCTCTCATTTAAGCTTTAATGCCAGACCAGGCTATGGCAAGGAAACCACCAGTCAGGGACATAATAATCGGAAATCTATAATATTCAGGTTCTCCGGTCCGCAATTTCTTCCCGGGATAGAAGCTCTGACCCCAGTGTTGTTACTGAAAAGGCTTGAGCTCGTCCTTCCGCGTGTCCATGTCCGAAATGCTTCAAAGTACATCTTACTCAAGCTTCAGTTACACAGAGAAAAGCTACAGAACCCATGCGGGTTTCCCAGCAGCCAGAATTTGAATGGCACCAGACATTCCATACCCTCTTTGGGACTATTTTGGAAGCAACATCACCCTTTCCAGAACCTCGTCACAAAACGCTGTGGCACGTCAGGTAACATTCATCTCGGTCTTTTTGCGACCCATTCCTTCGCAATAGAGGCCATGACCAACACGCGGAGCACCAACAGAGATTCTAGAGTAAGCGCCAAGGAATGGTTCAATGGTCTAGTGGTTATGATTTCTGTCTCACACTCGTGGTGCACAGAAGGTCTCCAGTTCGATCCTGGATTGAACCAGCTGCGCTTTATGGTACAATGTTTTTTCCATCCTTTTACTTCTTTTTCCTCTTACACTACCCCGCACAGACGCTTCGGTCCAGTGTTGTGAACCGACGTCCACTATGAAAGACTCCGGTTCATTGGGACGGATCTGCCAGGCTGATCAGCAGGGAGATGAACTCCTAGATCCTGCCGTATGCTACCGTGTACGTTGAAAGGCGACGATGCGAAAATGACATGAATTGGAGAAGAATGAAATGCACCACATGCAACGCCCCGGGCCGTTCCGGTTAGTTAGACTGGATAACGAATGGATATTCTTGGACCGTGCACAGTGTGGATAACATTCTCGGTGCGGCCGGGGAGCTGGTTGCCTGCACTTATGATTTCATCTACAGATAACTTACGGACCACACAACCTCATAATCCTTTCTTGACAAGCCTCTTCTTCTCCCGATTTATCATATCCGGACACTATGCCCACAGTTCATCATCTACCGGACTCTTTTAACAGGTAAAACCTGGGTGACGTCCCAAGACACCTCTGTCGACTTTACAATCTTGGTTCCAATTACCTCTAATGCCTCACGGGGATGACCAGGAGGCGATAACTCGGAATTTTGGAAACGATTTACAACTGGTAGCCGTACAGAGACTCCCACGATTTGTAGCTTGGATCGCGACCGGATCGGTTGTCAATGGGATTTTGAATCGGGGAGTTGATAATGTATCCTGTAGCTAGACCGCCCAGCTTCAGGCGCCGTGGCGAAGGATTCAAAGATTCATCGCGATACCGTCATCCACATACCTCGCACAGACCTTCTAAAATTATGTGCTGGGCTCGGCTCTCGCTCAGCAACCGCCATAAAAGGCAACAGCGTTTCCAAAATCAGAAGCTGATCTTTCGCCCAAAGGAACAGAATGGTATATCATTAACTCAAAAATGACTGTACCTAAATACTGGGTTACAAGACGAAATGTACGCATAATCAGCGATGAGAAAACGAACGTGAAAAAATAAACAGTGGACATTAATCTACGATGGGTATCACCCCTTCCACCACAAGTCTATCCCTTCCCCTCACCTCGGAAACGCACCCGGAATAGTCTGCCTCATCCTCTCCGGATGATGGAAATACGTCCCATACCTCGACTGCCTCGTCCCCCTCAACGGCGTACTATCCGTCAATGTACTCCCCCCAGGCGTCGCACCACCCCCAACACCCTCACTAACACCCTCACTCAACATACTCTCCGTAACACTCCTCTCCAGCCCATTCGTCCCATAATCCTCGCTATCACTCTCCTCATCCTCCCACTCGTCCTCGTCGGGAAGCATGATTACACCCGTGGCATGATCAAAGCTTAATCGATGGCTCAGCGTCCGATGTGGTGTCGAGCGCGGCGTCGTATCTTGCCATGGGTTCAAACTGGGATCGTGGTCGTGTGGATGGCCGTCAGCAGACGGGTCTGCGGTGGGAGACGCAACAGCGGATGTAGAGCCCCGATTATCCGGCGGTCGTGATGCCCGGCGCACTTTACTCGTTCTCTTCCTGAGCGTCAGAACAACAGCCTGCCCTTGACCATCGTCGTTGTTTACCCGGCCATTCGTACGAAGGTGGTTAACCAAACTCTGTCCCTTCTTGAGAGGGAGCCAAGGTTCAGGAAGGACGCCATTCAAAGCTGGATGTCCATAGCGTCGCTTTCCGGTGCTGTAAAGTGGGAACCAAACGATCAGCGATGAGGCCAAAACACGGTGTTGTAACGCACTTGAGAACTCCGCTATACCAATTCGCCATCGGCGGCTGAGACTATGAACCTCGTCAGTGTCCGTACTGCCATCAACGGTAGATAAAGAACTCACATAATCCGTCCGCTCATCCTCCGGAGCAACATACAGAGTATCATCATTCTGCGCATACCGCCTCCTATTCAAATTACTACCATCCTCATCAGCAACAAGTCCTTCCCAAACCCAAAAAATAGACATGCACTCACCTCTGACTCCAAGTAACAGGATGCCCCGCTCTCAACCTCACAACGTGCTCACTCTCCTCCCCCCTCTGCACCTCAAACACCGAGCTCAAGCTAACATACTTGCTCAACGGCTTCAACTCCGCATCAACATACCAACTCCACGCTACAGTACCGACCAAGAGCGGCACCAAAAGCGACGAAAGGATCCACGACTTCCTCAAAGTGAAGATACCAATCATGAAGAGGAGGTAGATGATGATACCCCAGACGAGTCGGATAAAGGTGATGGGCCAGGCTTGTCCTTGGGACTCGTAGGGTTTGTAGAAGACTGAATAGATGGTTAGCATTGACCTGAACCATGGTCGGAGAACTCACCAAATAGCAACTTGTACTTGTATACCACATACGCCACTCCAAAGTAGATCGCTCCGAAGATGACGATCAAGGGTTGGACGACGCTGTACAAGAGCGTAATGACGAACATCAAGATGGCTTGAGGGTAAACGACGCCGTAGTTGACCATCGGTGGCGCGTTCAGTTCAGCGAAGTCTAGAGCTTGATCAGGTTTCAATTCCAGTGCACGGCTAGAACGGACCCACCTCTCGGCGTCCTCGTAAAGAACATTAACGAAAACGCTCGGGGAATGATCACACCCAAATTGAGCAATTGAAGGGGCATGATACCCAAGCCTAAGAAGACCGAATTTAGTCTCCGCCGAAAACTGGAGAGAGGCCCACTGACCCTGAAGAATGACATAGGACAAGAAGAAATGCCTCGCTCGTCCAGCTTGCAAGGCCTGAGCGAGCTTCTCGGGTACCTTCGCAGGCGAGTTCGCAAGGTCACGCACAAGCTGCCAATAGGTCGTGGCGACAAGGAAGATGAAGATGACGGAGAGCAGGAGGAAGAGGAAGTATCTATGGCGGGTAAGCATCAGCGCAAAAAGCGAGAAATCAGTGCGTACTTTTTCAACAAGGAATATTCGACCCAACTCCTCGCCCGATACCCCTGAAGATAAGTCAAAGCTAATCCACAGATAAGCACCCCATTCTCCAACATCGAAATCAAGCCACACACCCTCCAAAATAAACGGCAAAAGCGCGTTCAACATGATCATCGCAACGGAAGGCAACGAATTCTGGACAATAGCCCGTATCCTATCATTCGAATCAATGAGCTCTCCAAGACGGGGCATGACCTATCCATGGGATTCATAAGCGTCCTTTCACCTAGCATCCAGGAGTCCACTACTGACCTTCTTAATCTCCTTATAACTCAGCAAACTCGCCAACGCCGAAATGGGGATAATCCAGAAGAACAGGAGGAGAGCCATCACAGCCAGAACGAAGAAATCCCGTGTACGAATAGAAGAGGTCGAAGGGGTCATATTTGCCCAGACGATATCACGAGGTTCAGGGGCGGGATAAGTCGAGAGCTGGAACGGGTTGGGTGCATGGGCAGTTTGCACCGCAATTTGCTATTGTTGGCATAGAGAATCAGTTGGCGAATCCCAGAAGAACACCATGCACATACCGCACTCGACATCTTTTCAAACGTCACAAACGCACTCCCTGCAGCCCTAAACTTTCCCCTCCTTCTCCTTTCCTTGACAAGTTCGTCCGCCTTTTTGAACTCGGCCTCCAAATATTCCAACGCATCCACCTTCCTCCCAAACCACCTCGGTCGAATGGTCGGACGCGGTTTATGCGGCGTCACAAACCGCGCTTGGGCAGACAACGGTGGTCCACTCTCCACATCACCATCAAGGTACGTCCCATCAGGATCGTAACTCTCGACCGTGCTGGGATTCCCGACGTAATCCGTCCATGCCCTCTCCAGCCTCAACAGCGCCTTAGTCCTTCTATCCAACAACGTCTTGAGACTTCCCACATCCCGACACACAGTGACACTCTCCACCGCCAAATCCATATGCTCGAAGTACTCCGCCAGTGTCCTCTCGTTCTGCAAGTGATGTGGTAGATTGGTTACCAGGACCGTGCGTGCCGGTATCGAGTGAACCAACTCCAGTGAGAACAGTTGTCTTGAACGGATGAAGCGTCGGTAGTTCTTGTAGGTAAAGTAAAGAGCGAGGATGGTGAAGAGATAGGTGAACATGAGGTGCACGGATAGGTATGAGTTGGCGTCGCTGATTAGGTCGAGCCAGTCGGGACTGCCGGTGCCGTTCTTTGGTGGTTCAACGGGAGTCGGATTGAGTGGTGTGAATCGAGATCCCAATAATATCGGCCAGTCGTTGCTACCCCCTGGCCAATCATCCTCGTCCTCTAAATCTTTGTTGTGCTATCCGGTAGTTAGTTAGGGTTGGAGATAAGCTTCACCTGTGCTTACCTTCCAGTTAAGTGGCATGAGAATGGTGATAGCAAACAACGAGCAGACTGAGAACAAGTAGAAAGACATTTTGAAGAAGTTTAGTAACTAGCGGTGTCAAAATTAGCGCCTGTCACAGCTGGTATATATAAATGACGACATACCACCGCAGCATCCAGGCCGACAATCTGCAAAATAGTAAACTCCGACGTGCGAATAGTGGGCATTATCCAGCCAAAGAACGCCTGGTGCGCATGTGCCTCATGAGGAGAGAAACCTGCCACACACAAAGCACGTTAGCCCAGCTCCCAAGTTGCACCAGTGCTACTCACCCTTTAGTTTCGTTCTAGGAGCAAACAATAACGGCCAACGCGTTCTTCCATAAGAGAAGACGAGAAACGCAGTCAATCCAATCGTCGAGGAGATAATTAGCTGTGTCGTGAACCAAGGGCCTTCGAATTTCTCTGTAGCGACGAGGGTTAGTGACCTATTCTGGCAGTCAATATGCAAGGGGTGAGTTACGCATGGGTGGTGTGCCAGGAGGTGGCCCAGATGGCTCATCATCGTCCTCGAGGAACGCTCTGAGCAATATTGCGGGCCATGAGTCCGCCATTTAGACCGTTAAAGGTCGACGACGACAGCGACGATGGAGGTGTTGTGGTGGTAGCAGCCAAACGGGGGGTGCCCTGAGGCCCGAAGGCGGCGCGCCGTGTGTACCCCGCACGTGACTTGAGGGTTGGTCGCGACTTGTAGTGGCGATCGTAGCGTTGGACTTGGACTGTTGGCGGATTCAACAACAACGGCGACGATGGAGTCTCAACAGCTGCTCGAAACCGACAAATCTAGGACGATGCAGCTGATTAGTCCGCCTCCAGAGGAAGAACTACGACGAGGTTCACAGGTAAAGTCGTTCATTTCTTTTGTTTTGTTTAAATTAGTCTAGTGGAGCTAAACGAAACGACCGTTTGGACAACAGCGACACGCGCCATTCACCCCTTCGCTGCTCGCTGCCAACAGCGGCAACCTCAGCGACGCAGAAACTTCTACAAACGACACTGTAGCATCAAGAGTAGCAAGCGCCTCCAAACGGAAACGGGCGAAACCATCCAACAACAACGTGGTGCCGTCCACTGAACAACAACACCAACAGCTCGAGGCTACACCAAACCCTAAACCGCGTAAACAACTCAGAAGACACCAGCGTCAACAGTCCCAAGATTTACATTCGCCGACCAAGTCTAAATCTAAGCGCAATGAGAACGACGAGGACGAACTTCCAATGGTCGTAGCGCCGACAACGCCTTCGAGACAGAAGACTCCAACCTGCCGCATCACCCTCCAGTCGCCCCATGCTCGAAACCCAGACGCAGACTACATCCCACCAATCAACCTCCGCATGTCCGTCGACCCAGAGGACGACGACGACAGCAGAGACGTTCTCACCGACCTCAACACCGTCAACTCAGCTCTCAAGAAAAAGCTCTTTTCTTCAAAGAGTCACCGACGCAGCGTCACCCCAATACCGCCCTATGAACCTCCCCAAGACGTATTCACACCCCCTCGCGAAGTCATCTTGTCTCCGCCCGCCCCGCCGTCGTCCTCGCGCAAGAAGACTGCAAGTGGAAGAAAGAGCGGGGTTTCAGTTGGCAGCAAAGCGAGAAAGAAGGCTGGGTCCCTTACCCCGATTGTAGTGAAACAAGAGATGCCAGAAGTTGATCTGAGTGCACCAATGCCCCCAGCTAGCCCAACCGACGACCCCCTTCTCCTCTCTAGTGATATCGAGATAACAGGTTACAACCCCGCCCCTTCCCCGCCAGAACAAGACTCTGATTCCGACAATGAACAACCCCTTCAATTCGACTATCAAGCTCCTCTCAAAACACCAGAACGGCCAAAGAGACATCCAAAGCAACGTTCCACCACCTCTAAACGCAAGACCCCAGGCTCCGTCGTGCGGAAAGGGAAGACCGTATCACTAGAGACCACTTCAGTCAGCGAGGCCGCCCAAATCGTTCTCGAGGAAGAACTGGGAGTCTCCTATACACCAAGTGCTCCTCCTCGAAGTGCCTCGAGAACCCGTAGTACAACCAAACCCCCGCCATCCACCGGCAAAACCCCATCCAACCCCAAATCCGCCATTCCCTCCGACTTACCACCTTCCTCTCCTCCCCCAGAATCCGACGACGAACATGATCAAGGCCGCGAAGCCCTATACGACTGGACAAAACACACCCAGCCTATGACTTCAACCGAAGAAGACAGCATGATGCAGATCGATTCCTCAGATGCAGCCGTCCCTCCCGTCCCCCTCTTCGATTTCGACGCAGCATTGCGCCAACAGGGCGATGCAGCTGCGAATGGCTGGGAATCATCGTCAGATTCAGGAAATGATTCCGATGACCTCGATCCAGAAGGACGAGGACAGTATACAGGGAGGTTTAGGATGCTCAAGGTACGGACGAAGGAGGACCCGCCTAGTGAGGCTACTCTGGAGAGGATGGAATTGTGGGGTCGACCGGTTAGTCCATTCCCGGACATTGGGAGGTTGAAGGCGTGGAGTGAAGGAAAGGTCCCGAAGGAATTAGCGCTGGAGGGAGAGGGAGGCCAGGGAGAAGGGAGGGAAGAAGAGGGAACCAGAACGGATGGGCAGAGGGAGGGACCTGGGGAGGAAGAAAATGAACTTCCCGTTGCACCAGAGGAAGACATCGATGTTCCCATCGTTGAGGAACCACACCCTGAGGACGAGGCACAGCGCATGTCTTTGGAGCCCGAAGAACAGGAGCCTCGTTCCAACGAAGACCATGAACAGCGCGAGGAAGAAGAGGTGGAAAAGATGTCTATGGAGACAGAACCCTCCTCCGATGAAGGAGAGCAGGAGGAAGAAGCGGAGGTAGAGCGGATGTCGATGGAACCTGAGGAGGACGAGGGCGAAGGGAATGAGACTGAAAAAGAAGAAGACCGAATGGCTGGTATCCAGGTCACGCCCCCTTCTGATGAAAGCGATCATCAAACGCAAAAGACTATTTCTGAACCTGATAAGAGGTTCAGCTTCGCCTCTTTCACTGCCTCGGAATCGCGCCAGTCCCCGATTCCTGAACCACAACGAGGAATTGTGTCGGAGAGGCACCAGTCACCTCAACGTTCTTCTCCTCAGCAAGCGCAGGTGCACTCGTCTCCTCGACAGCCCCAGTCTTCTCCATACCGTCATGAAGAATCCTACTACGACACTGTAGTGCCCCTTCCGCAAGAGGAGGAAGAGGCTACCCAAGGTGACCGCGACATCGAGGTTGATGACCATGCTCCCGAGGCAGAAATTTCCGTCAAGCCAGCAGACGATGACGACGACCTCAGCGACTTTGGAGATCTAGGTGTAGTCAAGATCGTCAGTGCTGACCCTCGTGCAGCGGCGAGGGCTGCTGCTATCCTCAAACAGGTGCACCCACCACCCTCCACGTCTTATCAGTGACTAACCCTTCCATGCAATAGCACGACTACGAATGCTTCACCAAAGTAACCGCCAAACAACGCAAAGCCGAACTGAAACGACGACATTCTAGTGTTGACTCACTGGCTCAAGAGTCCCGTCGTCGAAGCCTCCTAGGTGCAGGAATCGACAAGAACTCGCCTCTCCGGCGCAACTCGCCAAGTGGCGTTCACCGCAGGAGGAGTATGGGTGTTATCGGCGAGCGCGTGATCATCCCCGGAAGTCCAGCTATAACTCTCCCCGAGTTGCTCGAACAGGTAGAGAAGGAAGTCGTCGCCGCCAGCCCAAACAGGATGTGGACTCCTCTCCGTAAGTCACCTGGAAGTACAAGTTTGGGTGCAGGTATGGGCATGGGGAGAGACCCTTTCGTTACACCTGTTCGGCAAACCCTGTTCCCTTCGTTCACTGTACCATCCGCCCCGGCGGAGAAACCCCACGATGGCCCTAGAGCGTGGACGAAAGAGGAGTGGAAGCTCCTCGACGGGTGCTTCACGGATGAACGATACTCGCTCGTCGAAGCCGCTCCGGAGAAGTATCCGAACGAGGAGATGGCGCCTGTCGAAGATGTCGAGACGAGTAAAGTCGTGGATCGATTTGTGTCAATGATGGGTGGAGAGGATGTGATCAAGGAGTACGGGGACGCTTGGGACATGTGCGTATCATGCATCATCACATCTATATCATTCACTGAAGTCTGCCGCAACTGTAGGGAACGACTTGAACAGCGCGTCCTTGCTCTACAGAAGAAGCAGCGGAAGGGGAACGTTGCTCCCCCTTCCACACCACGGACTTCGGAAGTCTCGAACTTGGTATCCTTGGCTGGCATGCATCGACGGACGTCGATGGATGTACCTGATTTCACACCGTTGGGGAGGGGGCTTATGCCTCCCAGGAAGCCTAGGGGGTCTTTGGGCGAACCACTAACCAAAGTGGGCCCACGGGGATCGATACCTAAAGGGGCGGCACCACTGTTAGCACCACGGTACTCTCATCTCTTGGACGAAGCCATGGTCATCAGCTCAGAGGTGACGAATCTGGCCGAGCAGAACAGTGAACGCTCAGCTTCGACTTCGAGTTCAGCTTCCAGTACGAGTTCGAGCTCGGGCTCGTCTTCCGCATCCATCACTTCCACAGAGGTGTCGACCGAGGCCACGTCCCAAGCTGAAACCGATACTTCCTCTACTCTGGTAGACGGGGATGTAACAATGGAGTCGGCTCCCTCCGCCGCACCTTCTAAGCCCGCGCCCGTCTCAACGCCAAGCCTGGGAACCCGTCTCAAATCCACGCTCTTCTCCTACCTCCCCACCCTCTCCCGCAACTCTAAACCCAAACCCTCCAAAATCCCACGTCCGCCAGCCCAACCAGGTCTCCCCCTCCCACCTCCACCTCTGGTCAACTACCCCCGCCCACCCATCACCACACCTGCTCGTCCCCCGCAAGAAAAACCGCCCCACCCGAAAGAACTGGTCGACCTGCACCCCGTGCCCGACCCTGAAGAGCTGAAGAAGAAGAGCAAGCCGAGCATGATTCCAAGGCCTGTAAAGAGGCTGGTCGAGTTAAACCCCGTTACGCCACCTGATAATAAGGAGAAGGACGTGGGGAAGCCAAGGCGGAGTAGCACCGGGAGTGTGAAGGATTTGATTAGGTCGTTTGAGGAGATGGAGAAGGAGAGGATTGAGAGGGAGAGAGCGGAAGGGTATATGTCGAGGCCGAGTTCGAGTTTGAGTATGGGCAGGCCGAGAAGTCAGGTTGGGTTCAAGCCTGGATTCAAGCCTGTTTGGAGGCCCTAAGAGGATGGGATCTTGACGCCATCCGTGGATTGGTTCTTCTTGCATATTGATTATTCCTTCGTTCACCATCGTTACCCGGTCGTTGTCCTTAACATTTGTTCGTGCATCTCAGTTTTCATCTCCTCGCGTACATTCACTTACTTTCTTGTTTTCTCCCTGGTATATTATCTCATGGCAACCTGTTTCTGTTCTTTTATGTTATCTTATTCTTGTGTTAGGCATATGTACTCTCGGATTTAGCTCATGACCTTACTCCATGTTTTCGATAATCGTTCGTTGATGCCTTTTATTCGTTCTACTTGATCGCGATACTACAATTACTTGGACCGGAATCACAGTCCATCCGATGATCCGGACCCAGGCGATTGCGCGCAACCCTTTCATACGACAAGTTAGAATCCGGGGAATTCAGCGGGCAAATTAAAGTATGGCAGGAAAATCAATTGAATAATCTACCACAGATGAAGATATGTGACTCTGTCCTTCAAAATAAGTCATGGACAAATCAACTCAAGCGCAATTCTCGGGCTCTGGTACTCGATACGTGTTCTTGCCTGAATTCTTCCGCCGATCCACACCAAGTGCACTCCTGACATTCCACGAGTCGCGTTAAGGATTTCATCGACAACATCTGCGTTCAAGGGCGCCAATTCACGTCCACCCGGAAGGGCCCGTACCACCTGAACTAGCCCAGGATTGGACTTGTGGGGGTTGACCCGAAGCGGCCCTCGGCTGGCGGAGCTTCGCGTTCGAAAGTGTTGGTCGCAGTATTGTAAACGCCGACAAGACCCAATTTTGCCGAGGGTGTAAGAAAGCCGAGCCTGGCGTCCGAAAACCACTGATCAGGTGCACACTACGTTTGGAAATGCCATTGCCGTTTTGATCTGATCGATCAAACCACAAAGCGTCCCAAGCACCGGGCACTTTCGGTGGCACTAGATATGCCCAGTGACCCACTGTGACCCAACAAGCTCCACAACTTTCGGGTAATCAATCGACTCCGCCCTTCACGAATCGCAGCTCCTTGACCCAGCACCCTGCCAGCACCGTTCAGAATCATACAGGTTGGCAGTGGGGATAACGTCATGACATGGTGCTTAGTCTGCCACTGCGCGTGGAGAACAGCCTGAGCGCGTTGGCGACATTGAATTTGTACTACGTATTGCCCCAGTGGATATCAATATCACATACGATGGCCACTACGACAGAAGTTGTCTGTAGACTGCTTTGTTACTCGGGTCCTGCACTCCTTAGCATTAACGATGTATTCAGACTGGCTCCAACAAACCTCTTGCGACCTCCACTCGTGACTGGATTATTGGCGAAAAAGAACCAGAAAATTTATATCACCACTCGGAATTGATATATCGCCTGTACTCCCTTTTGGGAGAGAAACGGCATCCCGCCGCAGTTGTTACAATTCTAGAACCAGTGACCCCACGATTCGACAGGAGGAATGGTTGGAGACTTGTCTCCCGTTATTGTTGTTCTCAATATTCCGCAGATAACAGCCAGGTCATATGCACAGGCCTCACAAATTACCATTCATTTTCAAGGCCAAGCAATAATATCTGCTATGAAAGTGACGTCCTGAGCCCCATGCCAATAGGTTCATTCTGTCAGGTCCTTGGAACATCGACAGCTAGCAGTTTCGTGGTGGTGGCATTGGTCCCCGGAAGCTGGAACATAAAAGCTGCACAACATCCAGTGAAGGAATCTCAGAACGTCCCACATTGGACTCTCGATCTCTCATCTAATTCTACTGCAACCAATGACTCTCGACGCTTTGAACATCCTCAGCTCCGAATCGCAAGGCGATGTATTTGCGCACTACGCTCGTAACCTGCTCAAGGCCCTCCAAAAGCCGGATATGCCGCTTAGGGTTCCCGCAACTGAAAGGAAGATTCCCCAGTTCGACGTGAAGACCACCCATGACGGGGTTGTCCCTGTCGGTATCATCGGCGGCGGTATGGCTGGTCTGTACGCGGGACTCATGCTCGCGTATCAAGGCATTTCCTTCCAAATCCTGGAGGCGACCGATCGCATTGGCGGGCGTTGCTACACTTACAAATTTGAAGAAGGCGGCGATTATGACTATTATGTGAGTATTCTGCTGTAGTTGAGCATGTTGAGCAATACTTATTCTCTTGGGCTAGGACGTCGGTGCTATGCGCTTCCCCTTGCCTCGAAAGGGAGAGAAAAACCCACATACTCGTCTGGCAAAACTCTTCGAGCTCTTGGGGCTTGATCTACTCGACTACATCTTCACAACCAACGAAGGAAGGCTTTATTATGATGGGGTCTACGCCAAGATAGGGGATACCAACCCGAGCTTCCGCGCGGAACAACTGGGCGTCAGCAAATGCTACATTGACTGCGGGTACAAGGCCCTTTGCCGGGATATTATCGACCCTCTCGCGAAGTACCTTTTGGACGATATGAACACAGGCAGCGATGCTGGGTGGAAAGAATTCAAGAAGAAATACGACCGCTACTCGACTAGATCATACTTGCAATTCGAGTACAAGCCGAGCAAGGCCTTGCAGGACAAGTTTCACATCCCCGACGAGCATCTTCCGACTGCTGTAATCGACTGGCTAGAGACACACGACAAAAGCTCGGGGTGGTACGACCGAGCCCTTTCCGAGACCGTTCTCGAGGCCCTGGCATTTGGTGACGTTGATGGTGGGCCGAAGCCAGAATGGCATTGCATCGAGTAAGTTCCTCTATAATCGAACCGAATCCCGACGAGAGAATTTTACGCTAACTTTACTCGTTGTAGTCGTGGAACCTCTGTTCTACCTGAGAGATCGTTGGCCATGATCAAGGAATGGCTGAAGAACGCCTCAGAGTCTCAGTTCCTGGTCAAAAAAGCCCCTGTGACGTCGATCCGGCCAGCCGATCCCGAAGACACTAAATCCCCGTTAGTCGTGACTGCAGGGGGCAAGGACTACACCTTCTCGCACGTCATTTCCACTGTTCCCCTCCCCAACTTTGCCCTTATCGACACATCCTCGCTCAATCTTAGTCCTATGCAAAGCAACGCCATACGCCAACTTCAGTACGGCCCGTCCATCAAGATCGGAATCCACTTCAAATCGGCCTGGTGGAAAGAACGGGGGCAAGTTGGTGGTCAGTCTTTCACCGACCTTCCTATCCGAACCATTGTGTATCCGTCATATGGAAAGGGCCAATCTTCCAAGGTCTTGATTGCCTCGTACTGCTGGACAAATGACGCTGGGAGGCTCGGAAACCTCATCAACGCAGGGGAGGATGATCTTCTTCGGGATGTCGTACTTCGGGACTTGGCTACAGTTCACCAAGTGGGCTTTGATTATCTGAAAGGCCAGTGCGAAAGGGTTCACGCTTTCAACTGGAATCATAACGCTTGGAGCGGCGGTATGTGTTCGGCTTTCGTCCACGACCATGAGACTGATAACCCACAACAGGGGCTTTCGCATTCTTTGGGCCCGGCCAATACGAGTATCTTTACGGCGCCCTCAACGACGTGGCTGCCGATGGGAGACTCCAGTGGGCAGGAGAGCTCCTAAGCATTCGTCATGCGTAAGCGTCTCATCTAACACTCTCGTGTCTTTCTCTGACTCCTCGATAATGGCGTAGGTGGATTGTTGGCGCCCTGGATAGCGCATGGGCAGCCATCCACAGGTACCTCTGCCTCTCTAACGCATCGGACAAACAATTGAAGAAATTCTACGACAAGTGGGGTGCTAACCTCGAGTGGCATGCTGCTGGGGATAAGGTGACCCAAAACCGGGGGGAAGATAAATCTGACCCAGGAGAGGAGCTTACTATCCCGAGGAGCAAGAATTTGCTGCTTCGCCATCTTGAAATTTATAACCCTGACTTGGTCGTATACTCCGATTGAGACCGGCAGCGTAGCCTGGAACGAGGAAGTAAATACACAGATTCATGATATTATTGTGACTAGCATCCCTTTGATTTCCACCAAATTTTTCACGAGAAGATAGCGTAGTGATAAGACTTGTGCAGTATAATTTCTCTTAGACGAATCTGTAACTGTTCCCCGTTTCAGTAGAAGGAAGGCTGTTACACGGAGTTTCATCGCGCTGTGAGCTTCTCTGTGGGTCCAACCTGTCACCAGCACTTCTGAAATCGTCACATCCCCACGCACAGGACTTATGTACTTATACCAGGGGTGTGGGTGCTCATCTTAAGTCTTATCTCTCACCCATCACTGACTGAACCAGTATCTCTGCTTCTGCGTCACCCGTTGGCCTCGTATGTAGGATGGGCCAGTCATTATCGGTGGCATCGGTGAGGATCTAGGTTACGATTATGTTGAACTGACTTTGACGAACGGACAAGGGTGCTCGTGGAAAGGATGGCGGCAATATGCCAGGAACCTGTGAGATACGATGTATCGACTGAACTCGGCGATTGTTGTACTAACTACCATTTAGATGACTTTGAAAACGAAAGTGATGCCGTGTTCAAAGGTCCTACACGCATCGACATCAGTGGCGGGACGTTCAATTACACAGAAAATGGGGACATACACGTCCACATCAAGGAGTACACAGCAAAGCATACTCCAGAAAGTCGACGTACGTACCTCTCGTACAAATCAATACATTCTTCGACTCAGAGCTGGCGCCTTTGCAGTTGAGCTAGTGTCGAAACTGTGTGGTTGGCTGGCCCGGAGGGTGAACTTCAGGGCTATTCACGCCGACGTTCGCAAGCGCAGAACTGAGGGTATGGCAGGCAGTTGGCTCCTTGATACCAAGCTATACCGACAATGGAAGAAAATCAGAGGCGGGGTCATCTGGTGGATGGGAAAACGTGGGTCTCCTCCACAGATACCTGTATCAGTGTACTAATCCACCGATTATCTAGCGGGTGCTGGCAAAACCGTTCTTGCGTGAGTACATACCAAGTAAGCCGATTCCATGATTGATACGAATTGTACCTTTCAGATCGACCATCATCGACGATCTTCTCCCCCTTGAGAACGACTCGGAGCGGACCTGTGTCCTATTTGTGTACAGTCGCTACACCGAGCCTCTGGCCGTCACCGACATTTTGAGGTCCCTCATCAAACAGTGTATCGAGCGGAATCACGACCTTGCTGGCATAGTTAAGCCAGTTTACGAGAAGCATAAGCTGGAAGGGACGGACCCATCGGTCGAGGAGCTTGTCACCTTGCTCCGGAAGCTCGAAAGCTACTTCGATCGGGTGTTCTATGTCGTCGATGGCGTAGACGAAGCGCACCTCAACGTCCGATTTGACCTAATCCAGGTTATAAACCAGCTGCAAGGCAATGTGATATTGACCTCACGACCCCTGGACGACCTGGGCGAGGAGCTCAACCATGCAGTGTTTTGCACGCTAGTTGCACAGGACCAAGACATCAAACTGCACATGGAGGAGAAGCTCTGGCGACACAAGCAGTTGCGTCGCGTTTTAGAACAGAACGATCATCACGAAGAAGTGTTGAAGGATATTATAGAGAAGGCTGAAGGAATGTAAGTGGTCGCATGTAATTCCATACACCCTTGTGCTCATCAGGACCAGGTTCCTCCACGCCTCCCTGCAGCTCGACGCCATCCAGCACTGTCGGACTCTTGAAAGCGTAAAAAGGAAATTAGCAGAGTTCCCGACTGGTATGCACGGGGTGTACGCGGCGAGTATGCAGAGAATAGAGGATCAAGACGAAGAATCCCGCGAACTTGCCAAACGAGTTCTGTTCTGGCTCACCTTCGCTCGCGGACCTCTCTCTGTGCAGGACCTAAGGTTTGCGCTGGCCACGGACACAGAAGTGGACGGTTATAATTCTGAAAGGCTGCCAGACGAGGCATCCATATTTTCGGTGTGTTGCGGCCTCGTCGAGCAGAATGAAGCCAGCAATGTTGTCCGCCTCATTCGTAAGTCCGTTATAATGGCTATGTTGACGACTCATTCATAGGCCCTCTGCGCAGATTACACGGCCAAGGATGCACTCGCTCCCATTCTCCTCAAGGACCATCCCATTCCCCATCTCCACATCACCAACGTTCTCGTTCACCGACTCATTACCAGCGGAATAATACCATGTCCCTTTCAAGAGTTAAAGGACCTTCACAAAGCATGGAAGGAGATACCTCTCCTCCGGTATTCGCAGGCGCACTTGGGAGATCACGTCCGCGAATGCCCGGTCTCCGAGGTCCTTCCCATAATTGAGGTTTTCCTCTTCATGTGCCGCGACTTCCCCCTCGAACTTTTCGACGAGCTGGAGGTCGCTGGACCTCCCCATGTTGCCGCCCACTACGGATTCTGGTTTCACTTCGTGGATATCGGTCACCGCGACAACATGTGGTACATCAACAGTCCCACGAGTATCTGGGAAGCCACTTCGTTGCACCTAGCGGCCAATGCAGGGGATGTGCCCACCGTTCAGCGATTGCTTGACCTGAAAGCTGATGCCACTGCGACAAGACTAAATGGATGGACTCCCCTGGCAGATGCAGCATATAATGGCCACGAGGAGGTCGTTGAACTGCTCCTGCAAGTCCCTCTACGGGGGGTGAGCGAGGCCAGGGTGGATGGAGTGACGGCGCTCATGCTAGCATCAATGCAGGGCCACGATGGCGTGGCAACTAGACTCCTCAAGGACCGACGGTTCAGCGTCAACGATACCAGCAAAGACGGCGTTACTGCCCTGATCTACGCTGCGGAGAACAACCGCAAAGGCATCGTGGCTAAGCTCCTGCAGGTCCCGGGGATCAACGTCAACGCAACAGCGACCTCGCAGGATCGATGGACAGCACTGATGCACGCCTCGATCGAGAATTACGAGGATGTGGTTGGCGCACTCATTCAGGCCCCAGGGATTGACGTTAATATAGTGGATAGGGAGGGATGGATAGCGCTGATGATGGCCGCCCACAGGGGATTCGAGAACATTGCCATTCGACTACTTCAAATGCCGGGAATCGAAGTCAACGCAGCGGACGTTGTTGGATGGACGGCGCTCATGCTGGCATCAAGGTATGGCCACAAAGAATTCGTCGCCAGGCTCCTCGAGGTCCCGGGAATCGATGTTAACGCAGCACACCGGAATGGATGGACTGCGCTGATGATGGCATCGAAGTACGACCACAAGGAGATCGTCGCCATGCTCCTCCAGTCTTCTGGAATCCGAAGGGACTTGACAGACGCTGATGGGTGTACAGCACTCATGTACGCCTGTGACAATGATCGCGCTGAAATAGCCAAGCAACTTTTGCGCTTCAGCACCGACTCTGCCATCGATGTCAACACGGTCAACAATGATGGCGACACGGCGTTGATCATGGCTGCACGGAAGGGATATGGGAAGGTTGTAGAGGTGATACTCGAAGTGGAAGGCGTGGACTCGGAGATAATGGCCAAAGGGCGCACGGCTCTGATGGAGGCGCGCGAAAACGGGCATGAAGGTGTAGTGGCGAAGCTGGTTGAATTTCAGGGAAGGTCAAGAGTCGTCACGGAGGGGAGCTGAGAGGATTGTGGTATGTACCGTCGCTGCATAATGAACACATTAGTCCTGTGTGGAATATACCATCGTACTTGGGTCCGTTTCATCTTGCAAGCTTAAGCATACTTCATCGACTCAGATGTTGAGGATAAATCATGAAATCGGATTCGTCCGGCAATCCGACGGGACCTGTCGTGAACATATGTGGCACTGAACATACCACTTACGCCCTTTCCGCTTGGCTCCAATGTATGTGAACAATTTATATCGCTGGTTGCGAGTCTATAGATTCTTCGCGTTGTATTATCCCAGCCAGATAGCAAGTTATATCTTCGGGCGATCATGGTTATTGTTGCCCAGGACAAGTGGGAGCCATTGAACGGCGCGGCAGCAGTGGCCAGTCTTAAGAGGCGAGATGGTTGAGTAGGGCTGACGCGCATCCAACCTTGAACTCGATCGTAACTTTATGAAGTGAGAGGTGAATCTATTAGTGATTATGTATAATGTAGATCTACAGAAATACCTAGTCTATATCCATCATTTCTTCCATAGCTGTCTCGTTCTGGTGTTTCTGAATGGCGTCAATGAAGTCCTCCAGACCTTCGCCTTCAAGGACAGACGAGAGATTGGTAAGTGTCAGTCCAATACGATGGTCAGTAACGCGTTCCTAAAAAGGGAGTAAGCAAATGAAGAAATGGATACACGAAGACGCTGTTCTTACCTGAGGGAAGTTGTATGTTCGAATCTTGTCGCTTCTATCCGAGCCACTGACGAGATTGCGACGCGTCGCTCGTCGTTCAGCCATTTCTCTGTGGATCTTTTGGTCTAGCAGCCTTGAACGAAGCACTTGGAACGCGCGCCGTCGATTCTAAAACCGAGCTTTATTTATTTTTTGAGTGGCGTATTGCAGCGAGCTACATACCTGATGCTGACTTCGCTCATCTTGCATTGAGACAGTGATTCCACTGGGTATGTGGGTCAATCGCACAGCGGATTCCGTTCTGTTGACGTGCTGCAAGGTCATAAGTATGAAAGGTTGGACTGCTCCAGCAGAGACACAAACCTGTCCACCAGCACCCCGAGCACGCATTACTTCGATTTTAACGTCCTCCATTTTGAATAAATCCTCTCCATGAGTATCGTTCTCTTCCACCAACGGAAGAACCTAAAAAACGCGTTAACCCAATGAATTGGACTGAAATTCCGGTTTCGTACGCACCAAAACAGCAACAGCGCTCGTATGGACTCTGCCCTTGGACTCCGTCGCTGGCACTCTCTGGACACGATGGACACCACTCTCCCATCTCAGTGCATCATACGCTCCTACACCCTTGATCTCCATAATCACATCCTTAACACCACCGTCATCCGTATCGTTCTTCGCCGCAATTTCAGCCTTCCACCCTCTCTGAACTGCCAATCTCTGGTACATCCTCAGCAAGTCCCCAGCAAATAAACTCGACTCGCTGCCTCCAACACCTGACTTGAGTTCCAAAAGGGCTGAAAGTTGGGCGGTTGGTGACGGTGGAAGCAGGAGAGACGGGAAGGTGGATTCGACGAGCGTTTGAAGCGTAGAGTTCAGAGCGGTGGATTCCTCAGAGGCCATAGCCCTCATAGACGGATCTGGGTCAGACAAAAGCGCGTTTGTCTCGTCTAACAGCTACTAAACAGAATTGGTGTCAGTCCGACATGCTACGTTCAAAGAAATAAAGCGACCTTGCGTGTTTCTTTCCACTGGTCCCAAGCCTCTTGTAGCGGTTCAGATTCCTTGACTTGTTTCAACCTTGAAACATCGTCCTTATCTGACATGTCCTCTGAGATCTGAACAGTTCATAAGTTTCCTTGTCCGTGGTCTAAACAAATAGAAAACACGCACCAACGACATAATACGGCTCCTCTCCTGAATACGCCTCTCAACCACCCGTAGCAGCCTTTCATGCTCCTTTTCCAGAACATGGCCATTATTTATTCCCTTAGGTGTTGGTTTGGTTGCAAAACAACGTCTATGGCGGAGGACAGCTAGTGGTCGCTGGACCCATCGGTGCGCTTGGGAAAACATGAAGAGTGCAGTGGCTGTGCTTTGGCCACAGCTGATCTGGCGTTCCTGATTTTCCCACAGTTGGCGCTTAAGCGCCCTATCAGTGCACGCCCGTGCGGGCGGTCGCGATCGTTGGTGCAAGTCCGTGAGAGGTCATTATTGGTCTGCTTACCCGCCGTGAATCCCTGGCCAAAAAAGAGCACCCGCCCACGAGTCACGGCTGTCGGCCAATGCAGCGACGCAATGAAGAGCATGGACACGAGCAAAGAGCGCACGCTCAAGGAGGAAAAGTATAAATTGCTCTAGTAAGTAATCGAGTGTTGTGTAATTTCTAAGAGCGACGACCGAAGAATTCTACAACCATCTTAATCCTAGTAAGCTGTCCTTCTTGGCTTGTAAGACCATACTTTGATACTCGAAGGTCGGTGCGGGTCTCCGTCACGACAAGTCAAAGTCCACTTGACGGGAGAACTTGTCACAAATACTTCTACTTCTGCAGGAAGCGAAGGCTTGACGTATTCCACACCACCTTCCCCCAGCGCGTAGGCATAGTCCTGGACGGCCTGCCGAATTGCGACCATGATTCTTTCTTTCTTCTTCTGCCGACGAGTAGTATTCCGAACCCCAAGGCAATCCTCTGGTATAGCATCAGTGAGCTTGAGACATTCCAGACTTGGGAACTGGCCTCTGGCACAGGAGTTCAAGAGACTTCCCTGTAAATCAGTTAGTAGAGTAGATAACACGCAGTGCTGAGGATGCCCACAATAAATTCCGGTATGATCTTTTCCGATCCATCCGCTGATGTAGGAGCCAGGACGGTTTCACCAGCCACGGAGATCAACAAATATTCAAGGCGAACGAATCCCTGGAGGTGTTCGGAGAGAGTTTGCTCGGTGATACACCACTCACATTGTCGATTGGTGTCGAGGAGGAGATGTTTGAGATCAGCTTTGTGCTTTGGTAGGATGGAGGTAAAGATAGTCCTTGCAAACTCATTGGATTGTTCTTCCCCAGACGTGTCGGAGTTGAGCAGAGCCAAGTCCTCGAGCGGCCCAGGGTGAGCAGACAGGTAGGCAAGCAGGGGTTCAGTTACTCCGTGGACGTGGAGTTTTCTGAACCATACATGCGCGTTCTGGAGTGCCGTCCAGACACTGCCTCTCGTACCGGATACGTCCCTGCAGTTGTGGCGGCCGGATAGGTCTAACGACACGAGGTTTCGGAAATTGGATGGGAGACGACATTCTGTGGGTACTAAAGTGGTCCCTATCGACGTCAAGGTGATGTCCGTGAGGCTTGGTCCAACACAAGGTGCCAAATCATGCAGACCAAGGTACTGACAAGGCATGTCGATGTCCAGTGAGGCCAAAGTGGAGCTGGAGGACTTCAGTGTTTCCAAGACCCACGGCACGATAGACGGTTCGGCGGGATATGTCAATAGTCCTCCAGCCCTGATAGTGAGATGCTGGAGGTTTGGAAATTTCCAGTCTTGTCCTCTGAGAAAGCCCGCGAGCTCCGGTGTGAAATCTTCCCATACGCCTATTTCTAGGTCAAAGCTGGTAAGCCTGTGACCAAACTGGTGGATCGCGTGGGCGACAATGTCGAGGGCCCACATGGGCGTTTCCGCGCTTATTCTCCATCTATGCTCTGCATTCAGCATATGCGCGTGCAGAAAGCCGACTGACTTGATCGCCAACTCACACGAGCTTGTTCAATCCAAGAAGGGATGTAATCACGATTGGTAGGCAGTCTTTGATGACCTCCTCAGCCTCCTTGCCAGTTCCCTCTTCTGCCTCAGGTTCCGAAACATCTGTTACCTGCCCGGCATACTGCTTCAAGAAGTGTCCTCTTCCTTCATAGTCGTCCATTGGGATAAGGTCGTCGATTTGGAGTTCGCGTATGAGCTCCTTCGACGGAGAGCTGGGCGATTCAGAGAGCGATTGCAACTTCGGAATGCTTCTCTGTAGATTGCCGCCGTGAATTTTGATGACTATGCGCCTCAGAACAGCGGGTTGAAAGAGAGCGCCCATCGCACGACAGGTAAGTCGAAGGGATTTCATATCTGCCATTCCTATCTACAAACATCAACGAGGCCTGTTGAGTGCCAGCATACGGAAACTTCCCATGAATACGCACCAGATCCCCAATCTTTTCGACCAGTTCATCTGGGAGCGACTGAATTGAAGATGATCCCTCCATGTCGATGGTCGAACCCAGTGCAGTGCAGAGACGAGATTGACCAGAGTCCTGAGCCTACGAACTGCGTTCAAGCTGCGATTGAAATACTGCACCCTTGCACAGCCTCTGACTCGGACCACTGCAATACCACTTTAGACGCGGGATAAGCGCTGAGCGCCGGACCACTATAAAAGCACGAGGGAGGAAAACCGAACTTTACCAGCGCAAAGTTCGGAACCAGCACAATATGTATAGGCGTATACGCTTCAGTGAACTAGTCGTCTCTCGAGATGCAAGCACTTTCAAACTGGCCAGAATTTCCCAGCGCGTAGAAGGTTGGGCAAAATGAGATAGCATTTCGAAAGCGATCTAAGGTGGGTTACAATTAGAATGAAAAGATGGATGCAGATGGTATAGTACACTATGCATAAATACTATTGTACAATCATGACGACGTGTGAACTGTGAACCTTGAGAAGGCTAAGCCCAGTTGGAAAGAAGGGTTTGTGCCGTTTCCTAGAAAAGCAGATACAGGATCAGTGTTTGCTGAAACAGGGAGCAGACAGAAACCTACCCTCAAACGGGCCAACTTGTATTCCCGAGCAATGTTGACCATAGTCTTGAGAGTCTTCTTTGCTTCAGCCTTGTTCAGGGTATACTGGTATGTGCCAGAACACTGGCAATATCGCGAAACATTATCCGATTGAATTTGTTGGCATTTTGAGCAACGGAGATCTTGTCGAGCAAACTTCTGCTCTATGGATTTCGTCATGTCGATCAAGCTGAACTCGATCACGGTCTTGTCATACTCTCCATTGCAATTCGTGCAAAGCCAGCGAGGATTCACGTCTGTATTGTTGGGGAGGAGGGAGAGGTCTCGACAGAAGTCGAAATCTCGGAGGAGATCGCAGTGGCGGCAAGGCACGTTGGAGAGTTTCAGCGGCTCGCAGGGGTTACGGTAGATAGCCTCTTGCGCGAATTCACGAACGTTGATGAGCTCGAGCAAGTTGCGCTTGAGAAGGCCAATTTCCACAGTGTAGTCCTTCGCGAGCGAGAAGACAGCACACAGGAATTTGATCAGTTCGAGGGTGGGATGCGTCATGTGAAGATGTGATCCAGGGAGGGTAGGGAACTCGAAAGACCCGTCCGATTCAGGGCTCATCGCATCGTCTTGTTGACGCTCGTATACGCTTCCGATCACCTTGAGAAGCTTTCGAGTAAACTTCCGTGCAATGAAGTCGACAATCATCGATTTCTCGCTGTCGTTGGCCTGGGCCGCTCGCTGTGTTGCATCAGGCCCGTCGCTCGTCAGCATCGGCCGAATGATAGGTCGAGAGGAGGCGTTGATCTTCTGCCTGATCCGGTACAGCTCCACGATGTAGTATTGCACGACCGAACCAAAGTCATGTTGGATGGCGGGTGGTAGGAAGTGTTGGATATTCCAGTTCATTTCAACCGCTAACTCGGCCGGAGGTTCAACTGCCAATGGGTCTTCACAAACGACACCGCCCATGTTGGCTCGATCCATGCAGATGAGGAAGTCATAGAACTTCTCGGTGTGAAGGTAGATGTGTTGGAAGAGTTCATGCGAGGTGACGGCGGTTGTGATGTAGGTAGCATAGGCGTGGGCAGTTCCCGGTGGCTTCGATGTGGCGAGGAGGATAGTGCTGAAGTCGGCGTAGACGACATGAGAGCCTAGTCGCTTGAATTCCGCAAGAAGCTGGATGAATGTCTTCCGCATCAACCCGTGAATGAATCGATGCAAAGAAGGATCATAGAGCTGGGACCCTTTCGAGGTGACCCATCTCCAGAAATGGTCGAGAGCAAGGCATGCGGGACTGTTGTTTTCATGCTGAATCTTGTCGAGTAACCACCCCTTGAGCATATTCTTGAGAATGGAGAAGGCATGCGTCGACACTCTGGAACCGCCCAGCGTGATGTCACGCTGTGAATCCCCACTCTTGTAGTCGTCCAGGGTATGCGAGACAGAGTCGAACGCGGTGGTTCCACCACTCCCCTCCAACTCATTGATGACGACGGATTGAAGGACAGAGTTGACGGCAAGATTGCGAACGGTGACCTCCAAGCACACGTTACTATACACCCCCGGTGAAAGGAAATCTGTTCTAGGCCAATCTTCTAATGCCTGAATGTCAGCCTCGATTCCACCAAGGTCTGGAAGATCGCTGGGTGACCACCACAGGACAGTGTCCTGGTGAATGAGCCGGCGAGCATAGGTGATGTCGGACAGGAGCAGTGGCGTATCGCCCTCGATATGGCCAATCGGAACGTCGTAGTAGTCGGCGAGGGCGATCATACGATCGAGCCAGGGACCGAGAGCGAGGTACCGTTTGAGGATCTTCACACCGGCAGTGGATTGCCACGGGAGGCTGTTAAGGAGGTGCGCATTCCTTGCCGACGACATCGCGACGACAGGGAACTTCGAGAGCCTGGGGACGAGTCGGTCGAAATAGGACACGTCCTTGTTCGAGGAAATGACGACCATGAGCGACGAGTCAGTCAGCAAACCCAGTTCTCGGGAGATAGCCTTGAGAGCGGTCACATCGTTGGAGTGGTGGACGGTCTCGAAGGAGAGGGACGTTGGGTAAGGGAAAGTGTTACTCTTGCCGAACATTTGTTGCTGCTTTGCGAAGAGGTCGCGATATGACGTGTCCAAGGAGGGGATGGGTTGTCGTCTGACAGCGGGATCGATGATATGCAGCTTGGTGGGGCCGTTGGGATAGAAGACAGCGAATACCTGCACCTTGCCGTTTGGTGTGGTGGCATGGTATAGGAAGATGTGCTTGGCTGTCCTGCCCTCGGCTAGGTATTGTTGGCTGGTGGAAGCGCAGGTGTCCAATTGCTGCAGGTCCAGTCCCGTTTGCTGTGCGCGATTGAGACTCAGGCCGCCGGACGACAGCATGCATGATTTTCCCAGCTTCAACAGGGCACGAATGGCCAGAGGTACCTACCAGATTCGTTAGCACGTCATCTAAGGCCAATAGTAAAAGAATACCCACCTGGAGTTCGAAAACACCGTCGACATTGGGATCATTGGTGAGGTCAATAAAATGCTCCTGAATATCCTGATACACATCCTCCCTAACCGAAATCTTGAACAGATTCGTGCATGGAAGATCATGCGGCAGGTTCTTCGTCACCTTCTCCACAGAGTAAAACTCGGGACGGAACAGTTGAGGCATCGGCTTCTTCAAGTGCACATAAAACTCCCTCGGAATGCGCAACGGTATCGAAACCAACTTGGCGTCGACGTACACCCATAACAGGAAGCGACCAGGAATCTTGCTAGCTCGGATTTGGAGGATGTCCCATCGCGTGCTCACAGGCTTGGCGCGTGCCACTGCACTTTGGAACATGGAAGGCACGACCGAGCTTTCTGGATCAGTCCAGCGAGCTTGGATTTTAGCCTTCCACTTGGGGCGCATCCGTTTGATCCAGGCCGAGTAGTTGCGAGTAGGGTCTGGCATCGGCCCCTCATCTTCTTCAGTTTCCACTTCCGGTTCTGGAGCTTTGGGCTTGGGTTCCTTGGGCACCAAACGAAGTCGGTTGGGTTTGGGGTCTGCAAGGTCTTCCATATCCTTGTCTTCCGGAGGGGCATTCGGGTCCTTGACCTTGAAAAAGTCCGTCATCTTGTTCTGCTTGAATTTGTCGCCTTGGGCCGCTACACGGCGGAATAGCCAGTCAGGATGTCGGATACGAGGGACCGGGTTGGCCACCTTTTGCATGGCTGCAGGGATGGTGATGAGCTTTTGGATGACCGACCCAAGACGTTCGATGTAGTAATCCCAGTCGAGGATGGCGCGCAGATCGAAGTTATTGAGACTGCTATCCTTCAGCCATTTGCGGAGGTAGGTGCGCTTTACCGAGTCCTCAGCTGAGAAGATGGCGACCGGGACTGCTCGATCCGTGACTGGCGATCCAATCGGTTTGGCCGAGATGATGAACTTGCAGGCAAGACCCTTATCCTTCACCATCTGGTCTCCCAAGAACTCGGCTAGACGACGGGCAGTGCTGATAGAGGTGGACTTTTGACCACCGTATTCTGCAAGTGTCTTGGACATGCTTCGGTTTTCGGCAATAAGATCGACCAGTTCTTCATCGGAAAGTGTTTCGCCGCGAGTGTAAAGGATGTCGAGCCATTGGTCGGCCACCTCTGCAACAGCCGCATAACATTCCTGTAATGTCGTACCCAAGAGGAACTTTTCGAATATTTGGGACTGGAAGATCTTGATGAGCTGGAGTTCTCCCCGTCGTTTGACTTCGAATCCCTTCAGCTCCGCCAGGGACCCATCATCGTTGAACACCGCGTAACGCTTCTTCAACAGCTTGTCCTCCTCCTTGGAAGAAGGGAGAATCATAGCCTTGTACGGACCATCCAACTCGAAGAAGATCGAGTTCTCGCTATGGACTTCATACTCGCCGGTCTCGGGGTTGAGGTCGTGGTATTGGTGATTGGTGAATTTGTCGTGCACGAGGTGGTTAAGCATAGTACAAGGGTAAGAGAACTTGATGCTCTTGCCGTTCTTCAAGTTGAACTTGAAGTTCTCTGGGAAAACGCCCGGAAGCATGCACCAAATACCATCGGTATCCAATTCCAGCGGTCGTCCAATCTGCTCCACCAACGCTCTGGCCATCTGAATGATAGTTGCACCCGTCAAACACGTTATTCCCGCCATCTCCATAGAATGCCATCGAGCTCCCTTTCGCATCACATATCCGTAGAAAGAGTTTAGAATACACTTGTGCGCGAGCTGGAGGGAATCGTAAAGGACGATCATCTTCTTTGCCTCGTCGACTTCCGCGATGGAACGAGCTTCGGCAAGGTAAGTGTCGAGGTTGTTCTTCCATTTCTTGTGGAGACCCTTGTACTCGTAACGACGGTCACGGAACCGTCGGACGGTGTCAACGTAGAAAGGATTTTCGCGTTGACAGACAATGGATGTACGGGTTTCGACCTTGGTCTCCTTGGTCTTGCTGTAGACCTTGCGAGAGTAGTCCCCGAGTCGTTTGTGGAGCAAGGCCGTCTGCTCGGCAGGGGAGAGGTCCGTGAAGCGTCGCGGAGGGTCGTGTGCTCGTTTACCAGGGAATGACTCCTGGTTCAGCGCATGCTTGATCATGTTGAACTCGTCTCGGTGAGCAGGGAAGTATTCGCCTCTCCATGCCCATTGCAATCGACGATCGCATGTCTTCCCAGGGCGGTTAAAGTCGCAAACAGCGCAGTCCGATTCCTGGACCATCGAGTCGGGTTGAAGCCGGTTTGACAACATGATGTTGGGATACATGGCTGCGACGTCCAAGTGGTAGATGAGAGGATTGTCAACGCGTTTCGGGTTGTCTCTCATGAGTTCCAATTTGTCCTGAATCTCTCGTTTGACTTCCTCGTAGTTGGTTACATCGGCCAGATTGGCCTTTGACTCTTCGACGATACAGAAGGTGAGAGCGGCATCGAGGTCATCAATGAGCTTGAGTGAAACAAAGGTTAGCTACATTTGACCAAGGTCGACGAATACTAAACTTGCCTGTTGCACCGCTTCAGGCACGACCTTGAAATCGGTTGCGATATCACTACGGAAGACGCCAGCTTCTAGAGCTTCGACGTGCCCACCGACGTAGGTCTCGGATGATAGCAAGTGGCCTTCATACATGTTGCCATGTGTCTCCTCGTGTTTGTTAGGCATAATGATATGGCTGCGGTAGGCTTCGACCTACGGCTGGGGTCAGCGGAAATATGTAGGGTAGAAGAGACCACACTGACCATCAGCAAAGTCTCGCAAAGAGTTCCCGAACCTTTCCGCAAAACCTCGTCCGGATTGAGGGCAATGATGTTACACAGCGAGAAGATGAAAGGGTGAACGTATTTCATATAGAGGTAGTACGTTGCAACGGCATCGGAGACGGAGTACTGAGCCAGCACTTGAGGTTGTTCCACGGCATACCTATATCTCGCGTCAGTGACCATACCACCAAGAAAGCGAGTGACCACTCACGGTGTCATCAATTCCGGGTCAAGTTCAATTGGGTTGTACCCCAACTTCGCCGTTGTTACAGCTTTAAGGCCCTGACTTCCTTGAGGAAGGTACGAGTCTCGCTTAACCCAACGGAAACAGTCCATGTGCACGCATGTCCTGCTCTTGTATTCTTCCTCCGCGTCAATGGCAAAACCTGTCTCAAGGAACATATCCAGTCCGTTGACCTTGGCTCGTGCGTCGATGAATGGCATATCGAAAAAGTCTCCGTTGAACGTAGCCATGATGGTCGGTTTGACCTCTTGGATGTGAGAGAACCATCGCTTAATGGTAGCTTCCTGGAGGGGGCGTCAACCAGATCCTTTGCTCTAGATACCTGAGAACTCACCTCATTAGGTTCATTATACACGATGAAAGGACCCTCATAACCTTCCTTCGGGGTGTACTCAAAGTCCTCAATATCCTCGCTGACTATTTCCCTGTTGACAATGAGGTAACCTTGGCCATCGACCATATACGAAATCATCATAACTTGGTCGATAGCTTGGTCGGGGAACTTCAAAGGCGCCTTCGTCGTTTCGATATCATAGGCCATGACCACCGGGTCCGCACGCTTGACACGCTCCTTGATCAGGGTGAAAGTCGGCTGTCCGGCGGTGAAGGTTATAGCGTACCACAGACCAACTCGAATGTCGTTGTCGATGGCGACTCGTAGGTGGTAAGGCACGTCGTACTCCCGAATGTCGATGATGCATTCTCGAGGGTCGGTGTCGCTTGGTTTGGACGACGCGCCCCAAGCCTGCGTTTCGTCTTCCATTTCAATATCCATGCTTGCGGTTGCGCGCACCACCTCGGCATACGCGTCGACGGCATCTCGTTTAGCACCATTTGCAAGTGCGAGGGGCATAATTTCGCGCCGGACAGCAAGTAGGTCGGAAATATTCCTGAAGCAGATTTGAAGGAAGAGGCGGCGATGCCCCATGAGGTGGTTGGGCATCTTGAGATCTTCCTTTTTGTCACGAGCTATCCGATAGACGAGACCTTCAAAACGTTTCTTCATCCACTCCTCGACAATAGTCTCTGTGCCAGTCTTGAAACGAGTTTTAGTTTGCACAAGGCTTACAACCCAAAGTCACACCCACCTTGCAGGCAATGTAAAAATACGGTTCGTATTGAAACGTGCATTTGAAGCTTCCTCCATCGTCTTGAATAAAGTAATAATCCACAGCCGCTCTTCCAGAGGGCCAATCTGGATCTTTCACAGTCGTCTATAACCAACTCAGCCTCGTTTTTCATAGACAAGAAAGACCACAACACACCGGATGCATGTTGATCAACCAACCCTCCCGCTTAGGCCCCTCCTGTATCCTCGCAAACCCCAACTTCTCATCAACCTCGTCGTTGACCGCAATCTTCTCAAACTTCTCCGCTAGCTGTGTACCATCGTCTTCTCGTACTGGCGCTGCGTCTGGATTTCCACCAGCCTTGGACCCACCGCGTCCTCGACCTCGGAAACCACCACGCCCGCCTCGAAATGAGCCTCTAACGCGCGTCCGACTCGACAGCCCAAAGTTGCCGCGTCCTCTTGCCATCGTCGTCGTCGTGGGCGGATGGAAAGGGTGCGAAGGAAGATCCAAGGCCGCGTTGTCACACGACGCGACTTGTCATCATCACGCGTCGCGCTGTCACGCTCGCGTCTTTTTCGGCGAAGAGGAGGTCGTTCTCAAAAACATCAAACCAACAACGCTTCATGGAGCCAAATCTCCATGGCAAAAAAAAGCATTAAGTATTACAAAAAGCGAAATCACACATAGTAATAGTACTACTACTGTAAGAGCCAAACCTGTCTATCCTTCTATAGCTCCCCCTTCACTCTCTTCACGGGCTGAACACCAGCCTTCACACCACTGGCAACAACCCCATTGGCATTACCACCCGCCTTCTCATCCTCAGCAACAGCCTTCCTCGCGTCTTCAAGAGCTTTAGCAGCCTTTTGCGCCTCCTCAACAACTCTCCTCTGCTCCCGCCTCTCTCGTCCACGAGTAACCATCTCTTTAGGCTCCAGATTCGCAAACAGGAATTTGCATCCGTGCTCAATCAACCAGCAGCCAATAAAGTCGATGACCATCGAAGCGGTAAGCTTGAACTTGAACTACAAAAGGAACGGGGGTTAGCACTGCGTGGGGATTGTTGTAAAGAGGGAATAGAGCGTACCTCGTCGGTCATCTCGACAATCTGCAACCACCGGTTGAGCTCGGGCATAAAGTCAGTTGCACCCGAGAAGGCGACTGCACTAGCACCAAGCAAGCCATAGTACAACGCGCTGTTCTCCCTGATGCCTTCACGGAACGGACGACCCTGACATAGAACATTAACATCCACCCGTTGTAACCAAGACAGCGCAAGCTTACCTGGAAAGTTGATAGCAAACGTCGAAACCTGTTGCGAAAGGCCAAGGAGGTAGATGGCAGTGTTAAGGAGCGTAGGGCTGAACTTGGCGTCCAAATCAATGGGACCAGGTCTACACAATCACTCCAATCAGTAATCTACGTCCTCCGCGTAGAACAGGGAGAACACTCACGGCTCAATCGAATGCGACAAATTGGTAATAAATACCATGGTCGCAATATGGAGTGCAAACTGCAGGAGGACCGACAGCAGGACGTAGAGGTTGAAGATATTGCCAAGCGGTCGCTCCTTGGACAATTTGTCGACAGGCTAAATTACCATACCCCACGTCAGCATTCATTCACCTGCGGCAAACACAGACGATTTGCGAAACTTACCTTGGCCCTCGAAATACACAGGAAACAAACCGACATCAACATGCCGCTAATCGTAACCTGATAATCGCCAAACTTGATACCATCCAAATACTGCACACTCAAACTCCACGCCGTAATCAAACAGTTGAGAGCGAGAATCTTGTACATCTGGATGGTAGCCACAAGAGTGCATCGGCCTTGTCGAATGATATGGGTGACTGTGCGAGGTGACGTTTAACGCACATGCCGCAGACAAAGGACGGGAATACTCACTAGCAGCGACATGCGAAAGCTTCGAAGTAAACGGCGCAGCACACGAAGCATCTCCAAGCTTAATCTTGGGAACTTCATCATCGCCGTCCATCTCAGCCATCTTCTCCGTGATCGCCATCATATCAAACTATACACAGTCAGCCTTTCAACCGTGTGCCAAAACCACAAAAAACTCACCTTCTCCAAAGGATTCTGCTTCCTAGCATTCTGCAAGTTCTCTGCAGCCTTCTTCTGCGCTTCAACAGCCTCAGGCATCAAATGTGCAATAGCCGGGGGAACAGGAGGAGGAGGTTGGTTGAACCTCTGAGCAATATTCAACTGGCTCTCATACACCTTCTTAATCCTCTCGAGCCGCTGCCGCTCTGCAATCTTTTGCAAATCCTCCGGAGTACCATCAAGAAGGGCGACACCAATATGCGCTTGCTTGAGAGCTCCCACATCGTTGGTACCGTCACCAGCCATAAGTGTGATGTATCCAAGTGTCTTGAGACTAGTGAGGATCGTTTCCTTTTGTGAGGGAGAGACACGGGCGTAGACCCAGGCGTTCTGCACGATATCGGTGAAACCAGGTTTGTCTTCGAAGTGCTTGAGGGCAGAGCCGGTGACGCAGATATCGTACTCCTTGAAGAGCGAGGTGTCGAGTGGTTCGTCAGGGTTAATGGGGATGATTTTGGTCTCGTCGACAGTGCGCCAAACCAGATCTTCAAGTTGCTTTAGTCCCGAACCACGTTAATCTCTCCGGAGAAGACATACCTTTATCATGCTTGGGTTCCTCTGCCATATCTAGAATCAGAACATCCCGATCCACAATCTCAACATCCCGAGCAACATGAATAGCCGTCAGAGGATTGTCGCCAGTAATCATGATGCACTAACAAGTACCGCGTCAGCACAAATAAACAACCACGATCGACCAGCAAGCTCACCCGATGAGACGAATCAGCCAACATCTTCAAAGTCTCCACCGCATCTGGTTTAAGCGGGCAATGGAAGACCAAGAAGCCAGCAAACCTCAACTCGCTTTCCACATCAGTTCTAGGGAGCTTGTTGATCTGTTCGCGAACGGCATTAACACCACGTTCAATCTGCAGTCGCCTTAAGAAATAGCACCCACCTTATCGCTGCTCATAGCCTCCATCTCCTTCATACCAAGCGCCAAAACACGACTTCCATTCCGCGTGTACCACTTGTACGTATCGTCATACGACTCGGGTACCTCCTTCAACATACCCTTGATAGTCTCAGGTGCACCTTTAACAGCGACCAAAAGACCACCACCAGGCAAGGTCGAGATAGTCGACATCCTCTTGAGAGCAGACGAGAATTGGAATCGGCGTCTGATGGCAATGATGGTTTTGTGCGGAGCAGACGAGTTGGTGGGAGCCACGAGTTCACCTAGTGTGAAGAGTATGATTGAGTTTCGGGAACAGGGAATGAGAAAGCAAGGACGAACCCTTTCCGATAGTCCATTCAAGAGAGTCCAAAGTGGTCTTCTCCATAGGATCACCGACAACAGTACCATCGTCCAGCTTCACCAATGCATGCGCAGCAGCAAGACACAGTGTTGTATCCCGGCTCGTTTCCTTGACATTGACCATCTTGCGAGGATCACTGGGACTGTTGGACCCATCAGTTTACGAACTCAACCGATACCAAATCTCAGGTACTCACTGGACACCAACGACACCCTCCAGAACAAGGTCCTCAGCCGTGATCGTTCCCGTCTTGTCGAAGCAACACACATCTACACGACCGGCGAATGGAATGCGGAAAGGCTCGGTACAGAAGATGGCGAACTTGGACAGGGCGACCAAAGAGGCGTTGACAGCGAGGGAAAGTTCCATAGGCAGCTCGGGAGGGACGACACTCGTGATGATCAAAATACAATCCAGCAACAGCTTGGACTTCTTCAAGCCACGCTCGAGACCTTCGCAACATACATCAGCGACAAAGAATCAGGGTGAAAGGTTAAAATAACTACACACCTTTGACCCAGACATACCAACTGGCGGCGATAGCAAAGATGAGCAAGAAACCGATGAAGAGGAAGGATTCTAAGTTGTTGGCAGAGACGCGTTCCGTTGAGAAGATCATCGTCCTAACCAGTTGGCCTTGAGCGGTTCCGAATCCGGTGCGAAGCACAACTCCCAAGCAGCCGCCGTCAGGGGTCTTAATCGGCGAGGCGATTTCAGCTAATAGAGACGTTATCACAGAACTTTCGGTATACATTGCACGGACGAACCTGACTTGGAAGCCTGAAGAATCTTGGTTCCGCTAAAGACCACTGCATTCTTATGAGCGCCATCGACATCGAGCTTCTCCGAAGTGTCCATGACTTGGATAGATTCCTTCAACAGAGGAGTCGACTCTCCGGACAACATTGCCTCATTGACAATGCATGTACCGTTGACCAGAAGGATATCGGCGGGGACGGTGGTTTCGGCGCTTACGCGAGCTAGTCACTTGGCATGAGTAAGGAACATTGACAGGACAAACTGGTTACTCACCAACTGATACGACATCACCAGGAAGTAACTTGTCAGTCTGAATCTCAATCCACTTGGAGTCACGGTAGCATTGGATGGGGTAGGGGGTGACGTTCATCGTTCGGAACTCTGTCAGAGTTCGGACACGCTGCAACTCCATGAGTACACCTTCACAGCATCAGAGAGGACGAACTCACCTGATAAACGACGGTGCACTCGAACATGATCAACATAAACAAAGTGAACAAGCTGTAGTACCAGTACTCATCCAAACACCATAGAGCAACACAGAAGATCTGAAAGACGAAGAACGGGGCGGTCGCATGCTCGACAAAGAGTTCGCTGAAGGCGGGGATGGGGATGTCGAACTCGTTATTGCCGTACAACTCCTGGAGCTCGGGGATGGTGTCCGAATTCAAACTGGCGGGCTTGGAGAACGTGTTCAAAACCGGTTTGGACGTGCAGGGATAAGGAAGTCGAGTAAACGTCAATGGCGACGTCTCCGATAGTGAATACGTGTCCCGTTGGTAGTTGAAAGTATATCTGGGACCGCCCTTGGTGTCCTTTTTGTTCAATGGCACAATATCGCCCTCTCCACGATGGAGTTTTGGAACCAATCGAATGCAGTCGGCTTCTTCTAGTGATTTAGCCTGTAGTATAACAGTAAGCCTTGCTATTCGGACTGGACGCCCATTGTCCGACTGACCTTGTGTGTCGTAATCCAAGCTCGGGCACCCGCGTTCCATTTCGTGACGAGGAAGCTCAAGGCATGTCCAGCACCGAGTGTCGTGCAGGCCAAGAACGTCCACTCTTCACTGACCAGCCAGGTGTCGTATTTGACGAAATATGCATAGGCCAGAAGAGGGTATAGCGAGAGAAAGGGGAGACCGTAGAGATGCTTCTGCCATGGAATCGAGACGTGAAGACTCGCCCGTTCTATCTCGGGCGAGTGCACAGTAACCGTTGCCCTGTCTTCTAGTTAGTCTCTTCAATACAACATAAGAAAAGAAACATACATAGTGTCGGCAACCGACCAAACAATTGACTCTTCGAGTCGATAATGAGGGGAACCTGAGCGAAATTCAGCTGTGCCACCCGACGACGTGGAGAACCCCCGTGACCGATGCCATCATCTAACCCTAACTTGGGTCCAATCAGATGTGTCAATATTCAATTCTAAATTCAATAAATTAATAAAAATTGGGAATATCTTCATCACGGTCATCTCCGGTACTGCAAAAATAAGGTTCAGCCACAGGAAATCAACGGAGCGCCGTCATCGTCGAGTGAGCAAGGTTTGTGTCCCCCTCAAGACTGCCGACGATGGTGAGTAACGCCCGTTTGTCGTCGCCACACACGATGTCTAAACAACCCCTCGTAGCCGAAAGAAATCCGCGACATCAAGCAATTCATCAAAATCACGCAGAGGAAGGATGCCTCGCGTACGTCCATCCATGTCCCAACGAAACCCACAAGATAATTGACGATTCGTTGCAGAGGCGCGGATAAAAAAGATCCCCTCAAAAGTCGCCGGTGGCAAGACACAGACCAAGTTCAAAGTTCGATGCTCGCGGTACTTGTACACATTGTCGGTGGATGACCCAGAGAAGGCCGAGAAGTTGAAGCAGAGCTTGCCCCCTGGTGCGTCTCATTCAGTTCTTATCCTTACTTCCATCGCTCAGACTGGAATTTCCGTTTCTCTAGGTCTCTCAGTAGTGGAGGTCGACAAGGCACCAGCAAAGAAGAAGTAAACGCACCCACCCACTATTTTTGTATCTTCTTCTCCGCTATGCAACTTTATGACATGTACCCACCACACACATATGATGGTTATGCGACTTCCTGGCCAAAATCAACGCGATTGGGTTTCCTGTCAGATGAAAACGCGCAAGTGGCGACACTCGGATGGGCACCGATTTGGGGTATTTATTCCAGTTCCCTGGGCTCTCCTGTTCGACTACTAGAGATGGGACCATACCTGGTCAACGAATTCGATTCCTCCGTTCAACTTCAATGTGCGAGCCTTAGGCACCAATGACTGAGGGGCATGTACCTGCTGGATGTTCATGGATGGATTTGGTCCCTGATCAATGGTGTGCTGCACCAACCCTTAACTTCGGTTTCTGGTAATCTCAAGCAACTGGGACCAATGCAATGTCTCCGCCCTATTCCCTCCCGTTTGCATGGGTGGGCGCCCACATGAGATGTTGGTCGCAGCACTCCACTCCCTGGAGTGAGAGAGCTCACGACATGCACTCATTCAAGTTCTCTTCACCAAATTAAACGGTGTATTTTCAACAACACCATTAACACTACTAACACCATCACAGCTCCAGAAGCAGCCCTTGGTATACTCTTCCTCCATCTGCCTGCTCTCCTCTCCTGTCTCGCCTCCATATCGATATCCAGCCTCGATGCACTAACCAAACACTCCAGCAGCTGCATCCCATCTAGCCTCCACACCGGCAACAGATTGAAGAAGAACAACGAGAGCGCCGTCATCTCCGTATAACTGCAGAATCCCCCAAGAACCTCTGATAAGAACACACTGCACCGAAGAGATCGAGGAACAGAACCACGAGTCAAGCGACTCTCGTCTCGATCAAAGGGTACTCACCTTCGAAACGCCCGTATCAAGCTCAACCATCCCATCCCAATCATCTTCCACTTCCGTATCCACCGGCTCACCCGCACTAAGCCGGCTACCCCTTCAGTCCATGCATTGCCTTGGAAAAACAAGATACTTACCCTGTTCCCAAACCTCCGTCCTCGGACCACTCCATAATAGAATCTTCTCGTCTTTCGCCTCTCCTCTGCTGAATCCTTGCTGAACGGTGATCCGAAGTAAGGAGAGTTTCTCGTCGAAGACCCCGCAGTCTTCGTCTCCGTCGGTACAATCACCAGATCTTTGGCACCTCTTCGCCGCTGTGTTAGTGAGTATAGGTACGGGGTTCACGCAGCCCAGTGCGTCTGCTTCCCCATCTCCAAAATTGAAGAAACATGCATTCGTTCCGTTTCCTCTATTAGACCCACAGCATCCCTCATCTGGACCTGCCAAATGTACGTCAGGGATGCCCGAATGACAGTTGAAGGAGTGAATGGTTTTACTTAGCAACTCGCGGTGAACGCACCACCCTTCCTTCGGTTTCTCGCTCTTCGAAAGCAGAAACTTGGCCCATAGGTCATCATCGTTTCCACCCAGAGTAAAATCATCCAACTTCGTCAAAACCGTCTCTCCGGCCACTAGATGACCAACCAACGGGGAATACTACAGGACGACACAAGCAGCCCATCAACGAAGACGTTCCAATCCTTCTCTCCAATGGCCTCCAGCCAACTGGCTTGAAAAGAACAGGCGACTCACCGGTTCAACTCTCAAAACACCCCTCCCAACATCTCCAACATCCTGGTACCAAAAACCCACACCCCACTCTTCCAAACCCGAAACCCTCAAAAGCACAACAACCGCCCAAGAAATCAAGTTATGAAACGGTCCAGCAGCGATCACTCTCGCTTTAGCTAGAGAGTTCAGGGTATTCATCGAGGCACTCGAAAAGGCCACAAACGCAGTGGGTATAACCAACGCGAGTGAACTTCCGGCTGAAGTCACCGGGATTGAATCACTGCATCTCCAGCATCAGGGTCGAAGACTGTCAATAATTAAAGGTACTGGACTCACAGCGCAGCAGCGACAGCATGTCCGAGCTCGTGTATCACCTGTTGGATGAAGACACTGACCACGATAATGGGCAAGTCTGATAGAGGAACTGTAACACCAGGGAGCTAGGCGCATATATCTTCGCGTCAATCCAGGACAAGGATGATAGAGGGCCGAAGAACTTCACGTACGATGGGCGTCAACCCAAAGGAACTTCCCTCCTCTCTGAGTTCTCTAACTTCTACCCCATCATCCCAGTTTCTCTTCGCCAGTCTCCCCACACCTTCCCCAGCCTCTCCATCCAACGCTTTCGGCCAAAGCATATCACCAATTCCACTCCCAACAACCCACACCAGCCCTGCAACACCCACAACCATCCCAGCCACACATACCACCGTCCCAACATCATATAACCTCTTCACAGCCCTCGTCAGACCCGCCCTCCTCCTCTTCAAAAACCACGCAGTAAACCGATCATGAACCTCATTGAACGCACTCGTCTCTATCCTCAAATGCACATTCTTCAGCGTCACCTCCGTATTTCCCGAGTCCAGATTCAAATTTATCCCTAAAAAGCGCAGAAACCTAGCCAAGCCCTGCCTTGAGTTTGTAGTTGGAGAATCGAATCGGCGGAAAGGAAGTTGGCTTGAAGAGTTGCCAGAGGACGAATGGCGGAAGTACGCGAAGAGTGCGTGTAGTGCCAGCCAGAAGATAGATAGCGTCACTATTAGCGTTATGAACGACATTCAGATGGTCTGACTTGAACGGACAGTCAAAGCCAAGGAGGTCGTCTTGGACGTTGGTCACGGTGGTGGTGGTAAGACGAGAAAAGGCATAACTGATTGCGCTCCTCGATCGTGTCGCGTTCGCGCCATCAAATACGCCCCTATCCGACTCCACGCTGCAGCGCTTGAAGAAGCCACTCCAAGTTTCACGATAGCACAGAAAAGGTTAGAAGCGACTATGTGTATTATCCCCAAATTGTAACCAGCACTATGTAGCCTAGCTTACAAAACTAGCACTACCAAAATCCCCAAGATATCCTTGCGCCAGGCAAAGGACCAAAAATATAGGTATGTAAAGCTCTGCAAGAAAGCATCATGCACGACGCCCGCTTACGCATTATTGCTAGCATCCTTTCCTCTCGCTCCATTCCCAATCGCACTCTGCGGCAGCTGGTACGCATACTCGGCAGACAACGGTCTCTGCTGAGGTGGATGGAAGTTGTTTTGCTGAGGCGGAAGATCACCACGACCCTGACCATAGGTTTCCCTACGGTTGTAATATCGCTCGTCAAACGATCTTCTTTGGTCAGAGTACGCGGAGTAGCTGAATCGGTGTGGGTATCCGACGTATGCCATGGGATGCTGCGGTTGCTGAGGGATGATAGCGGCAAGCTTGGCCATCTCCTCTTCTTCCAACTGGTCGGCGTAGCGTTCAACAATGAAGTAAGAGTCTATCAATTCTCGTCAGCTACTGGAAATAATGGATATGACGGACACCACTCACATAATTGCAAGATCCACGAAACAACGTAGATCGCCACAATCACACCCTTGGCCACTGCCATACCAGTCTTACAGATATTCTTCGTCTCTTCCAGCAAATCAGGTGAGGGATTCGCATCCTTAATGCACTGCTCGACACTCGTAGCAGGGTTCGGCCGGAAGATCGTGTACATGGTGAAGACACCCGAAGCGATGCTCAGCCCTAAATGGATCGCCATACCGACAGAGAAGGCGATGACGAGGCCTCTGTGTCGGACAAGGGAACCGACGAAACCGAACAGGGAAATGAGACCGAGGAGACTGAAGATGGAGGCGTGGATGTAGGCTGCGATTTCGTCCGTCATCTCCACCGGATGTTTGCCTGCATTAGAGGTGATATTAGCAAGAGCGCCCGTGGTTACGAGGAGAACCGGGACGTACGGTTCTGAACTACCTGCATCCATGCTATGGCAGCGATGATAGAGCCAGCCAAAGTAGTGATGAGAGAGACCACCTAAGGCCAATACCTCGTCAGCTCGCCGCCTTTCTCCCTCCAGAACTCTAGAAACCACTCACAAAAACACCAAGCCTAACCGGCAAGCAGAAGCAGAACTTCTTGCTTTCAATCTGGGCGCGGATATCGGCAATATTGGGGATGTTTTCCTTGAGAGCCATTATATATTTCTCGTTACTTCTTTACCAGAAAATGAACCTGTTTCGAAAAGAAGACCGAAAAGAATAATAGCAGTGATCAACACTACTTGGGGACCGGGAGGGGGAGGGTCGAGTTGTCGGGCGCAGCCACGATAGAAAGGAAACCCATACCGCAGGGCGCTCGGTTTAAATACTTTGGACGTGTGTTTGGGTTTGATGTCTATCTTGATGGTGATGCACGATGCCACAGTCCCTGTGACGGTTGCAGTGCGGAGTGTTGTCGCTCGTCGCAAAGCACTGCCTTTGATCCACTATGCCTTCGAGCACTTTAAGTACTCTATTCTGGTCCATCCGCTGAGCTTTCTTAGTCGTGGAGCTCAATAGCCATGTGTCGTTTAAAAGTCGCTGCGCCGGAAGCAAGACGTGCGGTGGTCCCAGCCGTGAACAGGTGAACAAGATGGAACACCCTGAAGAGCAGCCCCAGGCGGCCTGAGGGTGTTATGGTTATCACAGATGGGATCAGCCTGTACCCTAGAGGATCCCGCTGATGCCAGAACATGGTCTCTAGCAGCCAAGCATTGAGATACGCTGGTACTTTCTCAACACTTCGGAAGTCTAGGGGTCCACCAGCCATCGCCGTGATATACTCTCGGAGAGGGGATGATCCTGGGCTAGCGGGTCTGAAGTTCCCAGAGTTTATTTGTCATGTCAAGTAGAGGTAGGCATCCAGAGGTAGCCGGGGTAGCCGGGTTCCGGACAGGTCGCATTGAGGCTGCCTGGCGCCCAGGCGATCAGCAAGGGATGACGTGCTTGAAGACACTATCGCAATCCTAACCCGTAGTATGTGTATGTTCTGGAAAAGCCGAAGTAATATGTTAACCGCACGCTGGAAACGGAGTGAGGACGGACCAAACACTTACCGGTATGAAAGAACTGTGCTTTCGTAAAACTAGAATGGTTCTCAACGGCACCGTACTTGAGCGTGAACTTTTTTTAGACCGGTAGACATTAATCCTGGTAAAATACCCGATATTTAGAGTTTAAATGGCATAAGACGCCGATATGTGTGCGAGGAAGAATGGAAGCACTATCGGTACTTGGATTTTCTCAAAACACAGCGCACGCAAGGAAAACGAGCGCCCAAGAGCCATCAGGCGCTGAGTCCAAAAGGGGTAAACTCGATCGATGGAACTGATCCTCCACGTGAAACCAGCACAGCCATGGGCAGCCTCCGTTGCGGACGACGCTGACGGCGCAACCTTGGTCGCTGTGCCCACCACCTCTCTCAACGCCTCGTCGCTCGTAGTTTCGAAACAGTTGCCACAATGAAGATTTTCTCGATAGCTATTCTGCAGGCTCCTCCAGGCGGCGCTGCCACAGTCCTCTCCTCAGCCAGTGACTTGAGTTCATTCAGTTTCTTCCAACGCGGGGCCATCCAGGAGTTCATGACGTTCTTCACCAAGACCGTCGCAGAACGTACAAGCTCTGGACAGCGCCAGTCTGTCCAAGAGAAGGAGTACACATTCCATACCTACAACCGCGGGGGGCCAGAGCAAATCGCAGGTCTGTAGAGTCCACCTGTAGTTGTTGCGAGCTGTCAGTCTAATCTACGAGCCTGGTTTTGCGTGCTTTGGGTTCTCCAGCTGTCTTGATCTGTGACCAGGAATACCCCGTCCGACCTGCATACTCGTTACTTACCAAAGCCTTGGACGACTTCACCAGCAAAGTTCCCCAGTCATCCTACTCCAACCCCAGCTCCATCTCTTTCCCGGAAATAGATGTCTACATCCAGAAGTATCAAGATCCTCGTCAGGCGGACACCATTATGCGAGTTCAGCAAGAACTGGACGAAACCAAGATTGTCCTCGTAAGTCTGATCCGCCCCTCGACTCCCTATCTCCCTGGGCTCAAATAAGACCGTTTCAGCACAAAACAATAGAATCAGTGTTGCAGCGTGGAGAGAAACTTGACAATCTCGTGGACCGATCGAATGCACTGTCAGCCCAGAGCAAGATGTTCTACAAGACGGCTAAGAAGGTGCGAGTGCATGATTTGTATCAAAGGGTGCTCCTGTCCTGATCTTGATCCCCTAGCAAAATTCATGCTGCACTATTATGTGAGAAAGGTCCCACTGGCAGCGGCGGGAGCCATCTCGACACCTCCTCGTACATACCAACTGTCACTGCAGTATGTGTGCTCCCAGGCACATCCATTGCTTCAGCTACTTCACCCATCCCTTTCTTCCTCTACGCTTTTTTCGGACAGATACCGCTATTCATTTCTTGCTTTATCTCTTCTTTTGGTTGTGACCGTCCGCCCACATTGCCAGATGACTCGAGGGTGTTTGTGGCACCGTAACGAAAGATCCACACAATGATTCTATCTCCAGGAACGATTTGGCGTCTGACAGTCAGATACTGATAGTTTTTGCTTATTTGGGAAGACAGCTTTCGCGGCGTTCTGCAGCGTCCTCTTCGACAACTCCCATGTTCAAATGCGACATATTGTTACCCTCGCACTCTCGCTTTATGCAATGCTCGGCGCCGCTGGTTCTACAACAGTCATTCGCTCCGATAACCCGCTTAAATGAAGGCTGTGAATCTACACATCTAATGCCTAAGCCCCGGCCAACCGAGCTTTAGCTTCATTTCTTCCGTGATATCGACTCCAGAAGCACCAAGCCTCCGACGTTCATACCATGCCGACAACAATATCACAAATGCGACGTGGCTGAAACGACAATAGTTCACGTAAACCCTCGGAACCTTCATTCCTGACAAGATATTGTTTCAGGGTAAACACTGATGAAGTAGTACCGCCCTGTGGAGAATCCACTGCACCCAGGTGGAATCATCGCCAAGCCGTGGTACCCTTTAGGCGCTCGAACAGGATGATGTCTTGTTCTTCAGTTGCTTCTATATCATGGCGTTCAATTGATCAAGTGCTGTGCGAAGGGCCAGTCGCGACAGATGGGCTCAAGTGAGGAAGTTCCAACGGAACCGTCTCGATAATTCCTCCTAACGTCACAGCAAATGGAGCGAGGTTAAAGACCACAGGCACATGGCTCCGACGTCCGCACACAATCTCTTCCTCTCCTTCAATTACGCTCTTTTCGGACAGATACTACTATGGTGACTCGGGCGCTTGATTCTGCATAGCGTTTCCATCCACCCGCCTGATCACCAGGATGCGCTTATTCCTCTCTCATTTCCAACAGATGTCTGATGAGTGCATTGCCGTCGATCCTGCTCGTCGAAGGGATTCTTTGTTGGGTGGATAGAACATAGCCAAACTCTGCTTCGTTGATTAAACGGCGAGGACAGCGGAGGCAATTGCGGCTCACGGATCTGAATATCAAACAAGGGCGTCGTGTTTCCACACTGACATCGGATTCAAAAACTCACCGGTTGACCTTCTCTTCCGCTACCACTCCGATTTGCGCTCCAATAGAGTCCAGCTTACATATGTACCACACTTGGAAGTGGTACACAATGTCCAGAATACCGTTATCTTGACTCGCTGTTTCGTATTCCCGTGATGGAGGGATCCTAGTACTTTTGACAAGAAACTCGAGGCAAAAAGGGTCTCTTTTGCCACGGGTGCCTGTACCTCGAATTCGGCGATATAGGACCAAAGCCCCTAGCTTCTAAACGTTATATAAAGCAGCGCCTCGTGCGGCTGCCATAACACCACCACCCTCTCCTCCAGCCCCCCGACAATCATGTCTTCCATCCTTCGCAAGCTCGCCCAGACCGTGGACTACATCAACGAGTCCCATGCACCCGTCGACACCGACGGCGGGCGCACACAGAGCGGCGTCTACGAAAAGAAGGTCGCTGCCCTCTACCAGGCCTTCACTAATCCACCCGTCACTGTGGATGATTTGGTGTGTACACATTCCTGCACGACGCCCACGAACCCCACTAACAGTGTCGTCCGACCGCAGCCCGCCTATGTCGATGCTTTCCTCAACTCGGGTGGTGTGGGCATTGACGATCGAGAGCTTCTGGTAATCAAAACCCTATTCTACAGTCGCCACAGGGACTAACGTGATCCTAGCTCGAGAAGCTGTTGACGCTTATGGCCAGTACGAAGGATACATCGTTCTCCCATAAGGTGCAAGAGGCCGTCATCAGCCTACGTACGTCCGCCCTCCGCGCCCTCCGCCGCCAATATCTATACTCATACCCCATCAAGTGTACAAGGATCTACCTCACCCTCCTAGCGGCTACCTTCGTGTACCACCCACTACCGCCCCTGCTCCTCCCCTCGACGTGAAGTATGCCTACCGGACATCTGACGGGTCGCATTACAACCCTTTGGCCCCGGCAATGGGCATGGCAGGGACTCCCTACGCACGTTCGGTGCCCTCTCGGCACACCCTGCCCAAGGAATCACTCCCGGACCCTGACCTCATTTTTGACACGCTCCTCAAGCGCGAGAAGTTCGTCCCCCATCCGGGAGGCATGTCCGCACTCTTCTTCGCCTTTGCCGACCTCGTCATTCACAGCATCTTCAAAACCAACCCTCATGACTGGTCAATCAATGATGCTAGTAGTTACCTCGACCTCAGCGTGCTCTATGGGCACAGCGACCGGGACGTCAATGCTATCAGGCGAAAGGACGGCACGGGTCGTCTGTGGAATGATGTATTCGCGGATTACAGGATCACCCATATGCCTCCTGCGAGCTGCGCCTTGTTGGTGCTGTTAAGCAGGAATCATAACGTCAGTTCATTCAACCAGGATCCCCGTTTCTTCAAATGAAGCTCACTTCTTCCTCTCCATATAGTACGTCGCCGAGAAGATCCTGGATATCAACGAAAGTGGGAAGTACACCCGAACATTTGCCAACAATGCCGCTCGCGACGCACAGGACGACGAGATCTTCCACCGAGCCCGTCTTGTCAACTGTGGATACTTCATGCACATCATTCTCGGAGGTACATTGCCATCCACCCTAGTCCTACGTGCGTATACTAAGATGTTATCCCCGTCAATTTTTAGACTACGTTGGCGCTATTCTGGGACTTGTGCGGGATGGCAGTGACTGGCGCTTAGATCCCATGATGGTCAGTGATGCAGTACGCCACGACTCCTGCGTAACCATCTAACCGCCTCTTCATCTGTTTCAGACTATGCGCAGCCGGAACCACGATTTCGTACCCGTCGGAGAGGGCAACGTCGTCTCGACCGAGTTCAACCTTCTCTATCGCTGGCATGCAACCTTGTCAGACGAGGACACCAAATGGACGGAATCCCTCTTCCAGAAGATGTTCAGCGGCAAGGACCCCAAGGACATCAAGATTGACGACTTCAAAGAGGCGGCCCACAAGCACTTGGTGCTCAACATTGAGAACGTCCGCGAATGGACGTTCGATGGGCTTAAGCGTGGTGCAGATGGTCGATTCAGCGATGATGACCTCGCTCGCATCATCCAGAACTCGACTGAATACCGCGCTGGTGCTTTCAAGGCCCGTGGTATTCCAGAAGCCTTGCGCTTCATCGAAGTCATGGGCATCAGGCAGGCTCGCACTTGGGGAGTGTGCTCCCTAAATGAGTTCAGAAGGTTCATGGGTCTTAAACGTAAGTCTCTGCTCCCAGTTCCTTCTGGCTCTTCTACTCACATTTGGTAACTCATATCCAGCGTACGCCGACTTCAAGCAGTGGAATCCCGACCCCAAGATCTACGTACGTCGTTTCTTTCTGTTGAAGCCCCTTCTCGCTAACCCTTTTTGTATGGAAATAGAATGCTGCCCAAGCGCTCTATCGTGATATCGAGAACCTCGAATTGCACGTCGGCCTCCAGGCTGAAGAGACCAAAGAACCCGGAGAAGGTGCAGGTCTCTGCCCTGGCTACACCATCTCCCGTGCCATTCTCGCCGATGCCGTCTGCCTCACCCGTGGAGATCGCTTCTTCACCGTCGATTACACGCCCCAGAACCTCACTTCATGGGGCTTCCAGGACTGCGCTTACGACAAGCAAGATGGTTCCTTCGGCGGCCTCCTCACCAAACTCCTCCTCCGCACTCTCCCGAATCACTACTCGCGAGGAAATGCCTACGCTCACTTCCCCTTCATGGTTCCTACTTTCTTGGAGGAACATTGGAAGGTGCATAAACCCGAGTTGGTTGGAAAATATACTTGGACCAGGCCTAGGCAGCAGCCCACGATTGTGCCTGTTGGAGACTACGAGATCGTCACCAAAGTTTTCGCTGACAACTCGGCCTTCCTCTCCGCGTACGAAACGCGTACCCTCAATGCCGTCAAAGCTACCCTCGAGAAATCTGTGCGCCGTACCCTAACACTCAGGGGAAAGCGTGTCTCCCAAGCCCCTGGAGGCTCGACTACCGATAAACGGCTCACACAAGGCCGAGACGAGATCAACACCCAGATCCTCGCCCTCCCTCTCTCCACCTACTTCTCGTCCAAAACGAAGGAGCTCATCAAAGCCAAAGGATTCACCAGCGCGGATGGGTCCACTGCCTACGTAGACATTGTGCGTGATGTCATCAACCTCCTCCCAGTGCATTTCGTCTCGCAGCGGATTGCTGGCTTGCCGTTGAAGTCGGATTCGACGCCGAAGGGAGTGTGGTATGAGCAAGATATGTATGATTGGTTCACGGATATCGCGGAGTATGTGTACTTGAACTTCCAACCGGAGCATGACTGGCGATTGAGGGAGTCGACGCAACTGCACGGGGAGGAGATTATTGGATACATCAAGTCCCACATTGACAGTATCAAGAACAAGGTATGTCACTCCTTTGGCCCCCTTCCCTGGTCTTTCGCTCAATTCTGGCCTTTCTCTAGTTCTCTCTTCCCGATGTGCGCAACCACATTGCAATTGGTCACAATGGCCACGACTTCTTGACCAGGATCGTCGACAGCCTGCGCAACACCGACACATCCAACCGTGAAACGGCAGCACGCATCTTCGCAGCCGTCGTCCCCACCGCCGCCATCTACGCCTCCGCACTCTCGCAGATCGTCTCATTCTTCCTCCAGCCTTCCAACGCCTCAGCTGCCGAAGCTCTCGTCTCCCTCCCCAAGTCCAAAGACACTGCTACCGCCACGACAGAAGTGTTGGGTTACATCCGGGAAGCTCTCCGTCTGAACCCTGCCATTCCAGGGTTCTACAGGACCGCCGCACGCGATGTCGTGCTCGGGCCCAAGACGATCCAAGCCTACGAGGTCGTCTATGGAAGTCTGTACTCCGCCAACCGCGATCCCCAGGTCTTCGGACCTAACCCTGAGGTCCCCGTTTTCAATCGCCAAGGGAAAGGAGCGGTCTTGGGTCTCCCCAACACGGGTCTGACGACGGAGGAGTTCTTGGCTGCTACTGTCCCAGCCGTGCTTTCTGAGATCATGTCGCTGAAGGGGGTGAAGAAGGCCGCTAACAAGAGTGGAAGGTTCAATGAATTCCAGGAGAACTGGCATGGGTACCCCAGGAAGCAGTATATCAACGCGAAGGGAGCTGTTTCGTCATTCCCGGATTCGCTGATTCTGCAGTACCAGGTTGCGTGATTTGATCTATCTCTTTCTCGGGCATGTATCTCGTTTTGTGGATATACCCTTGTTGTGCTGTCTTTTTCTTCGATTCCTCTAGGCGCCAGACACTATATTTAACCTCTTCTCTTCGTTACTGTACCACACTTCGTATAACATCTTACACGCTCACTGAAGAAAAATCGTGTACCATACATGTATTTCTACGCTTAATAGCCTCGCATTGCAATTCCACCCAATTCATGCCTATTTCTAGTCTGCCATGGATCTGAGGAGACTGGCGGAAACTCGGACAAAGCTTGGGTTGGAGCTGGATAAAGAAGCCGCTATAGAGAAGTCTGGCGGGTTAAAGGTAAGCTCTCATAAAGTCAATCGCTATCACTCTGAGTAGCCTCTCGGGCACCTATACCTGAAGCGAAACCGAGAACAAGGGCCCCAAAGAACCAGTTAGGGGCTACTTCCCTATTCGTCGATCTGGGTTTAGCCATCACGTTGATGGCAAGCGCGGGACGCGTCTGCGGCGGTTTGCCTCGTTGAACTTCAACATTCCCCATAACATCGACGACATCGTCTCGACGTCCCACAAGCTCGTCGTACACAGGGGCGCGCCTCAACGACCTCGACGTACAATAAACGACCCCCACGACCCCCGACAAACTACCGTCTCGACACAACGACGAGAGGCTCATGCCCTTCCCCTAATTCAACTACCGACTTATGAATCCAACACGATCGTCTATGAACGCTGAAGCAGCACGGGCTGCTGCTGCACAAGCCGAATTTAATGAGAAGAAATGGGTCTGGGTGCCCGATGCGAAGGAGGGTTATCTAGCTGGCTGGGTTAATCAAGAGGAAGAAGATGCTGCTGAAGTCGTCATGGCTTCTGGTGGGGAGGTACGCCCAGGCCACTCTACATTGTTGATTAAAAGAAATTAACAGTATTTTGGACGTCCTTGTAGATCAGAAAGGTTCCTTTCGACTCTTTGTTCAAGATGAACCCACCGAAATTCGATCGAGTGGAAGATATTGCAGATCTAACTTTCCTCAACGAAGCCAGTGTTGTTCACAATCTACGGCTCAGATACGGCTCTGGCGCAATCTACGTGAGTGATTTGCGTTAATCTCTGATCGCTTGTCTAATCTTTCTATAGACGTATTCAGGCCTCTTCTTAGTGGCTATAAATCCCTACCAACACCTTCCTTTGTACTCCGATGCTATCATCCAGCAGTATCGGGGTAAGCGGAGAGATGAGAACCCTCCGCACATCTTTGCAGTCGCTGAACGCGCATGGGTGAACATGGGTGACGAGCGAGAGAACCAGAGTATCCTCATCACGTACGCCCGCCCGATCTCTGACCTCATTCAACTCCTGATGGTAATAATAGAGGAGAATCCGGAGCAGGCAAGACGGAAAGTACAAAGAAAGTCATCCAGTACCTTGCTGCTATCGCCACCGACGCACACCTGCCCGCTCCAACAGCCCCGACACATTCACGGTCTAACACCGTGTCATTTAGTTCTGGCTCGAGTCTTACGAGGACACCATCGAGGAAGGGTCACCATAGTAGTGGGTCCGTTGGAAGCGCGCTCACGGCGAAGGGAAGGCTTGGGTTGCTAGAACGACAGATCCTGCAGGCCAACCCCATTCTCGAGGCCTTTGGAAACGCCCAGACGCAGCGCAACAACAACTCGAGTCGATTCGGTAAATTCGTCCGGATCATGTTCTCGCCCGATGGGAGCATTGCAGGGGCCAACATCGACTGGTATCTCTTGGAGAAGAGTAGAGTGGTTTTCAGGAGTGAGGCGGAGAGGAGTTTCCATGTATTCTACCAATTGATGGCTGGAGGCGGATCGCTCAAGAGTGAGTGTCCCATCTTTCGGTGATGATATCATCCCTTATGCTGACTGTCGTCAGATTCGTTACTCTTGGATGGTGAACTCGAGGACTATGAATACCTCAACAAGAGCAGACGCGAGGTGGATGGTGTAGACGACAAGGAAGAATGGGGGGCACTCAAGGCGGCCCTAGACGTCGTCGGCTTCTCCAACCAAGAACAGTTCGATCTTTTCCGCATCGTCGCCGCGATTCTACACATAGGAAACATCGTCATCGCTGGCTCACGTTCAGACGAGGCGTCGATGCCGGATCCTTCTCAGGCAGAACGCGTGTGTCATTTACTCGGGATTCCTATCGCAGAGTTCACGCGAGCCGTTCTTCGACCGAGGGCGCTGGCTGGCAGGGAGTGGGTATCGCAGTCAAGGACACAGCAACAAGCCACGGACGAGCTTTCGGCGCTTTGCAAGACACTCTACGAGAAGTCATTCGGTGCCCTCGTCGATCGTATCAACAAAGCCCTCGACCGACCTTCTTCCAAGGCCAACTTCATCGGTGTCCTCGATATTGCAGGTTTCGAGATCTTCGAAATTAACGGGTACGAGCAACTCCTCATCAACTATACCAATGAGAAACTTCAGCAATTCTTCAACCACCACATGTTCGTTCTGGAACAAGAAGAGTACGCGCGCGAAGGGATTAAATGGGACTATGTCAACTTCGGACTCGACTTACAGCCTACCATCGACCTGATTGAATCCAGTGGACCGATGATCGGTATCCTTAGCTGCCTCGACGAGGAATGCATCATGCCCAAAGCCACCGATCTCACCTTCACGCACAAACTCGACGCTCTTTGGGCAGGACCCATCGACGATGAAGAGGACTACCACCCCGGTCGGGACAAATATGAACCTACGCGATTCGACCATGGTTTTATCATCCAGCATTACGCTGCCAAGGTCGAATATCGCACGGACGGATGGCTCGAGAAGAACAAGGATCCCCTCAACGACAACCTCACGAAAGTCCTGGCGGCTTCTTCTGAACCCTATGTCGCCTCCCTCTTTGCCGAGTACGCAGAGGTGCCAAGTGGTCTAAGTGGAAACCACTTCCTCTCCTTGGGGAAGAAGCGGACCCTCAAGAAGGGCGCTTTTCGTACAGTCGGTCAGCGTCACAAGGAGCAGCTCGCCAGCCTCATGTCCCAACTCCGCGCGACCCAACCACACTTCATTCGTTGTATCGTCCCCAACACGGTGAAGAAACCCGGAAGAGTTGATGTCCCGCTCATCCTCGACCAACTGCGATGTAATGGTGTACTCGAAGGTATTCGTATCGCCCGTCTAGGGTACCCCAATCGTCTGCCCTTCGTCGAGTTCCGGCAACGGTACGAGATCCTCACACCCGGGATCATACCGCGAGGGTACATGGATGGCCGTGAAGCGTGCAGAAGAATGGTCAACGCACTCGAACTGGACGACGTCATCTACCGTATCGGCACCTCCAAGATCTTCTTCAAGGCCGGTGTCCTCGCTGAACTAGAAGAACGACGCGACGCTCTCCTCTATGACATCTTCTCCGGTCTGCAAGCGACTTGTCGAATGTGGGTCGCACGACGGCAAATGAAGAAGATTCTCAACCGTGCCAATGCGATAAGGACCATCCAGAGAAACGCGAGAGTGTATGGCGACCTAAGGGATTGGCCGTGGTGGCAACTGTACACTAAGGTCCGCCCTCTCCTTGCTGCCACACGCAACGACGAGGAACTACGGAAACGGGAGGTGGAGCTTCAACTGGCGAAGGAACGTGCTGAGCGGGAGAAACAGGCGAAGGAGGCATTGGAGACACTGAAGATGACTTTGGAGGCTGAGAAGCGGAGGGTAGAGGACCAACTGGAAGCCGAGCGGGCTCTCGGTCTTGACAAAGACGCCTTGCTTGAGCGTTCCAAGCGTCGCGAGGCAGAACTGGAAGAAGAGATCGGCGCTCTCCAAACTGACCTCGACCTTCTCGACTCCCAACTGGACCGAGCGCTCAAACTCCAGAAAGAGAGCGAGGAGAAACACAAGTCTCTGCAACAGGCGTTTGATCAGGCCGCGGAACATCTTGTGCGCTTGGAAATGGAACAGAAGGAGTGGGTGGTCAGGGAGAATGAGTTGTTGGAGCAGATCATGGAGGCGGAGAAGGAGATTGAAGAGTTGAGGACCGGGTCGACCGAGCTCCAGAAGGTTGGGGAAGAGTTGAAGAATCTTGCGATGCAGAGAGAGGAGGATATTGCAAGAACGAAGGAGCGTGCTGATGTCATGTTGCAGGAGATGGAAGGCAAGCTGAAATCTGAGACTCAAAGCCGGTAAGATATCCATCGACATCTCCCAGTGGTGACAGTCACTAAGAATCGACGCTAGCGAGCTGCTCAAAGACAAGTATGATGGCATGGAACGTGACGCCCGACAAGCCAAAGAACAACTCGCAGAAATGGCGCGCACCGCCAATGAGTACTCGGCCATGATCCAGAAGAAGGAAGAGCAGATCTCCAGCCTGGAGCAACAACTCGATTCTGTGACGCTCGAGAAGGAAGCTGCCTCGAAGGAGATCCTCGAACTGCAACATGACATCGACACACTGCAGGCCCAACTCGAAGCTGAACAGCAAGATCGCGCAACCGAACACGGGCTCCGCACCAAACTCGAGGCTGAGATCGACGACTTGCGGAAGGTCCTGGCCGCCAAGACAGATGAGGCCACTCGTCGCAGTGAAGCTCAGAAGAGCAAGGAGGCTGAGATTACCGACCTTCGTGGCCAACTCAATCGACTCCAGGAAGAGCTTTCTGAATCCCGCAAATCATCCCTGGAAGCTCAGAGCAAGCTGAAGCTGGAATTGGAGGTGATCAACAGGGAGCACAAGACGCTCCTGTCGAGTCACAAGTCGTTGGCAGATAGGGATCAGGCGAGTCAGGATCAGCTGAAGAAGGTGCAAGCGAACATCGGGGAGCTGGAGAAGAACAAGCGGGCGATGGAGAGTGAATTGCAGTCATTGAGGACGAAGCTGCATGACTATGAAACGCAGATGTCGGAGGCTACGCGACACAAGGAGGTGCGCTCATCTATTACTCTATTGCTGGGGCCAGTACGACAACTGACACCCTGTTGGCTAGGCTTTGGAGCGTCAGCTAGCAACCGCTCAGGCCAAATACCGTGACTTTGAAGACGTCGAACTTCAATTCCAGCGTGACAGAGACAACCTCGTTCGTCAACTCGAATCGACCAAGCAACAATTCGAATCCGAGTCCCTCAAACGTACACAACTCGAGAAATCTCTTGCAACCCAGAAGAGCGAAGTGGCCAAGTTGAAGGAACGCAATACCAAGCTCGACAAGGACTTGAACACGGCTCTCAAGACGCTCAAGAATCAGGAATGGGAAATCAAACAACTCGAGTCGAAGCAGGACAAGACAATCGTCGAACACGTTCACGTCCTCGAGGAGGCCAAACGGGTAACGGATCGTCAACTGCAAGAGGCTCAACTCGAATTGGACAAGGCGAAGGTTTACATCAAATCTCTTGAGAAGGTCAAGGTCCGGCTCGCTGGCGAAGCTGAGGACTTGCAGCAGGAGAAGGAACGCGAGCTTCGTGAACGCGAGAAACGGGCACGGATGCAAGAGGAGAAGACGACCAAAGCTCTCGCCGAACTCGAAAGGGAGCGCCAAAGCAAAGGGGACCTCGACCTCCAATCGCGTCGCATGCAGGCAGACCTCAAAGCGGCCCAGAGTCAAATCGCCGAACTCACGGAAGAGCTCAAGGCCACTCAACGCTCCAAAGAGAACCTTGAGGCTGAACTCGAGCGGATCGCAGACGAGACGGACAGCATGGACTCGTTCGCCCGCATCCAGCGTCAATACGAGAGTCGCATAGCTGAACTCGAGCAACAACTTTCAGAAAGCGAAGGCGCCCGTTCGATAGCAGACCGTATCAAAGAACACCTTGAACGACAGCACAACGAGATCAGACAGCTCATCCTCCAGAGCGGGAAAGGAGACGGAGACTTCCAAACCCGCCTTCTCAAGGAACTTCAACTCGCCGACGAGGCACTCGCCAAAGAGATGTCCGCTCGGAGGAAGGTGCCTCGCTCAAGTGGCGCCCACGAGTTACGTCCCATGTCCAGCTTCTCCACCCCGACGAAGCAACGCGTCAACCAGAACGTGCACTTTGGCTCACCCTCTCAAATCCGCGCTGAATCGAGCAACAAACAAATCAGCGCGCTTAAACAACAAGTCCAGGTTCTCGAGATTCAGATGGCTGCTTCTGAGCGCGTTCGAAGGCACCTCGAGGTTTCGCTACGAGAGATTACCCATGAACTGGAGAACAGCGATGGCTCTAAACAGTTCTTGCAGCAGTACAAGGCTCGACTGATTAAGGAGAATGCCAGGCTTGCGGATCTGCTCAAGGAGGAAGCCGATGCCAGGAAGGCTGCGGAGACTGCACACGCGGATGGAATTCAGGCTATCTGGTCCAAATTCCAGAAGACGATCTCGGAGGAGAGGGAGAGTTATGCCAGGTTGGAGGAGTCGAAGAAGGCTTTGGTATGTCGCTTTCTGTTTGGAGTAAGATTAATGGCTCATCACACACTTTTAGTTGGCTCAACAACGTGCAGCGCAGAGCGAGATCGATTCACAGAGGGCACAAATTCGGGATTACAGTTCTGCCAAGAAGCGCTTGCAAGAAGAGGTCTCGTCGCTCAAGAACCAACTGGAAACTACCAGGCGCGAGGCTACGGGTCAGTAATATTATCGACAATATCAACGTCACCCGCTTATTCTGACTGTTTGATATAGATGCCAAACGTCAGTTGCAGCAACGCATCCAAGATTCCGAGGTCAACTCGGCCGCTTTGGAGGCTGCCAAAGCCGGTGAGTTCACTCCCACCGACCGACCATGTTGGACTACAACTGAATATGTCTTTAGAGCTCAAGAACGTCATTCAAACGTTCAAAGAGAAAGAACACTCGTACGTCGAACGCCTCGAGTCTGCCGAGATCGCGCGTGCCAAGGCCGCTCGAGCCGAAGCATCTGGTTTGTGCTCTCTTTTTCTCTCCGTCTGCTGGCATGTCCTGATTGCATCTACCTCTTCAGTGCGCCGCTCACTCGCCGATCTCGAGAAACAACAAGCCGATACCGCTGCCGAGCGTCTTAAGAGTCAACAACGTCTGCAGGCTGCCGAGAAGAAGCTACACGAGATGCAGCGCAAGCTCGAAGAAGGTGGAAAGGAGACTTCAGACGAGGCGGCCCTCCGACAGCACTTGGTCGAGGAACTCGAAGATACCCGCGAACGTCACCAGAAGGATCTGGCAGATCGCGACTTTACCATCGATCAGACGAGGAAGAAATACCAAGCCGAACTCGCTCAGCTCAGCGAGGAGCTACAATCCCAACGCGACAATCTCTCCAAACTGCGCGAGGAGAACCGCAAGCTTCGCTCGGAATACGACGAGCTCCAACTTCGCTACGACGACGAAGTCTACAACAGCGGGGGCTGGAAGAAGGAGAAGGAACGAATGGAAACCAAGATTCGCGACCTCGAGAAAGTCTACGAAGCAAGTACGGGCGCTCAAGCCGAGCAACAATCGCAAATCGTGGCTCTTCATTCCCAAGTTCGCGAATTGCGCGCTGTACTCGACGATGCTGAAGCCGATCGGGCTCTCCTCCAGAAGGCCCGTCGTGCATTGCAAGCAGAGTTGGAGACTATCAAGTTGGATGGGGTTGACCCGAATAGGATGAGCTCTGACACCGAGTTCCAGAGACTACAGTTGAGGAAGCAGGATTTGGAGAGGCTATTGGAGGCACAGGAGGACAGAGCGACAAGCGCGCTCGATAGGATGAAGAAGGCGGAAGCCTATGCGAATGATTGCCAGATTGAGCTTGGTAAAATCCGAGTGGAGAATTCGGAGTTGGAGAGACTCAACGTGCGTGGCTCTTCTATCTCGTTGTTTGGCTGAATGCTGATGAAATACCACACAGGCGAGCCTTGAGAAGCAGATCAAGGAGCTCAATGTTCGGATTGTGGATCTGGAGACTCGATCGTATGCCAGCCCTTCGCGATTGTCACTTGGGGGAACACCGCGCAAAGTTGATTCGAGGATTGACGACCTGGCCAGTCAGCTCTCGAGCAGCAGTGGAAGCAGTGGCCGGCTTACAGATAAGCAGCGCATCAAGATGGAGGAGGAGAAGCGGCTCCATGAAGCTCAGATCCATAATCTACGGAAGCAGATGGACTCCATGGTGCGTCATCCGAACTGCCAGCCTACACCCTTCCAACTCACTTCCTGTTCGACAGCAAACACAAGAGCATGAACTTCAAGCTGCCAAACGTCGGGCAGAGCGAGAGGCAGCAGATTACAAACAGAGGGCGCTAAAGTAGGTTGCGTCACTTGCCCCTATTTCGGCATCTCAACTGAGTTCGCTTCCGTTACAGCCTCGAAAGAGAATTAGAGAGCATGAAGACACGATTAGTCTCAGGATCACCGCGCAAATGAACTCTCGGCGGTTCTCTTCCCTTAACGATTTTTATGACCTAAACTAACGCGCAAAGTCTACTGTATTGATACCATTTTCACGCTGTCTCTTGTCTTAGATTGATGCTCGGACACACTTTTGTTCTCTGGTCACCGTCTTGTATTTTGGCAACACACACCGCATTTTTTTGTATCATTGGTTACACGAATTCTATCTACTTGATTGATATACTGCACGCTGAACCCTGGTTCGTTATACTCCGCAAAGAATAATTCAAAAAGAAGGGTGTAACTGGGGTTCTGATGAGTAACATGTTTATAATCAATCCTAGCGCGTTTACATTCTTCATCCCATACCACCACCGCCGATACCCGTAACCATCGTTTTTCAACAATGTCCTGGAAATTGGGCGTCAAAAGTGCGTTTCTTGTCGGTGTCGAGTGCGTTGTGCTCACCGTTGTTGACGTCGTCGAGCAGAGTCGAAAGACACCAAGGAGAACGGGGTTATCTCCAGATCTGTTACACCGATTCCTTCTCGCCCAACAACACCACGAATGTCCACCGATGGCGACCAATTTCGCTCTGGAATGTTGACAATCCGCATCTTTTCAGGTGAGCACCGTAGCGGACTGCTGTGTGTGCTTCAGCGCCAATTCTGCTTGCAGGACGTGGATTGTCTCTGGCGCCCGGCGTGCCCCTTCCAGACGTCATTCAACAGGCTCTCAAATCCGCCCCGCCACCGAGAAAGTCGACCAGCAACCGTGATTCGATACAACGCAAGCGTTATTGGTGGTTGCCATATGTTGTCCTCGAGTTCGACAAGAACGAGATTCTAATTGATGCGTTGGGTGGTGACCTGTCCAATCCCGTGTGGAATTATCGTGCAGATTTGTGAGTATTCAGACCACTTTTATGCCTCACAATTGACTCATACACCGTCCAGCGATGTATCCCGAACATCCAATATTTCTGTCTCTTCGTATCTTCGTACCACCGCCGCTCAGGGGCCAGACGACATGGGGAATGATCTCCTCATTGCCCGCGTTGATCTAACGCCGAGCCTTGACAGCCAGGTATTACATCGTCAACCACGACCACCAACTTCACGCACTAAACATTACCCCTCTAGCATGCCTCAGATCAATGGTACTCGGCAACCGCTGGCTCGGGTTCCTTCCACCTTAAGATCGATTTCAAGCCTAGTCGCAACGAGTCGCTCACCATCGACCATTTCGATCTCTTGAAGGTTATCGGCAAGGGAAGCTTTGGAAAGGTCATGCAAGTGCGAAAGAAGGACACCCAACGGATATACGCCCTCAAGACGATTCGAAAAGCCCACATCGCCCAGCGGCCAGGCGAGATCACCCATATTCTCGCCGAGCGAACTGTCCTCGCTCTCGTCAACAACCCATTCATTGTCCCCCTCAAATTCTCATTCCAGAATCCCGACAAGCTTTACTTGGTCATGTCATTCGGTATAGCCCAATACTTCCATCCGCGGATTGATGTTCTGACGAAGGTTTCTAGTTAACGGGGGAGAGCTGTTCTACCATCTTCAGCGGGAGGGTAAATTTGACCAGGATCGAAGTCGGTTCTACGCTGCCGAGCTCCTATGTGCTCTGGAGCACTTGCATGGCTTCAATGTCGTCTACCGGTAAGTGCTTCCTGTCCTCTCAGATTGCTTGATCTCACCCGACGCAGGGATCTGAAACCCGAGAACATCCTGTTGGATTACACCGGCCATATCGCTCTATGTGACTTCGGTCTCTGCAAACTCAACATGTCCGAAACAGAGAAAACAAACAGTATGTCTATCAACGATCTACCAGTACTCACACTCATCCACGCATAGCCTTCTGTGGGACCCCTGAGTACATCGCTCCTGAACTGCTGGAAAGCCACGGGTATACGAAAACAGTCGATTGGTGGACACTCGGTGTGTTGCTCTACGAGATGATGGTGAGAATTTTCCCGCTCTTCCTCCCTTATCTGCAAGCCCGCTGACCAACATCAGACCGGCCTCCCACCATTCTACGATGAGAACGTCAACACTATGTACCAACGAATCCTCTCCGATCCCCTTCAATTCCCTCCTGATATTTCACCGGAAGCGCGAAGCGTGATGACTGGGCTGTTGCAGAGAAATCCTGCTCACCGATTGGGTGCCAATGGAGGTGAAGAGATCAAGCGACATCCCTTCTTTGCCAAATATATCGACTGGAATCTTTTGATGGCCAAGAAGATCCAGCCACCGTTCAAGCCAAGCGTTGTGAGTTTCCTCTGTCAGCTTTATCATGTTGAATATTCCTGATCCACGTTTGCAGGAATCTGTGCTCGATGTGGCCAACTTTGATCCTGATTTCACTAACGAAGAGGCACAAGACTCGGTCGTCACTGACTCAGCACTATCGGAAACAGTCCAGGATCAATTCAGAGGCTTCACTTACAACCCAGCCAACGAGCATCTCAGCGAGAGCGTTAGCTACCCTGTTCTGTAACAGACGCAACCCCTTTCACCTTCATCTTGGTCGCATCACCTCCGTCCCTCCTCTTCGTTTTCCCGCACTATCTATGTATTTATGATCTCATTCGTTTTGTCTTAGTTTCTTGCTGTAGTTTTTCATTGGCCCTTCTGTCTGCTGCTTTTCGTGCGGTGTTTCTTGTTTATTTATGCCACAAGCGCCTTTCTTTATCAAAGGGTCGTACATATATGGTTCTGAGAACATTATGGGCATTTGATGAGCGGATTCTGCATCTAGCCAAATGTTGTACATGTTTACAAAATTATCATATGAATTGGCACCTTTTCGTTCCACTCCATCTCGACTACCTCGTCGCAGGTGGTTAGGGACATATCTAAGGCACGGGGGAATGGGGTAGCAGGCGGGCTATCTTTCCGACCCACCAAATGGCCTCACCATAAGTCGCCTCAGACAGCTCTGTATCGGCCGGGTAGAACACAGGATCCTCTGGGCGTGTTATGGTCCATCTGATTTGTACTTATCCCTGTTCCCTTGAACACTTGGAACGAGCCAAGGAGATGTCCCCAGATCGCGAGCCGTGTGAAGTCGAGCGATCCCATCGCACACAAATACAAACACAGACTTTAAGCGCCAGAGGGCAAATTAACTAGGCGGTTGGACACAAAGCCCCGAAATTTAGGTTCGACTTCATCTTTGGTAGATTTGACATCCATCCTTTCCGAGAAACACAGACGACGACCCCAAATCGCATCCGGGCGTCCGGTGTGGGGTCTTGGCGCGTCGGTTCCCACCTCGGGCCCAGGAGCAGCACTACTCTGGGTCCAAAGGGCCATGGGGTACATATATCACCTACCCACTCTACTTCCTGTTACACACTGAGATTGCAGGCATAGCTATCCCGTACCTTACCTGGGCCTTTAGTAATTCGTATTTGCCCTCTTACGGGGAACTCTCCGGGCGCACTGCCGCGGTTCTCATCCACGGCGCCCGAGTTGACAATGTTATCTCCAGAATGGTTTCGAGGTTTGAATACAGGAAGCACGCGCAGCGTGAGCTATGATACCATCATCTACCGCGAAGTCAAGCTCGGCTTCCCAATAGAAATGGTGTGTCATGCCGCAGCTTGCGATAGCCTGCGGCAGGAGGGTCTCACATGTGTTAACAAGATGTTACGACATGGACTTTATCAGATAAACCTTCATTTCCCCAGCGCTCGCAATCCCCTACCCACCTACCTCTCTTCGTCCCCGCCTCTGCAGATTCCCTCCCTAAGACAACATTCTATTGTAATGGGCCAATTCTTTGACGATATCCCACCCTGGCTCATCCCCTGGATGGAAGCCCAACACATCTTCTGGGTAGCGACGGCACCTCTCTCATCCACGGGACACGTCAACGTCTCACCCAAAGGGTGCTTTGGAAAGACACTTAACATCATCGTGGATGACGAAGAAGAGTCGTTTGGGGACCCTGGCATGACAGCTTTACCCGCTGGAGACATTTCAGAGGACAAAGCGAGTGGAAAAGGGAAACATTCCAAGGCGGTGTGGTACGAAGACCTTACTGGAAGTGGTAAGCGACACTATCTTCATGCCTGTCTCACTGCGCTGTCGGGCGTTCTCTGAACCGCGTCCAACCAAGGTGTAGAAACGATTGCGCATCTCCGTGAGAATAAGCGAATCACTCTCATGCTCTGTGCATTCGAGGGTCCCCCGAGAGTTGTTAGATTATTTGGGACCGGTAAGTCCTACTGGAGTCCCGCTGGAGAGTACCATGATCATACGACTGACTGCAATATACAGGTAAAGTCAACGAATTTGGATCACCAGAGTACAATACCCTTCTTCCGCCATCTCGCCGGCAACCAGGTTCTCGCGCAGTAATCTGGGTAGATGTGCATAAAGTCGGAACGGTGCGCTACACCATCTTTCCCCGGATTTAGTTATCGCTGAAGCCAGCCTAACGTGCATGTAGAGCTGCGGTTACAGTATCCCCTTCTTCGACTACAAAGCACCCCGAGAAAAGCTTCGCAACGGAGCGATGAAGCTCGAGAAAATGGACCACGACGCTGCCTGCGCGCCCTCCTCCTCCGAAGACTCCGCAGCAGCTCCCAAAGCCGCCGCTCCAGGACCGGGAGGGCTAACCGGCATGAAGTCCTTCTGGAGGTTACTCAATTCGAAGAGTATCGACGGTCTTCCAGGTCTTCTGGACGCGTTCAACTCCCCGGTTATCCTCCCCGATTGGAACTTGGACCAGATTAAAGCGGGTGGAACACTACCCAATGGAGCTGAGGATGACGAAGGTACTGGAATTGGAGACAATGCACCGAGCAGACGACATGGTCCTGACAAGTACAACGTGGGTAGAGGCCAATTGATTTCTATCGGAAATCTAACGGTCGGATTCGGGGTGGGGATGGCAGTTGGAGTGGCGCTCTGTACGGGAGGGTGGTTAACCATGGCAGGCTTAGCTCGCGTATAGATATTTTTAGTCCCCCGTCACTATGTTTCATCCCCACTCGTATCTTTTACCATGTTGGCCAGTCGTGACCCAATTTTGTGTACCGCATCCCAATTCGGCAAACCACCTACCCAATCCGAACGTCCATGACCAATGTATGAACCAAGGTCATCCAGCACGAGGCAATGAGTCATTGCTCAATAAAAAGCAGGTACATGGACTAGTTCATACCTTCATATATCATACCCTCCGCCGTGTATGTTGTAAATGCATCTCGTCGCTTGACTCTGCTCGTACACGTAATCACCAGCGACACCCTGCGCAGTCCTTCCCGATGTTGTGGGGCGCACTGCGCCGTTTGGCTCGTGCCCCATCGAAACCAAGAGCGTTTCCTACATCCGGTTTCGGTATCATTCCCAACTCCACCGCCATCGAAGAGGAGACATGGGGGTGGTACAAGCCATAAAATTTCTATCCTGCTCGCATTGGCGAGACACTCAAATCACAATACCAGATCGTCGGAAAGCTTGGGTACGGCACTTGGGGCACGGCATGGTTGCGTCGCGACTTGGTGTAGGTTGAATTCCACATCAGTCTCATAGGTACTCAACATCATGATTCAACGCTATATCACAGGAATCACCAGCACGTCACGGTAAAGATAGGGACTCCTCGTGCTTTGGAGAACGAACTCCGTGTCTTGAAACACCTCAAAAGCCTAAACTCCAAGCATTTCGGCGCCTCCGCTACCCGTCCCCTTATCGATGAATTCGCCATCGAAGGGGCGGATGGGGTCTTTCGCTGTGCTGTGCACCCTCCATTAGCCGCACCCATCTCTACATTCAGGAAAGCCCTTCTCAGAACGGGCATGGGCGGCCTACCGGTCCCCCTGGTCAAAGCTCTCGTGACTTATCTCCTGGAAGCAGTCGACTTCCTCCACTCGGAGGCAAAAGTTGTCCACACGGGTGTGTTCCTCCATCATGACATCCCGTCAATTCGATATTGGTGCTGACACTCCCACCATTCGCAGACATACAGGAAAGCAACATCCTCCTAGGCCTGAACCCAGAAACAGCCACGGCAGACCTCCAAAAATTCGAGGATGAAGAAATCCAAAACCCGTCCCCTCGTAAGATCAATGAAGAACGCGTCACTCACGTCTCGAGACAGCTCGTTCCCCCTCTCTACCGCTACGGCCCGCCCACCCTATGCGATTTCGGCGAGGCAAGGTTCGGGGAATACGACAACATGTTCGACATTCAGCCATACCAGTACAGAGCCCCCGAGGTCATCTTTCAGATGGGCTGGGATGAGAAAGTTGACATTTGGAGTATCGGGGTGATGGTTCGTTTCTTACACCACACTGTATATGTTTTCGTATTTTGCTCAAAGGTCGAAACGTAGCTCTGGGATTTGATCGAGAACAAAAACCTCTTCAAGACTACAGGTGGTCCAGATAACAAGGATGGCAACAACTACCACGTGGCGCACATGATTGCGCTGCTCGGACCTCCGCCCAAAGACTTCCTGGAGCGAACCAAGGAGACTCGTTTGTGGAATTGGTTTGACAAAGACACGGGTTAGTGGCATTTCCGCTGCTTACTACTACCTGAAGCATCTTGGTCGAGTCCTGACATCGTCCTATCTATCTTCTTCTCAGGCGCTTGGAAAGATGAAGCAGAGATTCCAGCCCAAACCCTTGAAAATACCATCACACGCATGGAAGGCGAAGAGAAGGCACTCTTCATCAACTTTGCGCGACGAATACTAAAGTGGAAGCCAGAAGAACGTTGTAGTGCAAAGGAGCTGAGCGAGGACCCGTGGATTCGCTCAAGATTCCCTTGATACTGGTGGTCTCATCCGTGTCTGGAGACGCTGAGGGGATTTTCACGAAAAAACCTCGTGGAAAGCGAGAAGGGTACTAAAGACGCAGAGGGAACAGGCGGACCGCACTCAAAAGCTGTGTGGTACGAGGACCTCACAGGGAACGGTGCGTTCCAGTTCCCTGTTCTCGTCATTTGTTATCGCTGTTAGACTAGCCAGCCCCGGTGTCGAACCCACCTACCTCCCACCTCCGCAAGAACGATGAAGTCACACACGTTCTCCGCTTTCGAAGGACCTCCAAGGATCCCAGTAGACTCTCCCTCCTCTCAATTTTATCTTTATCTCCTACTCAACTCACAGCTCAATATATACAATCCCTACTAAACTCACCTGTACCATACACACACTGTAACTAGCCCCACTCAAATCATCCCGGTCTTCTGATCACCGAAATTCCGATTATCCCAATTCGGCAAACCACCTACCCAATCCGAACATCCATACTCCAGGGACTGGCGTCACTATGGGATTGAATAATAATATTGAATCGCTCGGCGTCTCCAGCATTCGCGACAACATCAGTATGACAATTAGGTATGAACGGCGCAAAAAATCAAAATAAACTACTGCGGATCAGCCCAGAGATACTGTAAGGGTGACCGTCGCCTAATCCCACTACCACTATCCAGAGAATCCCAACAACACCGCGTTGAAAGCCCCCTACCCTGACTCTCCCCACAAGTGTTATTCAACTTTCTTCTCAACAGAACCATCAACATTCATCTTCTCCACTCCTGCTTTCCCTTCCCTTTCCGCATCCTTGTCCTTCATCCCAGTCACGTCCCCCTCCTTCTTCTCCTTCGTCCCAGTCACATCCCCCTCCACCTTCTTATCCTGCACCTTCGCTTTCTTGGGTTTAATAACCACACCCGCCAACTTTGTCTTTCCAAGCTTCACCCCTGCTCCTCCTCCCGTAGCTCCGGTACCCATACCCGCCTTTCCAGACGCCCCTCCCAACCCACCCGGCAACTTCCCTGCCACCCCAACCGCACCACTACCACCACCGGTAGACGAAGGCCTCGAAAGCGGCAACGAAGGCAACACCGTCTTCTGTCTGCCACCTTGCCCGGGGGTTGTCCCTGCTCTGATTCCCATTCCCATTCCAGTCCTCGGTGAAGGCCCGTTCCCCATCCCAATCCCACTCTGCAAACTCCCGCCCCTCGGAGTCGCGTTCCTCTGGTTCGTACCTGACATTCCTCCACCAGAGGAACCAGAACCAGAATTACTCCGACTGGTACTACTACTACTAGTAGCATGCAAGGCATCCAAGATATGACTCGGGAGCGGTGGAGGGGGTTTAGCCGGGAGCGAGGGGTGATGCGGTAAACTGCTCTTCGTCGTCATAGCTGTAGCTGTAGTCGTTGTCGCCGTTGTCGCCGTATTCAAAGAATTCGAGGACGTAGAGGCTGGATGGGAAGCTTCCAGTTGCCGCAGTTTAGCTTCCATAAGTGCGATCTTGTCTGCTGTTTTTCTGTATGTGATTGGGATGAGAGGTCAGTGAGGGGTATCAAGGAAAGGAAAGGGATAAGTAAAGATGGAAGGGGTATGAGTGAAATGGGAGGGATACGAAGAGACGTTAGGAATAAGAAGATCACAAAGATTCAAAGATGAAAAGGAACACTCACGGCTCATGCCTTCCACCCCCAAGCCCAGTCTTGATAATACTCAACGTAGTAGGCCGTCCAGTTTCCATCACCGGTCTTCTAAACTTCGAACCTACATATCCACTTCTCGTGAGTACACATACCTCTCGAAACAACAACGCAAAAAACACGCACTAATACCCCCACCACTCCCACCAGGATAACTCTCCAAAGGCGCCTGATGCGCAAACGTGACTACAAGTTTGCGTCCTCTGAGTAACTTGCCGTGTGCGATCGAGAGTGCCTTCGCTGCTTCCTAAGTAAACCAATCAAAGAAAGTGGGGTCATCGTTGGTCAGCCTGGGGACGTCCATATTTCGTTGGCCAGAACGTAATATAATAGAACTGTGGGGAAGGGAGGAAGGGAGGGAAGGAGTATGAATGAAGTGAAGTGAAGTCAGGTCAAGTCAAGTCTGGCTGGCTGTGTGTATGGGTAGGCCGGTAGACGCAGGGAGCGGTGGTGGTGTGCGGTCGCGTCGTTCCGATCGGTGCGTGTAAAGAGAACGGGTGTAAGCCAGACTTGTTCTAATAGGAATGCGGAAGAGGAAGAGGATTCGAAGGGCAGAAACGAAACGAAACGAAAGGGCGTAAAGAGAAAGCTAGAGAAACAGGATCCTCACCTCAGGAACACCATACTCCACAAACGCATACCCCCTCGGCTTCCCTTTCAACGGCCCACTCTTATGAAACAAGAAATCCAACTTGGTGACTTTGCCGAACTTGGAGAACACATGTAGCAGTGCATACCTAATCCACCCAGCACCGTTAGCCAACCATTCCAACAAGGCGACCATTGAGATAAAGAGAAGGACGCACTCATCAACAGAAGGATGCAAATTCCCAATATACAACCGCTCCTTCAACACACTCTTCTCTCTCTCCTTCTCTCGTTCTCTCGCCCGATCCCTCTCTCGTTCCCGCACGTCCCATTCCCGCTCCTGCCTCTCCAAACTCCCCGGCTCGCCAAATTCATAAGTCGGATACGAGAGATGGCTGGGTCCGTCGTCTACAGGCACGTTGGCGGTAGTAGCGTCGGTGGTCGAAGAGGTGGAAGGATTGGGATCGTCGACGAGTTCAAGGTCCATATTCACGTCCTCAGTCCGTAGTTCGTCTGGTGTCATCGTGGTTCGAGGTTCGAGGCGAGCAAGTGCTTATGCTAGGTTGTGGTCGTTGTAAATGAAAGAGAGGCGAACGGGATCCTCAGAATGACTGGAAGGCGCACAGATAGGCACACCAAGTAGTAGAGGTACGAGCATCAATGGGGTAGTGGTAACCTGGATCGTTGCCATTCGAATAAGCTCGATCCGCCGGGGGTTCGATTCCCCCTTGATGCATTCTTTTTTCAATTCCTCATTCACAGCTTGCTTCATCTGCTACTTCTGCATTTTGTTTCCAACACTTGTTCAGATTAAGTATCAAAAGATAATTTCCATGAGCGATGGTTGGAGGTGAGCGCTGAGGAGTGATGTCAAGTCGGGGATCGGTGTCAATGGAAATGTTGCCAAGAGGCACCAAACACGTTTTGACTGGATCACTTTGTCCTTCGACCCAACGCTCACTGGCAAGCAAGTCACAACCGCCGTCGCATCGCACTCCCTTTGTTGCGCCTTTCCACTCTTTTTCTCCTTCATTCATTTTCTTCCCCTTCATTTCAATTCAATTCTTCAGCGCCTTTAATTCATTCAACGTCTATTCTTTCTTCCACCCCTGCTCGTACCTGAAGAAGGATAGGTTCCGAGGTGCAATAAGTCGAGCGAGCCTTGACACATTGACGCCTAATATCCATATCTTTTCGCGACAACACTTGAATTCTTCCGGGCTTTTTTGGTTGGTTTTAATAGCAGATTTCAGGAAAGGAGATGGTGGCAGAGTTTTCAGACTTGGGGAAGAAGAAAGTGGCTAGCCACAGTGCGTCTGTTCTTACCTCTTTATTCACTTCGAACTCACGGATAGTCCCCGTTGTGCAGTATTCCTATTCCTATTCAACATCATCGTCATCGTCTTCGCCACCCGAGTTAACAAGTTCCATGACTTTTTCTGTGCGTCCTGCCCCAACGAATCCATTATCGAAGCTAACTGGATCGTTTGCCCGACATTGAACACAACTATGGCCCGTACCGACCCGCAGACGTAGCAGACCTGTTCCCACTCGTAATCTCAATCATCACACTAGTCGTCTTGTTCATCATGTAAGGACTCACTCGCCCTTGTCACTATATCAGCCATTAACCACCTCCCCAACACCAATTCCAACTCTCAACGCCTCCCACATCACCTACTATCCGCAACAACGACCATATCCATCTAAACGCCGACTTCACGACTACCCGTCCCCCAATGCACCCGTTCACAGGCTCGCCCTCGACTTTGTAACCTTGCGCTCACCCATCGGGGTCCCACTCATCGAAGGCGGCATCCTCGGCATCCTCACTATCATCTGGCTAGGTGAGAATATATCGTCCTCTGCCCGTTCTCAACGCCCCGCTGACCGGTTGTCTGTCCACCGCCCAGCCTTCAACGCTTTCTCGACCTCGCGATGGCAGCACATCCCTACGCAGTGCAACGAGATCTCACTTGGTGCGTTCACATCTCATCCCTGTCGTGCCTCCGCTAATCAGGCTTTTGCCCCTGCCCTCGTATACTTCCCTGCACCATTTGTCTTGTCTGCCAACCCGCATTCCGGTTATCCTCTGTCCCCACTCGCATTCCGGTTAATCCTCTCTCTGTCTACTGGCACTCCGATTACCGCCTGCCAACCCGCCTCCACATGAATGCCATTCACCTTCCGCATCAAACCTTCCTGGAACAGCTTACCCCTCGTATAGAGCATGGTGCAAGGACGTTCAAACTCTCAAAGCATTCACCTGGGTCGTATTCGTCATGTGTACGTCCCTTCATCCTGCCCCTTCGCTTCCCTCGCTTCCGCCCACTGCAATCTTTACCACCGAAATACAACCCCAACTTCAATCCTCTTCCCAAAATAATTCTTTTCGTAAATCACCAAACGCTAACACAACCCCACCTCACCACACAGGCCTCGCAATAACGCTCTGGACCCTAATCTACTCCCTCCTCCAATACAAGAACGGGCACAAACACATCCTCCGGACCCCGCTCTCGCAGTACGAACCTGGTGCCGCTGGGTCGGGCAAGACTGCGGATTGGTATGCGAATGGAAAGTGAGTGCCTCTTGCTTTTCCTCGTCTCTCTCCGTCTCCCTCTCTCACTTCCCTGTGTCTCTCCCCTCTCCCCTCCTCCACTCCCTCCCTCCTAAAACACACCCACAATCCCCACTTCCGCTCGGGACTGCATAAAACTAACCCTCCCCTCCCACAGCTACGAATCCAACCCCCGCGCAGCAAAGACAACCTCCGGTTTCACAGTCCTCCAAACCGAAGCCGAGAAACGCGACAACCCGTTCGAGAGGCCTCCGCCTTCTATAATCCCGAGTGGGGATAACACTGGCGCGGTGCCGATGCAGAGGTTAGGTGGAGGTGGAGGTGCGGGTGCGGGTGCGCCGATGTGGTGATAAGTACTTGAGTGGTGTTGTGGGAGTGTGTTGATGTGGTAGAGGAGGACGTAGGAAGAGGTGACGGGGTAGATGGGGTATTGGGTGACGAGATGGAATTTCTATGTACCGTGATTGAGTCATTGTACACGCCTTTCTATTTCTTTCGCTTTCTTGTTGCTTTTTAGTTAGTTCTTTTTGTATACCATTTTTATACCCCTTTCCTCGCAAGAGTCGCGCCTAAATCAAGAGGGAAGCAGAAGCAGAAGGGGTTGGTAGACGGGATAATGACAATGCACCCAAGCATGTTTGGCACAAGCCCTCTGAATCAACCATTCCGGGCGCCTAATGCCGTCACAGTTCTTCGTCTGGCAGGGTCACCACTTCAAAAGTTCAAAAATACCCCTGACGAAGAACGAAAAACATCAATCCAATTCGAACTTCGATTTCATGAAAAGTAAGTAATAACTCGAAAGCATTTAACAACTTCAACACCCCACCACCACCACCACCACCACCACCACTCAATAAAAAAAACCGATAAAGATGAAAGAACAACTGGGTACTAGTACTAGTATTACTACTGCTGGCAATCTAGAGAAACGACTCTCGGTTTCTCTATTCTCGAAGGAGGCAGACAGACAGACAGGCAGATACCGAAGAAGGATAGCTAGCCAAGAGAGAGAGGGGAGGGGTATAGATAGTATGTAGTAAGTAGTATCTGGCACTGGCAGCTGCGCGAAGGAACGAAATTCGACCAGGGGATCTCGAATAAAAAACAAAAGAAACTAAGAACAGACTAAGTAGAACAGAAACTCCAAAAGGGAGCAATTCGAATCGAGATTGAGGGGTGGATTTGTTGGATAGTATAGGAAAGAGAAGTCATGAAACGCGTCGTAAATCGGTCGTAAAAAACTCTTAGGCTAGTATGTGTCGAGGGGCGTGTATATGTATATGTATCCAGCCGTCTTGCTAGCAGGTTAGGTCGGTTTAGCAGGCACCGCTGTTGGTCCAGACTTCGGCTAATAGAAAAGGGAGGAGCGACGTTAGTATACATACTAGGTAAGGAGAGATAGGGACTGGTTAATCAACTCACCTGTACCAGGAGTCTCGCCTTGTGTCCACCAGCGCGCAGTCCAAAGTCGACCAGCTGTAGTACAGAACCCAATCAGCACACCATCCCTCTTCCATCCAAGACCGAGAACTATCACTTACAGTAAGTAGCCCTATTTCCACCAGTGTAGATAGTCTAAAAAGGGGAGCGGCAACCGAACCGTCAGGAATCAGAAGACTTGAACGGGGCGATACTAGTACGTACCGTAGCACTCCAAGCAGAGACACCAGCGCACGGTCCACCAGTAGGCGCCGGGGTACCACCAGTCGGGGTAGGAGCAGGGGCAGTAGTGGTACTCCCACCACCAGACATGTTGTTCCGGATGTTATCCCACTTGCTATTCGGGAACCTGCGAGAGGGAGATAGAAAGTCAGATCCACGCTTAAACCCCCAAAACGAACCAACCAATTCCTTACTTGATGTGGTTAGGCGTACTATCCAGAGCACCCAATCGGCTCGCAGCAGCAGCAACGAGCGACTCAGAGCCAACCTTGTCAGTGGAAAGCTAGAGATTCGGGTCGCAGTTAGCAAGGGAATAGATCCTGTAGTAGATGAAGAAGCGCATTGCGTACCTCCCAGAACATAGTCCCACCAAGCCCGTTCTTCTCAACATAGATCGCCTTCATGCGGACAATGTTAGGCGTATCGTACGAAACCAGCTCGCGCTTCACGGGGTCGTACGAGTAGCTCGTCATATCGGTCTTGTTCTCGTAGACTTGCCCTCCGGCGACTTACGTTCCCAGGCGAGTCAACAATGAATTATTGGAAAGGCAGGGAGGGGAGTCACTCACGAGGAAGAGCCTTGTAGGAGTAGATGCCAGGTTCGATCGTGCCAGGTCCGATCTACCAACGACGCGAGTCACGGTCAGCCGAGAAGTCTTCACCAAAAGGATAAATGACTTACACCAGAGTAAGGTGCACCAAGGCCGTCGGTATTCTGGAAGGCACGTCCATACAGGGGCATACCTAAGGGCAACGTCATCAGCCACCCGGTTCAGATAGCTTTAGCCTTTAGGCGTTCCACGCCCGCCAAAACCGAAGCAAGGCACGGCGACAACCAAAAAAAGCGTAACGCACCAACATTGATCTTCGACTTGGTAGCTCCCTGGGAGATGTACCACTTCAAAGCCGCATCGGTACTATACCCCGTCCTCGCTCCACCATAAAAATTGGCCTGGTTGTCCGCCCAAGTCAACCACGAACCGGCATAATCGTACGCCTAACCAAAGCAAAAAGTAGGGTAAGTAAAATAGGTTAATTCAAAAACTCTAATAAGCCTACTATCGCCCGGGAGGGGCAAAAGAGGCCTACCAAGTAGTAGTACTAGTAAAGACTGGAAGCGCACGCACCATAAGGTTCCAGTAGTCCATGGCCCTATCCATCTGCGCAACCTTGAGGTTGGAGTACCCAGCGGGACCAGCTCCCACAGCCGCGGTGATCAGATACGGGTTGCTCTCGCCCTTGCGCGAGGCGAGCTGAGTCAGGGCCGTGCGGAGGGAGGTGACCAAGTCCGCGAGGCCTTGCCCCTGTTCAGGAGTCGAGGGGTACTCATAATCGATATCACTACCCCCAAAAATGTCAGTACATATTTATATCCAAGTAGAAAAGAGGCCGGCTTACATCCCATCAAACCCATAGTCTTCGATCAGTTGAACAGCGTCACTGATAAACTTTGCACGCGCCGTAGGGTTGGTGACGAAATTGAAGTGACCTATACATAAACACACAACTTGTCAACAACCGGGCCATAAATTGGCTCAGCGGTGTCACACGTACCAGCCTGCGAGTACGTCCACCCGCCAATAGACAAAAGGACCTTGAGGTCGCGCTTCTTCATCTTGAGGAGATAAAGCTGCTTCAGGCAGCCGTAGAGGTTGTTGCCCGTCTCGGTCCATGTATCGCCAGGGAACCGTTTCTAGAATCGGCGTAGGGAAAGGGAAGAGTCAAGGTCAGTAAAACCCAAGTAAGCAAGAGAATCCTGTAATCATACCTGTTCGTCGGAGTAGGGGTCAGTCAGCTTGATGGCACCAGTGCTTGCATCCGTATCAGCGAACGAGTAGAGGATATCTGCAAAATGAGCATAAGCGAGAATGAACGGGGTTATGTACGCATCATGTCAGAACAGGTACGCACGGGTGATATAGTCAGGAACAATATCCGTCGGTTCTACATAGATGCACACCCATTAGTACATAAGAGCCTTCAATCCAATCCACGATGAATGGTACCAGTACTCACGGAAATTGGCTCCATAGATACCCCAATTCGTAAAGTAGGCGAAGTTGGCTTTGCCGGTCGCCCGTCGAGACAGGGTGTGCACTTTGGGCTGGCGCTCCATCGCAAAGGTGTTCGGCCTGTTCTTGTACTGCGGCGGACGACGCATGATCTGGGTGGCATCCGAGATTACGACGAGCCCGGTGAGGACGACGAGCGCCATGGAGACATAGCGCCAAAGCGCTGAAGGGGGTGACATTGGCGACGACGACGACGGATAAGAAGCGAAGAAGAAGAGACGTAGGCACAGAGGTAGTAAGAGACAACCTCTAGCAGGGGGATGGGCTAGTGAAGCAACCCGTCCCAACTCTCAAGCCTATTTGTATCGATCGAATGGGAAAGACACGTTAGCCCATGTGTAAAAAGTCAAGAAAAGGAAAACTGGATGCTTCCGCTTTCAGGGCCAATCCCATCCATAATAAGAAAGCAAAGAGAGAAGAGAGAAAAAAAATGCACATGGCAAAAAAGATTAGCATTCGAAGGGGTCGGGTCGCATGCCTGAGGAAGCTAAATTGGTTGGGAAACGACAGAGACCAAAAACGAGAGAGGGAGACAGATCGATAGAATCAGACGGACGACCATGGCCATGTGTCGGATAACCGAAATTTGCGGCAGTCAGTGGGAGTCGCGAAGTGATTTGCATGGAGATAAGTTGAGGCTTCTTGTTAGCTTCAAGACACAGTTTTTTTTTCCAAGCGAATCCCGGTCAAGTGGCGGGTAGCTAGAGAGATGTTGCCTCGAAAGAAGTGGGCCCTGATCTTGTACTCGTGCCGAAACGGAGATAAACTCCGAGTGGATTTCCCAACAAGATCGAGGTGTGCTGTGCAGGCCCCTGGGCGGGCACAGGACTGCAGGGTGGGTTCATTGCGCGACCAAGTGTTGTCATCTCAAACAGGGTTGACTAGAACCTATTATGGAGACGGTGGTGGTCTCCATATCCACCCTGTCTAAGCGAGTTCAAGGTCAGACGTATAGCACAAGAGCAGGATGACAAGTAGAGCCCTTCCAGTAGGCGGTAGGGACGAAGCCATGTCCACGATGCAGAACGAGAACCCCTCATTCGGCTTTGGCGATCGGCCCACCCACCGCCTGCCGAATCGGAAACGTGGCACTCTGCCAAATCCGGACTCGGCTCCCACGGTAACCATCGCTGACCCCCGAACTTCGTTTTCGGTCTTTCGCCTTTTGCTTCCAACTTTTTCGTTACTCCAGATTCATTCTCAGGGACATGTGGGCTCACTCAATTCAACGCGAAACCTAAATTCTATCTTCAACGCGTCTTCTGCCTCGCTCCACACCGCGAATTGCCATTTGTCGTTCTTTCCAAGACAACCGAGAGGACTCACGACCGTACCGCACAATCAAGAAGCCTCTTTGGGACGAGATAGCAGCGTGTATCTAGAAGACACCTGACAGCCCGCGAACTCTTGGAACATAATACTATCTAACCATCCGAGAAGCCACTCGGACCTTTCTCAATTCCAGATCGCGCAGTTTCTAGCTTACTTCCACGTCCCTCTACGCCGAAACATGTGGGCCTCCGACGAAGAACGTCGATGTCTGCCTCAAACATACAACGGCTATCATCCGTGACATAATCACATCGATAGAGGCCTGCTACAACGACTTTTCTTCCTCGTGATACTCTTATCTATAGGTCAGTTTGTTCCTTACTAGACCTGACTAGTCGAATCAGGCCTTTGTTATCAGAAGTCTATAGACCGTAAGCTGCTTCAGATCTTACTCTAATACTTCAGAATAACTGTCACTTGCTGCCACAGCTTCTTGCCAGGAATTATCCGCGATGTATCCGGGCTACGACTTTCGAGGCGGGGAGCTTACAAGAAAGGTATGCAGAGTTCTTTCTTGTATGGTTTGATTCAGCTCACACGAGTAAAATGTATAGCGCAAACAGTCAAGATTCTGTCGGATCTGGCTAACCGGGTGTCCTCCCATGCATTCCTGGTCATCGGACCTCCAGTGGGTGCAGAAACCGTGGCCAACTTTCCAGCTTTCCAATCCCAACATGTCGGTGTTGGGCCTTCCGACCCATTATTGCCTTTCTGCCGAAACACGAGCAACAACGTTCAGATCCGGCTCAGACCAAGCTCAGAACCAAAAACATTCCGCTTTGAAGTTTGAACGCTGCCCTTTGCGCAAACCCTCGGCCGATCTCTCACGCAGTCCCAGATCACCGGACCGCGCTCTCGGCAAACACCCATCTGAGCAAAGTTCTCAATTCAAAGAAACTATGCGGTTTCGCAAATTCGCGGTAGCAAGCGCATACTTTTCATGAAAAGAAGCAGCAGGTACTACGTGTCCGGATGGATGCCGTCTCGCTACCTCAATTGTGACTCAAACTGTCGACCTCTCACGTCCAACGCTTGCTCAGTCACAAGACCTCTCTTTCACACTTTCAAGATGCTATACCTAGATACGTACGGTCGCCACCTGCGACACCAACGCCTCAACATCTGTCCGGAAATCACCTTGTTCCTGCGGGTTGACTCCCGCTTGAAATTGCCTCAGCACTCCTTCAACGCTGTACAATACTGGTATTGCATTCCACTCGGTCCAATCAAGATCACTATTGTCCTTCCCTCTGGTCATCTGCTACACCTATCGGATCCGTCGCTTCAGTTTTACCCCGACCCCACATCCCATTTTCAACCCCTCCTGCTTCACCCTCTTCTATCTACCCAATCGGACTCTGACTACTCTTCATCACTCTGTCTCCAGGCGACAATCTCGTCAGATCAAGGAGCACAGGTAACGCCCCCACCGCGACCATCCTCCCTTCATCCCAGCCTCACCCAAGCCATCCCATCTCAAGCGCCCTTACCTGCCTTACCCGCGTCGCGTCACCTGCTCCTCACACTTGCGCTCCATCACGGTCGCCACCAACTGACAGTGATTCTCGCCACCGGATCCCTATCTAAATCTTTCGGCTTCCATCGACCCCTCCCGCTGTTGATCCAGAGGTACTAGTCTACCACCATACCTACTTACCCTCCTGTCCCTCTTCGCCTTCTTCTACTTGGGACGTAAGAGGCGTCCTTCCTGTCCTCTTCCCTTTGATACCTACGGAACGGCCAATCATTAACCATTAATAACTTCATTCGTTTCAAAGCTACTTACGTTTCGCTCGTCTAGTACTACTGCAACTGCAACCCATCTTTTGATCATCTACTGCCCCGATTCATGAGGGCTTTTTGGTCCTCAGTATCTCATCTTCATTCCACTTGACTGAAGATGGACGCCTCTCAGGACGATCTCGTCAGCCACCATCACCGTCCGTCGAGTCGATATCTGCTCCATCCTACACTACAGTCGACGTCGCTGTAATGCTCTCGCCGGAGCCGGGGATTACTGCAACCCACACAACTCAATCCAGACTAAGTTAAAGCAGTCCCGCGCGTTAAGTCTGGCGGGTGCCTTGGGACACAGTACTCCCGCCATAAGTAACTTGGCGAGGCCAATGCCTCTCAACTCCACAAAACCCTGCAGGGCCTGGCCGGCGGCCAGTTGGCCCAGCCAACGACTCTACCCTCCCGGACTCGCTCGTCCCCCTTTCTCAAAACATCACTCAATTGGAAGTCCATAACACAAATAACATATTTAAAAACCAGGAGGTATAAGTACCAGGGAGGATGCATACAGCGACAGTTACGGTTTTTAGGTATGAGAAGGTGTATATGCGTAGGGGGCGGGGTATCGGTGGAAGGGGGGGGGGGGCAGCGGGTGGTACACATTATAGCGTCTTCAATTGCAAAGAGTCCAGAACGGGCGAGGAGAGGCGGGAAAGGCGTATGTACCGCGGGTGGCGTCGTCATCCATTGGAATTCGGAAAAGAGGATAAAAGGTGGGGTGACGTGACGTTCGGAAGTAGGATAAGGATGAGCGGATGACTGACGAAAGCGGGGGGCATTGTAGGCGGGTGCAGTCGGAAAGGCCTGGGGAGGGGGAAAGGAGGAAGGGGAGGAAAAAAGACGCTAGAAAGTATACGTTATATTTTAACGTGGTAGGTACGTAAGTTGTATATAGGTGGGGGGAAGGGTTACTTGCGACACAGGATGATGAGATTGCAAACGACAGCGAGGGGCAGCGAGCGACAGGGTACTAAGTAGATAAAAAAAAGGAAGAAAAAGAAAAATCCTTGGTGAATAGTGCTAAGTAGTAGTAGGGAGTAACTTGTAAGAAGTGACCGACTAGAAAGGTTAAAACAGGACATCGACCCCAAAGAAGGGGACGACGGAGAAAACTAAGAGTAGTAAAACAAGTAGCGAAAAGAAAGACCCAGAATTACAAAGTTGGAAGTGAACAGTAGAAGGGTTATATAGCAAGGTGACGACGACGACAAAGCGAGAGATATGAGAGACGAGGAGAGCGGATGAGGAGAATAATTACAATGGACGACAGATGATGGTGTCTATTAATACGGGGGAAATAATAGAAGATAGAAGGAAAGAAATAGACAATGAAGGCTGTCCACCGGAGAGAAAGGATTGTATGGGGGAAGGGGTTGGGAAGAAGACGAGGAAGGCAGAACCAATGGAAAGGTCAGTGTTCGTTGACGCAGGAAGCAATGGGTGAGGAAAGGCAAGGGAGAGAAAAGAACTTCCGTAGATCGAAACAGTCCTTCAACGGCAGAAGATACAACCCCTCTGCCGCAGATCTTCAACTCGGTCTCCATCGAAACGAGGTCCCTGATGCACATTGGTTTCCTTCGACAGTCCTGCGCTCCGCTGTGCCCATGAGGGCGGAGGAGAGTCGGGATCCTCGGGGTGTAAACCTTCGACAGAAATCCTTCTCGACCATCTTCCCTCACCTTCAGCGTCCACCCAACCAGCGAGTCACAGCACCCAATCCCACTTGATCTTCCGTTCCACCAATCTCCGAGCCCCAACTTCCTTCCATTCGCTCTTGCAGAATTACGGGTGGGCGGTGGAAACAGTGACCTGATCTCGCCCGCGTCTCTTCATCCTCTTTCACCGAATCAGACGTCAACGTAGATCAATATAGGCTCTCCTACGCCTTCGATCTCCGGAATAACGCATTTCAGGTCAAACGCTTTTGCGAGCACGATTTTGAAGATCTTCTGTACGTTTATCGAGGCCGATGTCGAGCAGAAGATGAGGGACGCGTGCATTGCTCTTGCAAATCTCTTTGCCTAAGAATTGGTTTTAGTCAATTGGTCAAAACGGTGGCGCCAATCATGGTTGTCGGGCAACGACGACCAAGGGTTTTGCGCCGTGATGCAAATGCTGATGCATAAGGCCTGACTCACCTGCTTCGTGATCTCTTCCTGTTCGTCCCGAGGGAAGGTTGCAAATTGGTCGAACTTTGTTCCAATCAAGAAGGGAATCGCAGTCTAGAAGAGAGTGCGTTGAATGGGCTGAATTGATAACCGTGGCAAGTTACGCACTTTGTTGAAACCCCTAGCCTGCCTATACCATTCCTTGACCGAGTTCAATGTCGACTTTCGTGACAAATCAAACATGAACAGAATTGCGACCGCATCGTTGCAAACGAGGGGTAACATGTTCACAAACTCGCGCTGACCACCCAAGTCCCATATCGAAAAAGTGATGGTTGTTCTCCGTACAGAGATTGTCTTTTCCATAAAGTTGACGCCTGGAGAACGGGTCAGGGCGGTTCACAAACTGAGAACGAATAACACTCACCCAGCGTCTGGATATAGTCCTCATCGAAACTGCCCTCCACGTACTTGACCATCAGACTTGTCTTGCCAATTTGTGAATCCCCAACCATCCCGACCTTGATGACGACACTGGAACAGGGCAATACATGTTGAGATTCTGCCATAAACGCGTGTTGCAATGCTGCTCACCTGTTTCGCTCGTCATTCTCGCCGTTCTGCTGGCCGCTTGGTCCAGCAACTGGTTGGGCTGATGAGGAGGCTGATGATGACATGATCCCAAGAATCGACTGGCGTTGATATGCTCTTCAACACTAGTTGCTGGGTCGACTGGTGAATTCGGGCGCTTGGGGGTTTACAAGCGATTGGTCGTTGCGGTTGTCGCTGGTCGTCGGTCGAGACGCTGAGCGTCGCTGTCAACAATACTGCTCGAGAAAAGAACAGCAAATGGCGGGAGAGACTCACAAGAGCCGTTGGGGTTAAGCTAGCAAACAATTCCAGAAAGCAGAAGAAAAGCGAGCGCTGCTGTCGCTGTCGTCAACAGCAAACCCAGGAGTTACCGTGACCGGTGCTGGAGACTCTAGGGGGTTACACCAACAAACAAATCCTGACAAACAACGCGCCGCGTGTAACGTTCCTCAAGTCATCCCTTCTCACCGCCCACATCCACCAATCAATTCTTGAATATTCTGGCGTAGTTGGGAACAAGGTCGTTCATCTTCAATATCCACCTATGACCACTAAAACTCAATCATCCGAACAGATTTACCCCAGTTTCCTGAACTTGAGCGAGATTGCATATGCAAGCTCGAGCGATGCATGACCATGTTCAAATTCATGGGAGCGCCACTGTTTCCGAAGAACAGGAAAGGCGCGACGTATCTTTCGTGAACTGCTGCTTATATGTATGTTATCACGGAGGCTCTCCTATGCCTTGGCCTACGTAGCCAGGTAGCGTTGGCCTCTGGTACAACTCCTCCCCCTCCACCATGCGAGACAGAGCAAAGCATCCGTGTTCCCTTTTGTTCCCACTCATCTGACTGTGAGACCTCTGGGCCGCTGTGGTTCCCAGGATATAGATGTGTAAGTGTACAGGCCACCGGGTAAGAGACTCTAATTCACCCCGTCTACAAATCCCCGGCGCTGATTATTTAACCAGTTCAACTTATCCCAGCAGGAAAGCAATGCTGCAGAAGTATTACTGAAAGGCGCGGAACAAGACGCTGGCGGGCCGACTATCATACAAAATCTCTTCTACTGAGTTGCGCTGGAGCTGGGCCGGGGTTTCTAGACGGAAGCCCACGAAGTTTCACGAAGCCCTTTCTCAACATGGTCCCATGGCTGCATTTCTCTCCCTTGATGCGTACACCGTGGTGACCATATGTCGAATTGCGACAGGGTGCGACCCACACTATTATCTTGACCAAATCGTTTCCCTTGATTGGCCTATCCACAGCGCTACCCATGATCGCAATTTGGCACCCCTTCTTCGCAGCCGACTCGATTACATCGATCTCCAATCTTGGCCTCAGAATTAATGATTTCCCAGACGATTATCCGTGGGCGAGGATTCCCAGCTCCTTCCGACTCCGCACACTAACTAACGCGTACCCTTTACAGGCCTCGAGGACGCGAGTTCGAGCGATCCAACGGCTCGAAGCATCATATACGCCCATTGAATACGCCACTTAAGCTTCCTCGTGGCTTCTTCCCCACTCTTACCCCAGACATGACCTGTCTTCCTCTAACGCTATACTCCGTCTCTTGCTATACTCTTCTTTGGAGCTCCCTGAGGAATGGCAACCGGCATCAAAGAACAAATACCCTTCTCAAGCACTGCGGGGATGGCCAAAGAACCACCAGGCACGGATAAACTAGTCGGACGTTCTTCGGATAGCCCGCCTGCAATACCCCACATCACTCTACATCGAAACAAACCAACTCTAGTAACAACCACTATGTTCACAGTTCCTGCATACAAGGACTGCCTTTCCTCACCTACCCTCCTGCCCTCGAGATTTCTCCGGCGCCATTCGGGTCTACAGGACGATCGGTCATGAGAGCCATCATCACAACCGAATTGCCACCGTTCCTATTGGCCTACGACTCCATCGCACTCGCAATAGCTTCTATGTCGACTCGTATTCCCAGTACCCATGACGCGGACGAATGTATATCTTCCAGCCAACCGTTGTGTGGGCATGGGTTTTTGAACACCTGAAGGGGAAATAAATCATTTACACCTTCTGTCTCCACCTGGACACGCGGAACTATCTCGCCATTTAGACAGTATGCGGTACGCAGAGGGTGGATGTATAAAAAGAATGGATTTAGGCTTGTTCACGTTCCTCACCGCTTTTCCCCTTCCCAACCCACACGAACGACGATGTTGGGACGACTCTTTACGAGTCTCCTCCTCGCAGGGCTCGGTGCGTCTCATCGTCTTCATCGCACCATATTTAGAAACTAATAGTACCTTCACTAGCCCTCGCGCAGACTGAATCGTATGTCGACCCTGACACCGGGATCACCTTCCAAGGTAGAACCGACCCCGTGCACGGCGTGACCATTGGTTACGTCCTTCCACCGCTCGAGCCTGCCTCCGATGAATTCATTGGCCAAATTCTTGCGCCCATTGAGAACGGATGGGTCGGCATTGCCCCTGGTGGAGGCATGATTAACAACCTCCTCGTCGTTGCTTGGCCTAATGGCAACGAGGTCGTTGCTTCCGTTCGGATGGCAAAGTGAGTGCACGTCTTGTGTATAACGCCCCTTGTGGAACGGAGTGCTGACCCATGGTTTTATCTTTCTATAGCACCTACGTCCTCCCTCAGTACGTTACTCTATCAGCGCTTGCTATCTTCTACCTCGGTCCTCAGACTTATCTCCTACTCTAGACCTTTCAACGATCCTGTCCTTACCATTCTTCCATCGACCAAGGTCAACGCGACCCACTGGAAACTCGACTACCGCTGCCAAGGCTGCACCAGTATGTACCCCCGCCTTCCAATCACACCCAACAGGTCCCTTACCACCATTTCCTTACAGCTTGGGAAACCGCCAACGGACCCCGCTCACTCCCCATCGACTCTGCCGGTGCCGCCGCCTGGGCACTCTCCAAGTCCCCCGTCGACGACCCCTCCGACCCCGACACCACCTTCGCTCAACACACTGACTGTACGCCTTCTTCCCCGCTCTACCGTTACCCTAGGACACTGCCTAACACTCCTTTGTAGTCGGCTTCTACGGCCAAATCTGGGCTCTCTCCCATGTTGACGCTGAGACCTACGAGCACTGGGCTTCTGGAGGCACTGGTGGCGGTCCCACCCCTACCACTCCTCCCACTGAACCTCCTACTCCTACTGAGCCTGTTCCTACCGTAGAGGTACGCATGTTTTCCTCGACTTCTGACTGCAAATGTTAAACGTGTCTTTTCCTATAGCCTACTCCCTACGACTACATCGTCGTCGGAGCCGGCCCCGGTGGATTGGTCACTGCTGACCGTCTCTCCGAGGCAGGCCACAAGGTCCTCCTTATTGAGAGGGGTGGACCCAGCTTGGGCTCGACCGGCGGTACCACTCAGCCCGATTGGTTGAAGGGAACTAACGTACGTGATTTATACTTGAATCGGGAAAGCAACACCGTACTGAGAAATGCATTCAGCTCACGAAATTCGATGTCCCTGGATTGTTCGAGACTATGTTCATGGATGCCGATCCTTACTGGTGGTGCAAGGGTACGTTTTGGACATTGCAGGGCTGTGGAGTTGTGGGTTAACCCGGCTATGGACAGACATCAACGTTTTCGCCGGATGCTTGCTCGGCGGAGGAACTGCTATCAACGGAGGGTATGTCGCAGTGGCGTCCTTTCTCGCAAATTATCCCCTGACTAACCACCCAATAGCTTGTACTGGTACCCTCCCGACATCGATTTCTCTCACACCTACGGCTGGCCTCCCTCGTGGCAGAGCCATCACCAATACACCGACAAGCTTAAGCAGCGTATCCCCAGTACTGATGCTCCCTCGACCGATGGCAAGCGATATCTCATGGAGACCTTCGACGTCGTCGAGAAGTTGCTCCGCCCTCAAGGATACCACCAGCAAACCATCAACAACAACCCTAACCAGAAGGATAGGGTTTACGGTTACAGCGCCTACTCTGTGAGTTCCTTGTCTCCATCTCCTCCACTTCCATAACTAACAAACCACCCCCGTAGTTCATCGACGGCAAGCGCGCTGGTCCCATCGCAACCTACTACAAGACCGCCATCGCCCGACCCAACTTGACCTACTTCTCGCACACCACCGTCCTCAACGTCGTTCGTGAAGGCTCCACCATCACCGGTGTCAACACCGACAACCCATTGATCGGTCCCAACGGCTTCGTCCCTCTCAACCCCCGCGGCCGTGTCATCCTCTCCGCTGGCGCCTTCGGCTCTGCACGTCTCCTCTTCCGCTCTGGAATTGGCCCTCGCGATATGCTCGAGATCGTCAAGAATGACAGGAACGCCGGCCCCAACATGCCCGCTGAGGAGGACTGGATCGACCTCCCTGTTGGCGAGAACGTCCAGGACAACCCTTCGATTAACTTGGTCTTCACCCACCCCGACATTGATGCCTATGAGAACTGGGCCAACGTTTGGAGCAACCCCAGGCAGGCTGATGCTGCTCAGTATATCGACAGCCAGTCTGGCGTCTTCTCTCAATCTTCCCCTCGGTGGGTTTTAATCTTCTGCCTGTGCCTGAACGAGTAACAAACTGACGAAATCTCGTTCGCTAGTATCAACTTCTGGAGGAAACTTATGGGCAGCGACAAGAAGCCTCGATGGGTATGTGACAATAGCGTGGGTCAGGACACCAAAATCTTAACGCCCTTCGTAGATGCAAGGAACTGCTCGCCCTGGTGCCGCCTCCATCACCACCGACTTCCCCTACAACGCTAGCAACATCTTCACCATCACCACCTACCTGTACGTGTCAACTCTTCAACCCTTTCTAGACCCTCGCTCTGACCTTGAACCATTTCAGCGCCACTGGTATCACCTCCCGTGGTCGTATTGGTATCGATGCTGCCCTTACTGCTCGTGCCCTCAAGAACCCCTGGTTCACCGACCCCGTCGACAAAGAGGTCCTCCTCAAGGGTATCCATGAACTCATTGACGCCATGGAGCATGGTACGTACCAGTGCTTCGTCTTACCGACTTTGACCTGAGGTTCTGTCCCACCAGTCCCCGGATTGACCCTCATCACTCCCGACAACACGACCACCATCGAGGACTACGTCGACAACTACCCCACCGGCTGGCTCAACTCCAACCACTGGGTCGGGTCCAACTCCATCGGAAAGGTTGTCGATGAGAACACCAAGGTCTTCAACACCGATAACCTCTTCGTTGTTGATGCTTCCATCGTACGTCGCTTGTCATATTTTCTCAATACCAAAGGTTTTCTGACTTGTGCGATCCAGATTCCTTCGATGCCCATGGGTAACCCACAGGGTGCTATCATGTCGACTGCTGAACAGGGTGTGGCTAGGATTCTCGCCCTCCAAGGCGGCCCTTAGACACGGCGAAGTATTTATTTTATAAAGGAAGGGGAATTAACATAGTTGCCGTAGCTACCTCAATATAAAAAAGGTTCATAATTCTTGGCTATGGTGGTACCGCTGAGAGGCCATTCAACTCGGGGTGCAATTCGAGCGAACGGTAGACGAGCGCTACTGCGCTGAGAACTGACGGCAATTTGGGCACGGCGCTAAAACCGCGGCACCTCACCCAAGCGATGCCCCATCGTGTTCATGGACCCAAAGTCTGCACATCGATTTCTATTAGCGATTCTTATGGGCGAGCAGGCCCGTGATACCCCAGGCCGGCGAACAGACATTAGCGCCGGCTGTGAGCCAGATAGACGCTTCTCGGGCTCAGTTGTGGTCAGTGCTCAGGACAGTTTTCAGACCAGATGGAATCTGGGAAGACACCTCACATCGACTCTGATATCTTTTCAACTTGTACTTTGCTTTGCTTCACCCTCGGATCCCTGGTTCAATGGCGCTTAGTGCTCACCAAGGTCCGAAGGCGAAGGCCGACGCGAATAGCCACCGACACCGCTGCCAAACACTTACCAGTGGCCACCGTCCTACGTCGCGCTGGCGGCGGTGCGTATCGGCTACACGCGTCCGATCCCTCTCCTTGCTTCCATATCTCGATTCTTATCATTCTACGCGTCCGTCATGGCAGAAAGCGCATCTGATATTCGAACGCGCCTGGAAAGCGTCAGGCGTGAGCGAGAAAGGATCGAACGGCAAGCTCGCCTTCTAGAGGAAGAGGAGCACCTCGTCCGCATGCTACATGACGCCGAAAGGAAGGAGCAAGAAGAGAAGGAGGAACACAAGCCAGGAAAGGACCAAAGCAGACACAGAGAGCTTCCAAGGCGACAGACCAGTACGCGACTTCGCATTTACAGCGCTGCTTACAGATAGCTGATTCTCGCCAGGATCTTTGACGGGAGCAAAATCAGTCTCAACCACTGCGGGAGTCAAGCGGAAGGCAGATGAAGCCAATGGATTCCCGACCGGGAACCAAGCTGATGACATGGGCTACAAGGTTTCTGCTTATCCGTGTCAGCCATGCATCGACAAGGACACCGTGTGCCTGAGGAAGAGAGAACCACTCAAACCTGGCTCAGGCGTAAACGCTAGGGCCCCACCCCGCGTCATGCCCTCTCACACAAGCTGCTTTGCATGTGGGCAGAGGAAGACGCGCTGCGGAGTGTCTACGGCTAACACTCCACGCAAGAAGGCTAGGACCCGCGAGCTTGTGGTACAAACCTTGTGCGACTATATGCACAGGCATTTACATAAATTCAAATTTTCGACTTCAACTCTTGTTAGGCGCCGAAGGAAGGACGCGCGGGCGTTTATCCATTCAAGGAGGTTGAAGCCAGACTCGGGTACAAGGCGCAAGCCAAAATATCGAAACGCGTATACAAAGAAGTGATATGCAGAGAGATATAGTCGCAGTCTACAGATACAAACTCGAACAGAAAATAACACTGTTCGGCCTCTCCAACATCTCCAAAGCCGTCTCAAACTTCTCCTTCAACTCTTCATTCCCAATAACATTAGCAGCTTGAGCCATCTGCCTCAGCAGCTCACCCAGACGGCGGAAGACTCGAATAAGAGAGCCTTCGAAAAGCTGATCTGTGAGCTGTGAGGAATAGAGCAGTTAGCATCGATGGCGGTCAGGTTGGATGATGTCGACAAACCTTGCAGATATCAGAGAACGATGCGCCCCGGCACCATTGGACGACAGCCTCCATCAACTCAACTTTGAAACTCGAGACATACTCGTCTTCGTCAATGGTGAGTAAAGATTCCTTCGAGACCTTGGCTATCCGCCTCGCAAGCTCTTGCATGACACGCAGAGGAGCCGTAAGTTCTTCCGTCAACTTCGTCTGCTGGTCACTCTGCAATTGCAAATGTAGCTCAGTAACAGAATCCAACTGAAACCAAAACGCAAAGTTACCTTCTCTCCAAACACGAAGCAACTCAACAGCGCAGCACACTGTTCCGGCTTCAGTGTATTGAAAGCACCATTGAAGATCAACTCGGTCAACAACAACTCGTCACCCGAACTGATCTCACAGGCTACTCGACCCTTCACATCGACGATGTCATTGGCTGTCGTGAAACCCAGCTTCCTCAGCACCCTCTTACGACACTTCAGTTCCTCCATCTGAAGGACATCCTGCGTGCTCTGGATGCGCTTCTTGAGGGCTGAAATGCGTTCAAGCGATTCCTTCTTCTGCGAGAAGAGGGTGTAGAGTTCAGGAAGCCGAGGATCTTTATGCAACGGTGAAGAGAATAGTTTTTGTTCAGTCGCAGCGATTTTCTAGATCCCGACGTCAGAGGAACTCGAGACGTCAAAGGCAACGATCAACGCACCTTGACCAACTCCTTGAACTTCTCATCCTTGATGTTCATATTCTCCACCGGGTCCAAGAGTGCAATCCCTTTCGGGAACCGTCTTTGAACCTCCAACACACTCTTCCATGCCGTTTCCCTGGCTTGATCTTGCCTCAAGTCCTTGGGAAGAACAATTCGCAGATGGCTTATTGAATCGATGGTGGAGAGGAGGACAGGTACAACTTGAGGGGCACCCTTCTGTCCTTGAGGACAAGGCTGGATGCCATCTGGGGTGGCAGCCATGGCATCGCGGTCTTTGGCGGAGGGGGAGTGGGTAGAAGCGAGGTTAAGGAGGACATCGATGACGTATTGCTCGTGTGGTGGAAGGCTGTCGACACTGGGTCCTGGCCGGTTCTGAGGATGAAGGATTAGTTTAGCAAGAGAGTATGGGCTGACCGACGCACCCGAGGAGGCGTTCTCTTTTGGTAGTTGACGACGATTCCCCATCCAAAGTCGTGTTTTCCATGCTTGACTTTCACTAACCGTCCAGGTTTCATGAAAGGTAAGGAATATGCAGGATGAGTTACGATTTCCCTAAAGTCGGCTCCCATTTGGTCTAGTTGTTGGCGGAGGTCGTAGTACTGCGAGACCAAAGCCTCGTCGGGTACCACGATCTTCCTATGCGCTTCCTGTTCCGCCTTCAGTTCTGTAAAACGATTTTAGTTAACATGGTACTAGCGCAAAACATGAAGGATACTCACCATCCTCGAGTTGTGGAATAGCAGCACTGCTCTGGAACTGGAAGAAACACCTCTCGAGCATAAACTCGGGACTGATACCCTCCACCTTCATGAGGTTAAGAATCATGTTATACCCCAAGTGGAACGCCGAGTCCAACCGATCCGCCACACCCTTCAACATTCCCTTCGCTGCGCTAGGCTCCAGCTTTTCATCGCACATCATGATCACCACACCACGGTCGTCCAATCCTCGACGTCCAGCACGCCCAGACATTTGAATATACTCTCCTCCAGAGATATTGCGGAAGTCCTTTCCGTCAAACTTGCGAGTCGCAGTGAAGACGACCGTTTTAGCAGGCATGTTAAGACCAATGGAGAAGGTTTCGGTGGCGAAGAGCACCTTGATGAGACCTTCTTGGAAGAGAATCTCGATGACTTCTTTCAGGATGGGTAGAAGACCACCATGATGGAATCCAATTCCGCGTTTTAAAAGTGGGAGGAGGTTGACGATTTGAGGGAGCTGCCGGTCTTCCTTGGAAAGGTTGTCGATGGCGTTTTCGAAGATGTTAGCAATCAGGTCTTGCTCTTCCTGGTTCGTAAACTCGAACTTTGAGAGCGTAAGCGCGAGGCCTTCACATTCTCGTTTACTGAACGAGAAAACGATAACAGGGTTGTAGTTTTTGACCATGATCATTTTAATGATTTTTGAAATGTCGGATGGGCCTATAGGTAAAATTGTTATTCAGATAAACACACTCAACCCGCAAGAATGTTCTCACCTTTCTTTTCACCACCCTTTTTCGATTTCCCTTTCCTCCCCTTCCCAGCAAACGGATCTGCAGGGTCATCTGCCATATTCTCCTGAATCTTGCCCATAGCTTTGGCAAAATTATCGTCCCTAAACTCCCCCTTCTCGTTCACAACCAGGTAAATGCCCTCTCCTCCAGCGGGGAACAGATAGTGCTGCAATGGCGTGGGTCGGAAGTCGGTATAAACGACGTGACAAGGTTGGTCATGGGATTTACATATCCACTCCGCGAACTGCATGGCGTTGGGTATCGTGGCGGAGAGGAAGACGTAGCGAACACTATGAGGCAACAGAATGAGAGTTTCCTCCCAAACAACACCTCGCTCCGCGTCTCGCATGTAGTGAATTTCGTCGAAAATGACCCATGCGACTTCACGCACGATCTCGGAACCGCGGTAGAGCATTGACCGGAGAATCTATGCATGTCATTAGAATTGAAGACTTGCTTAGCGGAACATTGTGAACACGCACCTCGGTAGTCATAACGAGACAGCTCGCTGAAGGGTTGATAGTCACATCTCCAGTCATAAGACCCACATCTCCAAACTCGGCAAGCATCTCTCGATACTTCTGATTACTCAAAGCCTACAAAAATCCCATTCAATAAACCAAAATTCACATTCCAACAGGGCTTCGATGCTACACACCTTGATAGGACTGGTATAGATAACCCTCTGCTTCCTATTCAAACACTGCGCAATCGCATACTCCGCAACAACCGTCTTTCCAGCACTAGTATGCGCCGAAACCAAAACACTCTCGTTCCTCTGAATCGCATAGACCGACACCCTCTGGAAAGGATCCAGCTCGAATTTATATTCCCTGTCCCATTTGGCCGGAGGAACGTGTTTTGAAATCGGAGTGTAGTCGTATCCTGGTGGAACTGCGACTTGGTGGCGAACCTAAAGTCATAACCAGGCGCGAACATTCAGGCTCTTTAGTGGTTTCTTTCAATTGCAATAGTGTCAAGTCGTACGGACCTGATGCCTCAGTTCCAACCTCGAGTTCGTCTCTGCAGCCCCTGTAAGACCAGCGCTAGCTGCAACTTCTCGCTTAGCTTCCGTCTCAAAATCATCGAGAACCACAGGTCTGGGAGATCCCAATCTTGGCTTCTTCAACGACGAAGGGCCAGGTTCGTTCAAGTCCTCGTCTTCGTCCATCGCCGCTCCGTTCTCGCTTGTCGTCGTCGCATCCTCGACGTCAGCTTTTCGTTTCAAGGCCGCATTGTTTTGTTGTTGGTCGACATCCATGTCGTTGGCTGCGTCGATGGCCATAGTTGGCGTTCAGAGTCAAAGCACGCTCGAGGCAGAATTTTCCGCGTTTGAGCACAAAGGCACAGCCACCATCAAGCTCATCAAATGCTCTCGCTATTTTTAGTCCGGCCAATGCCAAGAAAATGCCCTCCCTCACAGGCTGAACTCCAGCGTAGTGTTCAATTCAAGCAGATGTAGTTGTACATGTTCAGTCACAAATTCGTTTCTCTACATTTCCTTCCGTAGATTTTGTTATGGGACAATCAAACATTCTGGATATATTTCTCCCACTCCTTATCCTATCGTAATCGTCGGCCACGGCCACTTCGTTGTTTGTACGTCGCACGTAAATCATATCCTAGGCCCTATCGTATTGGGGTATCGTAAACTTGAGTGTGACTCTTGAGTGCTTGCTCTTCAAGCCTTGGCGAGCGCCGCGAACCTGTGTCGTGAACACAAAAGAGGTCGATGCGAAACGTAAAGAGAATAGGTAGAGAGGGGTATGATACGAGTGTGGAGGGTGTATGGGGTAAGGTAGGGCGAAGAAAACAAAGAAAATAGAAAAACAGTGCGTCAGATAAAACAACACTACAGCCTCTGGAAGAACGTATTGGCGAACCCGAGGTTTGCACGGAACCTGACTGCTTCGGCAGCGGGCTTGACAGCGAGCGGTTGGACAGGAGAATGTCCAATGGCAGCGGCAATGCGGTCAGAGAGGCTTTGGTCAACTCTGGCGAAGACGGACACTGCAGGGTTTTCAAAGTTAGTATGGACCTTCGCTCGAGAGGGGAAAGATAAATCAGTGGTGCGCACGTTGCCTAGCCTTGATCTCGTCGCTCTTCACAGTTCCAAGATGTCCTGAAACGTTCTTGACGAACACAGCCCTCTGCTCGTCGTTCCAAACTTTGCTCCATAGAGCCCTTGGTTGTTCGAAGTCCACTACATCGCCCAATTTATGTCAGTGATAGTGCCCTCCAAAAGGAAAAGGTAGCTTACGCTCGGTAACCTCTTCCAAATCCCTCCAAGCACCACCAATGAAATTCTCGTGTCGTGCCTGACGTTCGACGTCGCGAACGCTACTGTTGATATCTGCCTTATACTTCTTGTACGAAAGAGGTTGAATGGTTGAGGCGTAGTTGGGGCGCGCTCCTGTTGGACCAGAGTTACTTCCCTCCCTTTACACGTGCCAACGTGGAACTAACCTTGAGATACAAATGTCGCAGGCCCATCGCGCTGGAAGTTGGCGACGGGGACGATGGGTGCGTTGACGGGAAGCTGTTGGTAGTTCACACCTGAAACCGATCGGCGTCAGAATGGCTAACTGAAAGACGTAAGAACTCGAAACCATACCAAGACGGTGGCGATGGGTATCAGGGTACGAGAACAGCCTGCTCTGCAAGACGGGGTCGGCAGAGGGCTCGACATAGGGAATCAGGTGCGAAGGAGAGAACGCAGATTGCTCAATCTCCGCGAAGTAGTTCTGTGGGTTCTCATTCAGAACAAGTTTGCCTGCATTGGAAAAGCGCGATCAAAGAGATATTCCAAGAATACGCGAACTGGTACTTACCAACAGGGCGGAGAGGGAACTCGGCGTGAGGCCAGACTTTGGTCAGATCGAGGATGTTGTAGCGGAATGATTCAGCTTGTTCGGGTGTCATGGTTTGCTATAGACATACTCAGTGCGAGTATATATTGTCCAGGAACGTTGGAACTTACGACGTAGACAGTCCAACTGGGGTGGTTTCCGTTCTCGATGGCCTCAAAGAGAGTCTGAGTGCCATAGTCAGGGTTTTCACCAGCAAGCTTGACCGAAGTGTCAGCGTCGAGAGTCTAGTATAGATGCCTGGGTCAGTCGCGATCATAAGGGGATAGCTGCCTTTACCAACCTTGAAGCCACTATCAGCTCGGACGTGGACCTGAGTGTAGACAAAGGTTCCATCATCCTTGAGCCACTTGAAGGTGTGACCAGAGTAACCGTGTTCGTGGAAGTAGCCATCAGGTGTCCCGCGGTCGGAGAACAAGATCATGACTTGATGGATCGACTCTGGGTTTTGGGAGAGATAGTCCTATCACACGCGAGGCATTAGCTCCCAGTACAGGGACCAGGAAATGATCCGGAAACGCCTACCCAGAACATGTTGCTATCTTTCAAGTGAGTCTGGGGATCCCTCTTCTGCGTGTGGATGAAGTGGGGGAACTTGGCGGGGTCGCGCAAGAAGAAGACAGGGGTGTTGTTGAAGACCCAGTCCCAGTTTCCGTCTTCCGTCCTCAGTTTGATCGCGAATCCTCGGGGGTCTCTGGCGGTATCCGCAGAGCCTGAAGAAGAATAACATGGACATGAGAGCAATCTAGAGCGATGAGAGAACATACCAGATTCACCGCCCACGGTCGAAAATCGGACTGTAGCGCGGACCTTGGTTCCTGGCTTTTGGAAGAGGGGAATTGAAGTGATATCGGAGAGCGAGTGGGTTGTCTCGAAGTAGCCATGAGCGCCAGCGCCTTTAGCGTGTACCTGGAGGGCGAGTATCAGCGGAGACAAGCACGGCGGGCTGGGAATAGCACGTACAACTCGCTCAGGGATACGTTCACGATCGAAGTGGGCGAGAAGGTCGATATGGTGGAAGTCTGAAAAAGGCGGGGTTGGTGAGCATAACAAATCGTAGATGGTGGCTATCGACGAACCTTGAAGCAAGAGGGGCCCGTTGATACCAGCACGCTGGGCGGCATATGGCTCGTTGACGGGGGCACCGTTGGAGGTGGTATAGACGGCGCCGTCTTTAGTGTTCCAAACTTGGGCCGAGGGCATTCTGTCGGTGTAGGGGGGCGTTCTCCTTAAGCGGGCTAGACTCTACACAATGGAAGAGGTGGGAAAGAAAGGTCAGTAGACAAGGCGGCCTTATATACTTCTGAGACAGTAAATAACTAGTGTTTGGACGAAGGCCGGACCGCCATAATAACAGCCAGCTGATTGGCCATATTGAGGACAGAGAGGAGAAATGTACTCGGGATGGCGAGTTCTGGGTCCCTGGAAGACCCGAGTACCTCAACAAAAGACTGCGAGAGGAAGTGTCCCCTATTTGTATACATCAATCGAGTAGCATGGAAACTGAAGCAATTCTTAGACGATATCGCGGAATGGGATAGTCAGCTGATGCTGGATGCCGTTCTTCAATTGGAGATTCTTGAAAGAGGTGTTCTATATGAGGATGGATGTAGCTTCGCAACGATGTTCCGCGCGGTGGTTCGATGTTGGACAGAGGGGCCTTTGGTAGTCTTCTGATTTGTCCGACCGCTCTTGGAAGACGTGCATTACTGTTGGTCATCGTTCAGATCGCTGCAGACGACTTCGCGGACGTTTGCTTAGACATACGAAGGTTCGAAGAGAAGGAAAACGCGAGAGGGGGTATATCGTTCTCCCCCTGTTTATCTAAAGACAGGTGCTGTGGTGGAGTGTCAAGATGGATGGGGATAGGAAGTGGTATAAATCACTCGCCTTACTTGATTACAACGCGTAAGTCGCGACAGATAGCGCTGTGGGCACCAACTTCCGCGGATTCGCAACCTTGGCGAAGACCGCGTGCCATAACTGCATTGCATATTCAGTATTGTCCAGAAGACATGGGCGGTCATGCGGGGAGAGGTAAATGAGAAAGGCTAGTGCACCCGGATCCAGGGTGCAAACCTTGTTGCAGGACGTATCCGGCGGCCCAAGTCGTTGGGCAACGTCGCTAAGCGTCATTCGCTGGTCGCCGTGCGGCCAGTACCGTTACGATCCTCGATCAAATGAATAAATAAGGGATCTCTTTAGCTGAATGGGCATATTGAAGGACAAAGGGATGATGCCGAAATTATCTCGAGTTCCCCGGCGATTTCCGAAGAACTGTATATGTCAGTTGATGGCCGAGTTGCCGTCAAACCTTGATTGGAACAACACAATTGTTGTAGTGCCTGTCCACACTCCCCAAAAACGTCCCTTCGTCGCTGTTGAAGACGTCCACCAGCTAAAATGTCGAAACGTATGTCTCCGCTGTCCACTGAAATGAAGAAAAGAATGCTGACGGTCCATGTTAATCGTTCTTTGGATCTCAAATGTGGTGGTGGAATTGGTTTGGTCGTTTGCCGCCCTCGTCAATTTGGTGTTCTCGTCATATTGGTCCTCGCCATCGCCTGTTTCCTTCAAAACACATACAATCTGGATAAACGCTTGCCACCATATATCGATCTTCACCACGACAACTCGAACCCCGATCTCCACCAAATACAATCCTCGATTACTTGAACGACCTTCCGACATCAAACAGCCGTTAAGGCTCAAGGTACCAAGTACCGCTTGACCATGGGTCTGCCCACCGGTGCAGTCATCAACTGCGCTGACAACAGCGGAGCCAAGTCCCTCTACATCATCGAGCCCTACGGCACTGGTGCTCGTCTCAACCGATTGCCTGATGCTGGTGTTGGTGATATCGTTGTCGCCTCCGTGAAGAAGGGAAAGCCCGAGCTGAGGAAGAAGAGTGCGTCTCATTGGATTATGCATCTCAGTTTCGAAGAGCTGATGGAATTGATTTGAAATTCAGCTATGCCCGCTATCATTGTTCGTCAACGAAAGGCCTGGAGGAGAAGGGATGGTGTCTTCCTCTACTTCGAGGACAACGCTGGTGTTATTGTTAACCCCAAGGGTGAAATGAAGGGTTCTGCTATCACTGGCCCCGTTGCAAAAGAATGCGTGAGTAGTCAATCCCCTTGTTCTCATTCGCCTTCTGGATGCTGTCCTATCTCGACCTTGTTTGTTGTCCCGCGGCTGGTACTGACTGATCTCGAACAGGCTGACCTCTGGCCACGTATCGCATCCAACGCTGGTACCGTCGTATAAGCACTTTTCAGGTGGCGGAGTGGATGTACGATGGTGCGGGGCGATGTTTTTCTTCTTATTTCGATCGACACCAGCTTTTTTTTCCGGGTGTATACGACATGACACATGCGATTAAGATGAAATGATTATGGATGTATTACACCGACTGTCATGGGGGATTAGCATGGGAAGAGAGTCTTGGGCGTACACTTGGATGTCGTTCCGTCTGAGGGCATCCCAAACTAGTCAGCACGCCTTCGCTATTGGGGAAACATGACGCAGTCCTCTGCTTTTTCCAACTTGTGATATCCAACCTCGTGCAAATGGTCCACGCCGTCATCCCCCAAGGCGGTGACTGATGATGAATAACTTTCATGGACTCGAAACGCTCACTCGGCTCCCCAGTGGAATGCCCTCCTCGGAAACGAGTAGTCAAACTCTCACATATCGAGCGGGCCCAGTTCAAGCTTCGAAACATTAAACAGGCTTTTATATTATCACGAACTATACCGGAGCACCAAAAATAGAGCACGCTCAACAGCAAAGAGAATGGAAATATCTAAGGAGAAAGGACACAGAGAGAACATACATGCTGCAGATCCGGTTTGCCGACTCCCCACTCCACATCCATGAGAATTTCAGGCTGCCAAATCCCCGGGGCGTTGCGGATACCAACCACTGTCAACTTAGTAAAGTCAACCAAAGACAGATCCCACTCCGGTATATTTCCCCTCAGATGAGAATGTCCAGTGTTCACAACAAACTTAAAAATACACTTGCTCACTTCTTTCGCGAGGCCAGCTCGGGAGACGACACATTGCGGGGCGAGTGGTTGGAATATCCCAAGAGGGGTCACTGCCCCATCCAAGAAGTGCATCCTGTTTTCATATCCGGGCCAGTGAATGGCAAGAAGGAAATCATAATAGCCCGCATCCTCGATTTCTACCATAGGCTCGTCCCCACCGGCCATCAGGGGAGCTAAAGCTTCTTCATCATGCGCGGTGAGATGGACCAACGAAACGCCCTGGCCAGTTGAACCGACATAGTCGAAGGAAATGCTGTTGTACATCTGTTTTGGCGCCCAGATTTGCTTTGGATAGGTTCTATAGTCCGATTGAGGGACGCGGATGCGGTTAGGTCTAGAATTTCCGGATCCGATGCTGAGGGAAGACATTTGTGAGATCAGCTCCGCGTCCAGGGCTATGCGGTTAGGTCCAGAATTTTCGGGGACAATGCTGAGGGAAGACATTTGTGAGACCAGGTCCGAGTCCATGGCTTGAGATTTTCCTCGACTGGGGGGAAGAGGGGGCGAGAGATACCAAAGGGAGGAAGGTTTTTATACGGTGGCGTCTGAGTTCCCGACGGACAATGATACAAAGGGCCCGTTGTGGCCTGATGTGTTGGAAGCAAGCGTGCGCCCAGGTATATTCGAAGAGACAATGGCTTGCATAGTAGTCAAATACCTGTGGCATTGTCAACGAGTCCTGTCATAATCACCATGGGTTGTCGCCAGAGGATAAGGTGCCGAGAATGCCACATCCGATCATCCATTCCGACTGTCACAATGGTCATCGGCTATCTACTCATCTATGCAGAGTGGCCATGAGGCCGTACGATTGCGGGCGAGACAAAATGCCCTTGCCTGCAGAAACAAATCGTTGGGTAAGAAGTTGGATTTACAATATGCAGACGTAGAGGTTTTCGCAAACCCTGAGACTCGAAGGAATCGCCACAGGTACATACCATTGCATGAGCATTAATGGGGTAGTGGTAACCTGGATCGTTGCCATTTGACTAGCTCGATCCGCCGGGGGTTCGATTCCCCCTTGATGCATTTTTCTCTCCCAGGACCTTTTTGTTGGGGGACCGGGGGTACATAGATTCCACTTGTCTACGTTTCTCTCGCCCGTCTCATTTTATCAAACGCCCGATCCAAGGATGAAATGAAAGGTAAAGAAAGATAATCAACAAGGCCAGAAGGCGAGGGTATTGTACAACAGGATATTCTATCTGATATCGTTGATGTCATTTTCCCTATGCCTTCACGCCTCCCCAGGCAACCTTTTGGCCAGTCTTACCCGCTGGCTTTTGTTGCTGCGCCTCTGCAGCAGGTTGTTGTTGTGAGGGTCTCTTGGGGGCAGGTAGAGGAGCGTGTTTGAGGTCGTCCAAAATCTTTTGCGTCCTCTCGGTGTTCTTGATGAACCAGCCGGCATAGCGGCGCCCAACAGTGGATTCTGCGATATGGACCATGTTCTATAAAGGCAGAAAGAGTGAGCAACACAGAGGATATTGAGACAAAGAGAAAACCGTACCTCGTCGATGACAAAGTTCAAATCGCTAGTGGTGATGGTCTGACCCTCAAGCAAGCCAGTGCCTTCGGTGCCAGGGACGCGGCTCAAGCTCCTGCTAGCCTGTTTCACGACCATCATCTCCTGCACCATCTCCTCCTCATCCTCATCCAAGAAGTTGGCCAGCTTCTTCGCGCCAAGGCTGGTGTACAGCTTGAGGAAGCTGCGCAGGGTGGGGACGGGCGACTGGGCAGCAACATCGGCGAGGAACAAGGAGAGGTGGCGGTGGGTCGCGTCGAGCTGAGGAGCAGCGGAGACGTCGGTGGTTGAGTCGCTGGGGGAGGAAGGGGAGAGGAGTGTTTGGAGAGCGGCGGGGTCCTCATACGGAGGCGAGTTCGCGGCGATGAACTTGGGGCAAGCATACAAGAAAAGCTCCTCGAAGGCGGCAAGCGCGTCCTGGCCGCCTCGCGACATCTTCGCGTATTGCTCGTTGAACCTCTCCTTTGCGATGTTAGCGATGTTATCGTCGAGGCGGCTCGGAGAGAGAGCGTGACAGATCGCGAAGAGGGCATACATGCGGTCGGCGGTCTTGCTGATCTGGTCGTACTGATAGCTGCGAGTGTGGTACTGCTTCATGCGCATGATAAAGTTGAGAATCGTGACGAAGGTGCGGATGGCATCTGGGTATCTTCGAAGCATGATGTAGCAGAAGCCAACGTAGTAGTAGGTAGTGACATGACACGCAGTGACACGAGTGAAGGGAGACTTCTGGTTGAGTTCGATGTTATCCATGACCTTGAGGGCGAGAGTGAAGTCTCCGAGGAGGACATGGACACGGAGCAAACCGATAATGCTGAAGTAGCCGAGCATGCGATAGAGGGGACGCTGCCCATATTCTCCAACGATTTCACTGAAACGATGCCATGTCAGACGAGAGGACCAGACAAAACAGAAGTGCACTTACGCAATTTCCTCGGGTGATTTTCCCTCTCTCTGCGCGACGATGTATTCATTGATTCTTGATTTCTGCATCAAAGAGTAGAGAACGTTGAGGACACTGTAGGAGCTCCAGACCTAGAACTCGTCAGCGTCGTGAAAAACGCGATGATTCCATTTTGCGCATACCGGTCCGGCTTCAGCTAACATCGCGAGCTCATCATCCGTCTTCGACTTGGGCTTGGATCTCCAAGTGCAGAATACTTGATACTGGTAAATGAATTCGTCAATGATATCCCACAACCACTGCTCGGGAAGTTCAAGTTGGACGGGGCCATCAGAGTTGAGGAGATAGTTGAACAGTTCGCAGCTGTTTTCGTACGAGTGGAATCGATCGTCGATGTTGGGTTGCAACCTGGAATAAACGTGACGATAGTAGAGTTCCCTATAGAGAATCAGGAAAATAGGGTCTGCAAAACAGTATCAGTCATGGTTTCGACATCCAGAAAGATCGGATGCACAGACCATCGTTAACAAGGGGTGCAATGACTTCAGCCTCAGGCCATTCAGTCCTGGCGTAGAACTTTTCGGTGTACTTATTCCAACCGCTCTCGTACGCGACCGTAATTTCAGCAAGATTATTGTCCAAGACGGCTTGGTGGAAGTGCACGATGAACTGTGTTGTATCTGGTGTTATTGCCAATCACCAAGATTACATTCCATCGAACTCACGCCTTTCACGACATCAGGAATCTGGGCAAAGGCAGCTTGTTGGGCCATGTGTTGTTGCATCGCAAGTAAAGTCGATTCGTCGATTTGGGGTTGGGGAATGGGCGCTAGGGACCTTGGTTTGACTCTAAAAAGCTCGAGAATTGAACATGAACCTACCATCCTCGTAGTGATCGTTCTGGCCATAGTTTCCGATGGCGAGAGAGAGGTCAACGTCTTCATCAATGTCAGCCTCTGCTGCCCAAAGCGCCATCCGCTGTTGCGACATTTTGGAGAAACTTGGAAATGGGAGAGGAAGATAAAACGCTTAGGGAGAAATTTCTGATAGACTGTACACGTTCGGCAATTCCCGAACGCCCCATCGAGGGTTCGAATCTCAACGGGGCACACGCTTTGCTACTGGTTCTTAACGCTTTCGCTGTGTAGACATTCTCCATGGATTACATGGAAATGGGAATAGATAAAAGCCTGCGGGTCTCGACATCAAAACGATTAGGACAAAAATGCATCAAGGGGGAATCGAACCCCCGGCGGATCGAGCTAGTCGAATGGCAACGATCCAGGTTACCACTACCCCATTAATGCTCTTGTAAAGAGATACAATTTGGTTACCCTGTGATGCGTAAAGTCTTTTTGGGATGAATGCAGTTCGTAGGCAAAACCTTCTGACCGACTTTGGTTTTCCGACGGTAATAGATTACAGAACCGCAAAAGTTCTGATATCTTTCTTTGTTGCGGGACGCTTTGACTCCTATCTAATACTTGCAAGGTAACAGGCACAACCCCACACTCTGACCACGCCTTGACACTTTGACACTTTGACCGGGCTTTGATCATAGTACTCAAGTTCCCGAACAAAGGTCATATCGCTTGGACACTGACGCTTTGAGTGATTGATGTTTTCCGGGTATAAAAGCAGACTGTCGCTACCTCTTACTTCCTCTAAGCAACCTGCCTGTGATCTCCCAGGAACTCGAACTCTCCTACATCCTTCAAGAAAGCGCAAACATCATGTTCACTATTCGACTCACCGTTCCTCCACTGCCTCCTTGGGATGATAAAACCGAGAGATCCCCCGAGTTCGAAAGCGGCAAACTTCCCAATTTAACCTTCGACTATATCCATGGCAGAGGGAAAGGGATCAGGTTATCGGATCTCCTCCACGGCAGAGACGCGCAATGGTTAGCGCCCAAGATGATTGATGGAACAGCGCCTGTTTTCTCGTCCGTGATGTCACATATCACCCTCTACGTCTACTGGCCTGGGTACGATGAAAACACGACGGAAGACATGACCGACATCCCTCTTAACGTGACAACAATCACTCGGGCAGAACTTGCGCGAATAGTGGGCGTTATTATTTCGACGTTCATCCGGAATCGACAAGCTGGATCTCTTAAAGGAACGAAGCCTGAGTGGGACTTGAGCTCCGTCGAGCTTCAGGATGTGTTCGTGTCTGGAATACGCCACGTTTTTGGGCACGTTTATCACGCTGTTATCCATATCGAGAAGCAGACTTAGGACTCGGGCCTCGGCAAGCCGGATCCTTGTTCATAATCTCTCTATCTTATTACATTTACAGTTCCTAGAATTACCGGTTCGCTTTCTATTATCTAAGCAACTCTTCTCTCCATTAACTCTTCATTAACTGCCCGTCATGATCATACTATCCGATTCGTTTTAATTTGAAAGTCGTTGACAAAGTATGGTTCAGGAATTCAATGATCATATGAGCTGACAGCTGACTCGCAACCAAGACCAGACCGTGTGGTCCTTTTTCTTTAACCGAACCATAGAACAATTTCTCATAGTCCTTGATCACCGTCTCGTACATCCAACTGCTGTCTGTTCCTTGCCAGACAATCTAAGCCAACTTTAGGAGTTCAGGATGATTTCCGACTCGGTATATCAGCCAACCAATCCAATTCATGACCAAGTCAACACATTCAGACTATCACTATCCCAGCGCGTCGTACTGAGTATAACACGCCATCTAAGAAAAAGCTTGATGACGCTAGGCCAGCGCATGGAAAGATACAACCCAATACTGCTCAAGCCCATTCCTGTCAACAAAACCAAAATCTTCTCTAATGCTCCACCGCGCGAGTCTTAGCTCCTTTCGGCCTTGGTTCTGCCTGTCTTTTATCGCCCAGCCTATCGCTCTCAGCTTATACCCAGGACTCTCAGAGGAGCCCAAACAGGGGTCGGAACCTCATGTACTGTGGAGCAGCCCCAACGTTGTCAAGCAGAAAAGTAAATCAGAAACAGATGAATTGCAAGGAGCCGGTAGAAGGTCGCCTTCCGTCATTTATTTTGCTTCGGTTACCATTATTCTGGTGACTATACGGTAGACTCTGCATGCACGATCAGGAGCCTGTGCTTCAGTATACGCTGAACTGCGCATATCAGTCTGAAGTGAGATCGTCTGGAGTGAAAGCACCACTTGCACCAGGATTTTTTGACACAGGATCCAAAGGCACGCCAACTATGTATCACTTTGCATGTATTTCTGGGAACGGAACACAAGGCATTGCTCTCGAGTCTATACACACCCACGGAAAACATCTCCAAGGGGAGGAATAGTAATACTGTAAAGCACCTAGGACCCCGGAACCTATACATCGGAGTCACTCTACCTAAACACCCTCGATGCTAAATTTGTCCGCTCGCCGGTACTCACAATGCAGCGTGCGATAGGGCGTGCTGATACTAGAACATCACCATCATCCATCCAAGCCCTTCTCGCAACCGTCCTCCTAACAAAAGTTAACTGATGAGCGCTGTAAACCGTCGATGGAAAAACTTCGTACGACTGCAGTGAATTATGACGATAGCGAAGTTTCCCCCCTACCAGGCTTCTTGATCTTTTACCACGACCATCACTGCCACGTCGGAGCGTCGAACCGCAACGAGAGGCACTCTTTGGATCGTAAAGTATCAACGTAGAAGCAATATCACATCCTTTCAACCATTTCGCACTCTATTCGCAAAAGGCTACCCAGCGCGCAGGAGAGATCGCCCCCAATGGCCAACAATGGGGGTCTGAGGCCGGGGACCCGAAACAGCACGAAGAAAGACAAAACCAAAGAAGACGAACTGCAACAACTGAAGATAGACACACTGCTCAAGACTATGAACGGACCAACGGCTGTAGTGGCCATAGAAGAATTAGAAACCCACCTAAAGGACATGAGACTGATCATCGACGACACGTGGGACATAGGGGAAGTCAAGGAAGAGAAGGATGTACTCATGTTGGAAGTCGTGGACAACCTGGTGCGTAAAATCCAAGACGAATCGCTGACGGACCTGCGAACAATCAGGAACATACTACGAATCGTCCTGAAGGTGACACACCACTACCGGGCATACATGAAGACAGAACAATTGGAGAAGATGATGGAGGAGAGAATGGAGAGGATGAGCGAGAGAATTGTAAATCAGATGAAAGGGGAGCTGGAGAAGATGGAAGAGAGGACGAACAAGAGACTGGAGAAGCTGGAGAAGACGATGAAAGCGACGAAAGGAAACACAGCGACAAACGTGGAGGAGGGGCTACTGGAGAAGCTGAAGGCAGAAATGGAGAAAGTGGGCAGAAGGACAGACGAAAGGATCGAGAAGGTGGCGAAGGAAATAGAATTGGGAAACAAGAAGAGCTACAGGGCAGCGGTGATAGGAGGAAAGGGAGGAGAGACGGGGAAGGGGTCAACGAACGGGAGAGGAGGGGAGGCGCTACGAGAAGTTAGGGCTGAAGCGAGGAGGAGAGTGCAAGAGAGGCAGATGCTGATAGACGTTGAGGAGGGAGAGTTCATGGGAGGGATCAGTATCACGGAGATGCTGGAGAAAATGAATGAGGCACTGAAGGAGATGGATCAGTTCGAAACAGACGAGGGAGACGAGATTTTCAAGGCGGGGAGAAGGCTTCCGAACGGGGGGGTACTGGTGGAGGCGGGCAGATCGAGTCTAATAGAGGCGCTGAGAGACAAGGAGACTTGGGAAATCTTCACGGGGATCCTGGGGGTGGAAGCGCAGGTGAAGGAGAGAGAATACCCGGTGATAGCATTCATGGTTCCGACGCACGCAGATCTGGAGGACGTGAACGAGATCGACGAATCCAACTTTGACGAGGAATGGAGGGGAACAATGAAGAGGGCAAGGTGGATCAAGCCTCTGGACAGACGCACCCCGGGACAGAAACACGCAGCGGCAGCGATCCACTTCACCGACCCCAACACGGCGAACCACGCAATCCTCCACGGGATCACGATAGCGCAAAAAAGAGTCACCTGCGAAAAACTCAAGAAGGAACCACTGCGATGCATGAAATGCCAGATGAACTCGCACCTAATGAGGGACTGCAAGGCAAGTACGCCAACATGCAGCACATGCGGAGGGGAACACTGGTCGAGAGAGTGTAACAACCAAACGAAGAGATGGTGCCAAGGATGCCAGTCAGACGACCACGCAAGCTGGGATAGGGCATGCCCAACGTTCATCAAGCACTGCGAGGCCATGGACGAGAGGATTGCGGAAAACAGCCTCCCGCTATACCCTACGGAGGACACATACACCCAGCGAGCGGAGTACGAGAGGGCGAGGAGGGCAAGAGAAGAAAGGGAAACGGATGGGGGGAGGAAGACAACGAAGGCGACCGTAGGAAGAGGCGGATTGACACAGACCCAACTCAACTTCACACAGGGAGGAACCCCGGGAGTACAAGATGACGAATGAGGGAACGGATGGGGAAAGCACGGGAAAACTGAAAAGGCTAAGGATCTGGCAACAGAACATGAACAAATCTTCGACTGCGCAATGGGGACTAATTAATTCTTCTACAGACGGGGATACACTGGCAAACGACTACGACGTGGTGATGTTACAAGAACCCTACTTGGATGGATTCGGGAACCCGAAGGCGACGAGGGCGTGGAGGGTAGTGATACCGAAGGCGGGGAGGAGAGAGGGAGGCAAAGTAAGGACGATCATGCTGGTGAACAAAAGGATCTCGACAAACGCATGGAAGGAGTGGGAAATCGAGGGAGGCGAGGGGGACATAGTGGGAATACAGGTAGAAACAGGACTGGGGACGCTGGACATCCTCAACGTGTACAATGACGGCACCCATGACAGGACCACGGAATACCTAAGGGGACTGATGATGGAGCGGGAGGAGAGCGGAGAGAAGGGGGACCAGATGGTGATGGGGGGAGACTTCAATAGGCATCACTCAATGTGGGAAAGCGACTTGAACACACAACTCACGACGGCGACGCACGAGAAGAGAGCCGAAAGCCTACTGGATCTGATCGACGAAGCGGACCTGACGCAACTACTACCGAAAGGAATACCGACTCTGCAACATATGTCATCGAAGAAGTGGTCAAGACCGGACAACGTATTTGGAACTGAAGGACTAGCAGACAGAGTGATAGTATGCGACACGGAACCGGAGGCCAGGCAGGCGGGAACCGACCACGTACCCATAGTAATGGAACTGGACCTGAAATGGAGAGGAGCGTGGAGGAGAAGAGGAAGAACTGGAGGATGGTGGACTGGAAGGAATACCGGGAGAAGCTGGAAGCGAATTTGAGGAAGGAAATGGGAGTGGGAGAAATAGAGGACGAAGACGAGCTAGAGGTGGAAGTGGACGCGCTTATCAGGGCAATAGGGATGACAACGGAGCAGGTGGTAAAGATCCTAGAGAGGGTAGACTGGTCGAGGGGCTGGTGGAACGACGAATGCAGGCGGAAGAAGAAGGAGTTCAACGAGGCGAGAAGGGAAGCATGGAAGTACAGGGCGATGCCGGAGCACCCGGCGCTCGAAGAGGAGAGAAGAATAGGCAGGGAGTATAGGACGCTGATCGAGAGGACGAGGACAGAGTGCTGGAACGAGTGGGTGAGAGAGGTGACCGAACTGCAGACATGGACTCTAAACAAGTTCATCGGCAACACACCAGGGGATGGAGGGCTGGATAGGATGCCGACGTTGAGGTGGACGGACGAAAACGGGGTGGAAGTGATAGCGACGGATGGACGCAGTAAAGCGAAGGGGCTAGTGAGGCAGCTGTTCCCGGAGAGACCAGCGGAGAGCGGAGTACCAGAGGGTTATGAATACCCCGAGCCAGTCGAATACGAAGCGAGGATGACGGAGGAGAGAATCAAGGGGGCGATAAAGAGCCTGAAAGCGTACAAGGCACCGGGGCCAGATGGGATACCGAATGTGGTATGGAAGGAATGTGTGGAGCTTCTGGCACCCCAACTCGAGAGGATATTCAAAGCAGTATACGAGAAGGGGATGTACAGCGAGCGTTGGAAGGAGTGGACGACGGTGGTGTTGAAGAAGCCGGGAAAGCCGAGATACGATACCCCGAAAGCATGGCGCCCCATAGCGCTGATGAACACGATGGGAAAGATACTCACAGCGCTTCTCACAGAAGACCTCAAGTACGTGACGGAGAAATACTCGCTACTCCCAAACACCCACTTCGGAGGACGACCAGGAAGAACAACGACGGACGCAAT